TATAACAGTATCACATGTTGCATTTAAATTTGTTCCACATCCTCATTGAAGCTATATTTATTCATCATAAAGACAGGCCCATCTGTGGATCATTTTTTTAAAAACCATTGTACCATGTCGTCAAATTTTACTCTACATGTTTTCTAACCTGTTTTAAATAGTCTATACAGTCATAGATTTTTGGATGTACTTCCTGAAAACTATTGGTTTACATCAATTTCTTCACAGTATGAAACTTGAAGCTTGAGTTTTGCAACTTTTCACAGTGAACATCAGCAACAAATCTGCATCACTTTTGGCCAATGTTAAATTATGTTACATTAACATGTTACATTATCACCACCTTAAACATTGCTGTTGCCTGCTTGATGATTCAGACTAATTATAAAAATCTCCTGTGTGTTACTACTAAACAACAATAATGGAACTTTAATGCAGACTTCACTGCTAACAGTGATGAATTACCCCACTTAAGGTTTCGACTCAATTGTTTTATTATTTCATATAAGACTTCATTTATTTTCCCACCAGGGAGATACATGGAAACCAAATTCTGCCTTGCCTAATAATCAGACTGAATTGCTTATCAGACTGTATAATTTCGTGTTGCACAAAACAGCAGTGACGAATCGGTCGTGGCAACTTAATTTTCCGTTGACATGGAAGCTGTGGTAGTGGTTGCTAAAAGCTGTTAACATTTTTTCACACTTACCAAAGACATACAGACATTTATACCCACCCGTCAGTCAATACGTGAACATGCTTCTGGTCCACTACTCCTTTCATACCTAGGCTTCAAGCTAGTGTTATTTGCTGGAAGACATCACTATGGCAGAGTCCCAGCCCAGCAAGCTCCCGATTCCTACATTAACTGAGACAGCAAACACGAATCGGATGCTAGTGCTAGTTTGATTTCCAGACCTTTCATATTGCAGCTTTAAAAGACATAGCTCACAGGTACAAAAGGGAAAATTATGTACCAAAAGGATTTGTCAGTAACCCATGTTAAGATATTGTCAATGATTCCGTTGAAAACAAGTAACTGATGGGAACAATACTCCACTTACCAACCAGAACAATGCCAGACAATCTCATATTCACTGTGATTACAGAGTACAGAAAAGAAAACACACAGGAAATGCTTAAAGTATTATTAAAAACAGAACTTCACATACTGGTAAGCAAACTCACATATGTATATTATACCGCCTGAGGCTTAAAAGGTCCTTTGTAGAAAAAGCCCACTCTACCACCAAGCCCACTCAACCGCGACCCCAGCATTGCAAAGTTTGAATATTTTAAACGGCAAGAATTTGTTTCGTAAAAAGACTCAAAGGACTTTGGCAATTCCCTCCTGCCATCATGGACAGACACTTTTGCATTTCAGTATGGGGGGATTTCAACCATGTCACACTCACTGCTCACCTGACTGGCTTTGCTCAGTATGTTGACTGTCCCCCAAGGGAAAATAAGTCACTTGATCTGTTGTATGCAAACGTCAAGGAGGCTTACACTGCTTCAGCTCTACCACCACTTGGAAAATCAGATCATAATCTGTTTTTTCTTCATCCTCCCTACAGACCCTGTGTACTGAGGCAGGCTGCGACCACCCGCTCATTCAGGAATTGGACCCCAAAGGCCGGCAAGTCTCTATGGGAGTGTTTTGAGTGCATGGAGTGGAATGTACTGTTGGAGTCACAAGAAAAAACAGCAAGGACACTGATCTTGACAGAATGGTTGACTGCAGCACGGTCTACATTAACTTCTGTATGGACACTGAAATACCAGCATGCACTGTACACTGCTTTCCAAACAACAAACCCTGGATCACATCAAGTAACATCAAGACCCTCCTCAACCAGAATCAGGAGGCCTTCAGGGATGGAGATGAGGAGAAGCTCAGGTGTGTGCAACATGAGCTGAAGAGGAGATTAAAGCAGGAGGAGGAGGACTACAACAGGAAAGTAGAGAGGAAAACTGCAGCACAACAACACCAGAGAGGTGTGGAAGGGGATGAGGACCATCACTGGCTAAAAAAAGAGCTGGGCAACATCTGGTGATGTGGACAAGGCCAACAAGTTCAACCTGTACAACAATAAGATTGTGGATTACCTGACAAGACGACCACAATACGTCAGACTGAGTAACTGCGTTTCAGGGACAGTGGTGAGCAGCACTGGAGCTCCACGGGGGGCTGTTGTTGCTCCATTCCTGTTCACCCTGTATACAGACGACTTTAAATACAACTCTGAGTCCTGCCACATTTTTTTTTTTCCTCAGGAGGCTGAGGTCAGGTTGATGAAACATGTGCAGCATTCCACTGCATCTATCTATCTATCTATCTATCTATCTATCTATCTATCTATCTATCTATCTATCTATGTTGACAGGTCAAAGAAGAACTGGGCGAGTCTCAATTTTGACAAACTCTTCATCAACAACAACTTCTTTTAAGACCTATATATTACTCCTTGGTTATACTCAACATTACACTACAACTCCCACACAAACTAAACCTCATTTAATCACCAGTGACTTTATTAAATGGCTTGAAGAATTTCGAATGATGAAATATAAAGTGACACTTTATACCATCAGCTTTGATGTCAAGACTCGTGACTAATGACATATTCCAATAATGCTGCATCACCAACCCTGTCTGAAAATAGCACACCTTTGTAGGGAAAGATGACGATGAAGATGATGATGATGATGATGACAGTGTTATCAGGACAATGATGATCAATAGTTATTATTAGTTGCTACTATTTTCTCTTCTTTTATTTTTAATTACTTATACTGGCCCCTGCCTCAGGTATCCATCAACAACCCCACCAGCAACAATTACAAAAACCTATTATTAGATTAACTAATTAATTATTATTTTAATACCAAAAATCATTAGTTCAGTCATATGTTTCTCCTATGATATTGATTGTGTTATTAGAAATGAATGTGCTCTTGTTATTCACTGTTCTCCTCATCCTGTTTATGCTTAAAGAGCTCAATGGCTACACATGGTTTGGGTCTTTATGTATCTTGATTGGTTTCTTGGTTTCCTACAGGTTCTCTTAGGACATACATGTAGCGGACATGGGTATCTGTGTCCATTTCTTTGTCCCTTGTTGTTTGTTCTATAAAAAGATTAGCCTTATTCTGTATTGTTTGGACAAGGAATGATTTTGCTCGAAAACTCAAGTCCTGTGCCCTTATTGATCAATAATCTTGTTATTAATCTTCAGGTCAATAAGTGTATGTACTTTTATTTCTGTGTCTCTGGTCTAATAGAAAATCCATTACAATGTGATGCAAATAAAGTACCTTTCCTAAACTCTGTGAAAGTTTTACCCAGTATAAAACCTTCAGGCTAGATTCAAATCCACAATACAAATAGTAATAACTGACCTTGTTTTCTGTTGGAGGTGTTCTGTCAACAGTCTACTGATGTCTCTTTTGTAATAGAGGTCTATCGGGAAAATACTTTTTTGGGCATTTTTCATTGCTATATTGTGAGTGGCAATTTGGCAGCAAGGTTGAGTGGTGGCACCTTATCCACCTCTATCAATACGTTAAGAAAAAAAGATAATGAACGCATTCTGGATAAAGTCCTAATCTTTAAAACAAAGTGGCATGGTTGGAAAAATTTTGACTTTTGATGTTAAGTAGACACAAATTGTAGTAAATGGGCTAAAATTTGCAAAACCTCTGGTCCTTTAAAGGGTGAACAGGCAATTTTACTACTGTACAGTACTGGTGAACTCTGTGTAGATACTGGCTCTATTGTGTATTTAAAAAACCAAGTTCCCATGTATAAGCAGAGGCTTGAGACAGAAGATTACAGTGTTTCTGGTATGCAGCCCTATATGTGGCTTTGTGATGAATTTCCCAGAGACTATGGCTTGCATGAGAAAATTGTACGTCTGGAGAGGCCACCTCAAGCATTTCTATAGACCTGACTCATTTCAAGCTGACACATGAGGGTAAAAGGACTTCACCAGCAATTGCTCTTCACCTTAACTGCTTGCCTTGTCGTTGATGGATTTAATAACAAAGCTTTGGCAACACAACCACATAAAAGTACCATACGTACACTGACACTGAGGCCTTTTCCTAGTTTCATCACCTGTTTCATCGTATAAGAAAATAAAAGGTTTCATTATTCTGGAAATTTAAGAGACACTGTGACATGCTCAAATATATTTCAGAGCAAGATAAAGTTGGGGGTTGAAAGCCCACTTGAATATTCATGCTATACCATCTGATACCCATCATCATCTATCTCTAAATATAGAATACGAGAGATAAAACAGGATTACAGGACAACGATTTGCAGCTGCCAAGAGGCATAGAAGGAAAATCATAATCAGTGAAGCAAGTTTACATAAAAGCATGAAGTGTGGCCCCCAAGGCCTTTAGCCATTATGTGAGCTGATAGTGAGAATATACTGGTGACAGCATGAAGACTTCATTTCATACACGTTTAAGCTAAACCCCCCCCTCCCTCTTTCATGCTTCATGATTCCTCTGTTTTCCCAGTGAGCAAGTGATGCCAAGGAATGAGCGGCTTCAGCCCATTCACATTCCACACAAGCCGCAGCAGAGCAGATGGAAAAGTACAACATATAACATATGTGACATGCTACAAAAAAGGATGTTCACTGACACATTAGATTTTTCTGTGCCATTGTGTGACAAATTGCAAATTTGTGTCACTTTTTAGATGAAAAAAAAACCCAAAACATTACTGTGATTTTGTCGTGTTGAAATGTTGTCTGTACGGTACATTTGCACTTGATGAAAATGGCATCTTTCAGCTTTCAGCTTTTAATTGGTCTCATGTCAAAAAGCCTTGAACTACAGATATATTAACCATAATAGCAGTTTTTTTTTATAATAAAGAAAATTCAGGAGAAATGTGTTTTTTTGGAAATCAAAAGGCATCGGATAAAAAACAGCATTTACGAGAAGTTTAAAGTATTAATGTTGCAACAAAACTGATATTAAGATTATCAGAAAACAAACACATTTTCTTTATTGGTTAAGAGATTTTACAACTTCTGTTATTGGACACAACATTGGCAGGTGGGCTTTTTCAGAGCTTTTTGCAAGTATGCACAAGGTGTATGACAAGAAATCCACTGTATCTTCTCTTTTGTTTGTTATACATTCAATTGCCTCTGATTTTGGCGTGAAATTTGTCCTTTGAAATGTGTTGTAAAGACACCATAATTACATGAGAGATCTTTTGAAAGCTTATGAGGTAGATTCTGTTAACTGCACATTTAAAATATGAAACATATTCAAATGTTTGAAATGCCAATCTATCAATTCAAACCTAAAGGGTTTACATTTAACAAATAGGTTTAACAGGTCCTAAAATCCTTAATAAAAACTATTAAATAGACAAATCACAACTGAGATCTCTGCAACACCATTTTACACTTCAGTGCATCAGGGGTGAATGATTATTTTTGTAATGTTTTACATATTTGCCTGAATAGACTAAAACTGACAACCTTATGCTTTTGTCCATTAATTATCATAACATGACAGTGCCTTAATAGTGGTCCCATGATCAAAATACTGTAGCGTGAAATTAAAAAATTTAAAAAACAACAACAAAAAATTGAGATCTTGAAATTTTTGACTTGTTAAAACAGGGATATTAACAGGATTACAATGGTCAGGGATAGGTCAGCAGAGAAGTCGGGTGACTGTGAGAAGGGCTGCGATGCTGGAGAGGACGGGGCGTAAACCGGCAGTCCCGCTGCTTAACTTACAGTGTTCCTTATTCTGGCCGATGCAGGCCGCATAAGCCATTACGTGGGGGATGTAGTTCTGCTCATGGACCCCATGAAGCAGGTGAGCCAGAGGACCTTTAGCAAACACAGCAACATCCTCTCCTCCATGAGTCTCCATGTTCAGAGGCACAGCTGCCTGGGCCTGGTAGTTGTTTTCCTCTGAAAGGAAGCAACACAGAGAAAATGCAAAAATATTATCATTCCTTAGGCAATAATGACACATGAAGAGAAAAAAACTACCCTAAATTGATTGATTTGGACCTCTAATAACACCATGGAGCTGTTTTTCTATGCGTGGATGCATATTTAGATTATCTTTTGGATGTGGACAAGGACAAATGCTCATAGAGTATGCCTGCCAACAGCAGGAACAGACCAATATTTACAGCAATGTGCCAACAAAGACAGGAAAGGATTTATAATACTTTTGTTTTAAGAGGAAAGAAATGCATTTAGCACATTTATTAGCCAATGCTTTGGTTTAGTAACACTTAAATGTAAACAAATCTTATTTATGCAGCATTAGTCAGAAATAACTTAATAACCACTTGTAACTACACACCTTTTGTAATAAGTAATTTTGTGATATCTTACTGTAATTTGCTGTTAGTCTTCCCATAGTTATTCCCAGAAAGTCTATTTTACATATCAGCACAGAGCAACACCCCATTACTGAGTCATGCTCTTTACTAAAACTGTATTACTGTCTGTTGCTAATACCGTAGGTGGAGAAATTTATATTGTCTCCTTTTCTGCGATAGATTTTTCCTTGAATGACTACAATTGCTTTGATATCATAATTCCTACTTTTGTAAGTTTATTTTGGAGGAATAATAAAACACACTATCAACAGCAATGTTGTTGTATGCGCCTTTTCTTTTTTTTTTTAGAACATTAAAGAAGTTTAGTTTGGATTTTTCTTTTAAATATATTACTGTTCCTAATAAAACACACCAATCTGGTGGCTACATGATATTACTTACGGTAGTCAATAGTGGACACATTCTCCCTTGCACCGTTGATCATTTTGTATCCTGGTCCGTTCCCATATAAAATGGAGGTGAAGGGCTTCTGATCGACATCACTCAACATGGGGGCCAGACCTGTGGATGGAAAATATTAAGAATATTATGGATTTTTACTAGGTTATAATCATCTATTACAACTAATCATAACAAAAACAACAACAAAAATAAATAGTACTGCTGTAGTACTAGTAATAGTTCTGCTTACCAAATATTGTGTTTCCTCTGGCTGTGTAGCCTCCGAAGTTGAACATGTGAGAATGGTCAGCAGTAACTATGGTCAGCGTATTGTGGATGCTTGTCATGAGATCTGCGCGGCCAATGGCCCTGTCCATTTCCACCGCTTCATGCAGAGCTTGCTTGGCCTTGCCCTCATGGTGTCCGTGGTCGATACGCCCCCCTGAAAGAGGACGGCTGTTAGGGAAATTCTCATCGTAGGCGGTGAAGAAAGAGCGCTGGAGTGCAGGATGACTGATGCAGAGGATGTTTATTGAAGCTTGGCCAAGGAGAAAGGAGGAATCATCACTACAGTTCTCTGTGCTTGATGTCACCTCAAATCTGAGCCAGGAACCTCTGGGGATAGGTTTTTTTTACATTTAGAGAGATAACTATAGATAGCTTGCACTCCATAATTGGTCAAGTAACCCCATAAGATGGAGAAGGGGTTGGAGAGGGATGTGTTACTACACTATTGGTTCATTAACCATAAACAAGGAAACATGACTATATATGTACGAGTGCTTATTCTTAGAACACTCAGCCACTTGTTGCCCATCCAAGGTCTGTTGTTATCAGCCCTGGCACCAGCAGTATCACCAGAAAGCACAGTTGCGTCTGGAGGAGCCGCCTGAGTGTCTCAAGTAGTACGTGGCACAGTGACCTAGGGTAACTCATCAGGTGGACAAGAAAAAATTCCCTCACAAAGGCCAAAGCCTTACGCTTTAACGAACTGGTTTGTATGACATGTTGTTTGACCATGTCTGAAGCTGTTGGACCAAGATAGGCATGGCGTAATAATCATTCAAACGAGCCGAGAGATGCAAAGTAGTGGTGTGCATGATGAAAAATGAATTCAAACCCTGCTCACATTCTCACCTGCACAAACCCGGCAAATTGCTGTGTGAAGCAGACTGACCGTTTCGCAAAGTTACAAAAATCAGTCAGATGCCGCCCCCGATATTCCCCCGACAAAAAGGTGTGGGGGCAGGGGATTGCGACGTGGTTAAACGATCCAACAAGCACTCAGTCCGGAGACACACTGACCTCTTTATTCTTGCTTAGTGTGGCTGAACAATTGCTGTCGTACTTGCAGGTGTTTGCCAAGTACACACACAAGTTTTCAACACTAAAATTCCTGTTCCCGTATCTAATATCGTACTGATATTTTCTGCTGACACTGACTTCAACATATTTTGCTGGCAATGATGATAAAACCAGATCAATACAAAACATTGCTGGAATGGTTTGTGTTTTGTTTTCTCCAACATAGGCTGCCTAGAATACACAGCAAAAGATATTAAAAAATCCTTTTATACCACAAACTATTACATTTCTCTGTACCTACATTGTTGTCCACTTCTCATCTGCCTCAATGGCTGCTTTGTCTTGGATGTTAATGTTCTTTATCTATTCCATGTAAATGTTACAGAATGTTATCTTCTCATTGTATTTTATTAAATGTTGCACGAACGGTTTTCCTCGGAGGGACAATTCAGTGGTTGGATCTTGGCAGCAAAGTAAAAGACTTAGAAAATGGTTTCTTTCAAACCAACTGCAAAAAAATGTATGTTTTATTGAAACCAAGTGCGACTAAGTGAATCATTAAAATGTTTTCTAATAATTCACAGTGGTATGCAAAAGAATTGTTCTATAATTTTTATAGAATCTGGAGGGATTTTTTTTCCCCCTGTGAACACAAACATATCAGTCTGGCAGCCAATATTAAAAAAGCCAGCGTCTCTGGCTGCAAGGCAGTCTTGCTAACCGTAGGCAACCCTACAAACTGTCACTCCTGGAACGATCGTAATAACCTTCAGAGTTTATCTGCTTCACACAAACTCCATTCAATGATATAAAAGCTACATTGCGTGTTTTAAAGGGGTATATGTTCACAAAGATGTCTGCCTCTTGACTATCTCTGGTAAGATTAATTTTTCATGTACGATGCTTTGGGTAAATTAAGACTCTGTTTAAAGTGAAAACAGAGCTTGGCTGTGTATGGGTGTGAACCATGGGTTTAGGGCCATGCCTCTTACAAGCAGTCAGGCACTCACCCAGCTGCACTGGATTCCCAGCTACTCAGTAGCTGCAGGGAAGTTCTTCCAATTCACTGAGCCTTACCTCCAATACTGCAAATTTACTACTTTAATTACATGTACCCTTATTGTTAAAGGAAGCAGAGGAATAAGTAAACCAAAGACACATCCAGCAAGAGAGAGCAGGACAGTGGGAGGGAGAGAGTAAGCTATTGCTAACTGCCAAGCTAAAGAAACTAGTATATGTGAATAGCATGTAAATAACAGAAATACCAGCAACAGGAAATGAGACAATACGCTTACCGCAGCACAGCAATAAATACCCTGTTAAGATTTAAAAGGTTTCTGTCCACTGAAATGACTTTGAAAGGGCTTTTAATCCGAAATGGTTACATGAAATGTTCAGTTTGTATTAATGTGTAATTTAACAACTTTAACAGGAGCAAATCAAAATGTGGCTTCCTAATAAAATAACACTATGACCAATTATACATATCAAACAGAGGTAGTTAGAAATAAAGGCCTGTTACCTTCAGAGGTTGAGGTACATAAAGGCCCCGCTACGGTGTTGTTGTCCAGCCAAAAAGTCTCTAAATCTAACCACAAACATGCTAAATTGGCAACACTGCAGGCTGTAATTGCCCCCCTAATGGAAACTGTTTGCACCAATTCATTTTGAAAGAGCAACAGCCAACTCACAGACATTTGCACTTACAGGGCTGGTCCCGTTGTTGTGGTCTCTTAAAACACCTTTTCCTTGTCTCTAAATTTTCATGCTCCCCAGTACTGTTAGCAAACCACAGTCATGTTTTCCTCTTTATTGTCAGTAAGGAGATGTCACTGATAAATTCAGTTTGTGGATGTCCTATCAGACCTGTGTATGAGAATAACAGTAGGCAAACCTGGTTGTGCAGTTAGTTGATAAGCTACACCCACACAGTACAGTCATAACATTTTCCCTGTACCTCCGGTCTTTCCTTTGTTTCTTACAGAAGGGAAACAGAGGGAAAGCTTGTAAAAACACATACTTGTGCCTCTAAAGCATTAACATGAGTAACAGTCTTCTAGTCTTAATGCTAAACTAAGCTCAATACAGACAGATGACAGACTAAAGGAAAAACCTGAAAAACGAGTAGAGACACAGGATAACAATGCCCCCATCCACAGGGCATGAGGGGGTCACTGAATGGTTTGATGAGTGTGAACATGATGTGAATCATATTTTATGGCCTTCACAATCCTCGGATCTCAACCCTGTTGAACAGCTGAGGGAGATTTTGGACTGACTGTGTTGGACAGCGCTCTCCACCACTATCGTTAAAAACACAGAATGAGGGAGTATCTTTTGGAAGAATAATGTTCATCCCTCCAGTGGAGTTCAGAGACTTGTAGAATCAATGCCAAGGAGCACTGAAGCTGTCCTGACAACATGTGATGACCCCACACTTCACTAAGACATTGTGCTTTTGTGGATATTTACTCAGAAAATTCACACTGCTTCCACAGTTCTACAAAAACTACGCCCTCACTACACGTCAAGCCCCCCCTTTCCAATGCGTCTGACAATACTGATAACAGACAATCTACATTATGCTGCAAGTAGCCAGGTGTGTCAAGGTGTGAACGTAAGCCATTGCTTTCAAGCTCTCTTTTCTCATTTTTTACACAAATACTTCTGACTGCTGACTACAAGACCACAAAGACATGGAGAAGCCACATGGTTCTTAGAGAGAGATCAGGGGAAGGAGTGTGAAGAATGCTGAACCAAGTCAGTAGACAAGTCTGACGGACCTTTGTGAAATCAGTAAATCCAAAACAAAAGACGACTGTCGTGTTTCACCATGATAGAGATTCAAATTCACCTTCTACAAGCAGGTAAAATCCACGGGTGTTCTTCCTCAGGATCTTGATGGCCACATCCACCATCTCTGTCAGTGAAGGATCAGTCTCAGTGTTCCTCTCCAAGTCATATGTCAGATCCCCAGGCTCAAAGAGACCTGGAATAACAGGGCACGGCAAGGGCAAGACACAGTTCATGGAGAAATAAGATATTACACACAGAGTATAAGCCCCGGGCAAATGTATACACATATGGCTTCATTTACACTTCAATGAGACGGGAAACTCACCCAATAAGTAGTCCACGTTGTTAGGGTTCAGTGATAAGAGCTGCTTCTTGTTCCATACATAATGGCCTTTCTACACAGTTAAAAAAAAAAAAAGACACAAATGTACAGCACAGTGTGACTGGTAACACTGCAGTTACTTTGAACTCCTAAATATGCAAATGTAATTGGAAAGATAAGAGAAGGAGCAGAAAGAAAGGAAGAGCAAAGAGAGGGAAGAGGAGGAGGAATTTACTTTATCCTTCATTCTGTCAGTCCACTCCTCCACCAGGTTTCTCCCGTCTTTCCGTGTGCCGCTGTGCTTTGCCACGCCGGGGTACTCGACATCTGAGGTGTTTTTGGGGAACATGTACTTCCTGCCTCCGCCCATGATCACCTGAAAAGCCGCAGAGTAGAAAACGAAATTACAGTCTCAACCACTGTAGTAAAGGAGGGAAGAAGAACATGGAACATAACATCGCAGTTAGGTTGTAAATATAATAGATACACAATCTGGTTAGTTCAGTGTCAGTACAAAAGCAGGTGACAATTAAATGTTTCAAAGTACCTTTGTCTCAATGATCTACTGTTAAACTATGTATGAGAATTATTATTATTAATATCATTATTATTATTATTATTATAAATTATTATTTTAGTAATTGATTAACCTGCCAGTTGTTTTCTTGATTGATTCAGTAATTGTTTGGTCCTTAAAATGCCAAAAAAGTGAAGAAAGAAAAATGCTCATCACAGTTTCCTCATGGCAAAAGCAATATCATCAAATTTCTTGTTTAAGAAGACTAAGCTACCTAACTACAGCCATGCTAGCGGCTCTGTGAGACTGTATTTAGGTACAGTGTTGCTTTGAGCTAAATGCTAACATGCTAATGTTTAGCAAGTATATTTTTCACTGTGTTAATCAACTTGGTTTAGCTTGTTAGTATGCTAACATTAGCTAATTACAGCTAGGGCTGATGGGAGTGTCATTAGTTTTGCAGGAATTTGATCTTAAACCGAAGTATTGAACAAATTAAAATTATGACCTGGTGGTGGCTCTGGAGGAAATTCAGAGGATCACCAAGTTACTACAGTTCATGCTGAGGGGACCACGAATGTCTGTACCAAATTTCATGGCGATCCATCCAATAGTTTTTCAGACATTTCACTATAAACTACAAGTGTGATCCTCATGGTGCTAGAGAAAAGTCAAGAGATCACCAGAGTCATTGGGCCTCATTCTGTTTGGATCATGAATGCCTGTAGGAAGGTTCACAGCTGTCCATCCAATACTTATTGAGATATTTCAGTCTGTTATTCAGTCCAAAATGTTGGACTGAATAACAGACCAACATAGTCATCATCAAAGTCAGGCCACTAAAACGGGTAAAAACCCAGCAAGAACAAGGAAACATTTCGATTTTTTTTGCTTAAAAAATGACAGTAATTATTTATCAATGATCAAAATAGTTGCTGATTATTTTTCTGTCGAATTGATTCATCGATTAATGGTCTCAACTCTAATCACAATCAATACTTTGCACTCACATCGATGTCGGGAATGTTTTCGAAGAGCTGTCTGGCGATATCCTTGCAGCCGGCTTGCAGGGCTTCAGCCGGCATCTCGTTGTCCGAGTACCAGTCTCTGTCCACACTGTGGGCGTAAGCAGCGCTGGGAGTTGCATGATTGACACGAGTCGTAGTCACTATTCCCACCGACTTGCCTGGAATTGACACACATATTCAGCTGTTTTAACAACCGCAGAGTCATTTCTGATTAAAGCAGCGGTTCCGACTTCAGAAAACCTGCAACATTTTTAGCACAAAATTCCCAGGAAAATTCCTACAAAGGAATCACATGACAGCCAGTATGGACATGATGATTACAGCAATCAATAACTCAATAACACCACAAATCATGTGAAAATGTGAAAAAAAACATCGAAGAAAGTCTGCAGTGTCATGTCCACCAATGGAGTTTTTTGGCATAAAAAACCTTCCTGGTGTTAAAGATAACACTGGTAACCCCTGTTCCCCCAGGAATGATTGGATTTCTTATTATCTGTGACCCCTGACCCCACACACATGCTCTCACACAAACACACACACACACACACACACACACACACACACACACACACACACACACACACAACCTGACCCTCACCCACCCTCGTCTTATCCCCCCCATGGCCATCTGAAAATCCAGGATACTGATTCCTTTCACATCTCGTGTCTCCTTTTCTGTGGAGCCTCTTATCATTTTACGAGTTACACGACATGTCTTCAAACACATTACATAACACTGTGATATGTTAAGTTAAAGTAAAATTCTAAAGAAAATCACATGATTTATTGTGATACTAGGGTCATCGTCCAGCCTTTTGATCAAAACCTTTTGTATGAGATGTGGCTCCATGTGGTGTTCCGGCTCTGTGGATAAAGCATTGAACTAATTATTTAAATTGAAGCAAGGACACAGGCACATTTGGGTTCAGCAAAACAAAAAACAACCACAAACCATAGGAAACTTCAAAGATGGCCAAACAGGGAATTCGTTAAAAAAAAAAAAATCGTTAAAAGCCTATCTCTTGTATTTTTAAATGAGAACACATGAGAAATAACACTTTGGGTTAGGTAAATGCTACTTACAAACCGCTCTACTGATAACTTTAGTTCAAAGGATGAACAGCTGAAAAGGGGAATGAGCAGAGTGAAAAAAAAAAAGTGTATTAAGAGCATTACTTTCAAAAGCACTTCAAAGTCAGTGCTTTGAGCGATCAAGTCGCCCTGTTGAGTGTTCCCACTTCACGTTGACACAGCATTAAGTACAGCCAGAATGAAGTTTCCTTGGACATGAAACGCACAATATAAATTGCAAACAAAAAAAAAAAATTACAACTCTGCATCACTGTAGACAAGGCGACGTCCGTGGAGATGGCCTGTGTTTATATTATGTTAATTCAGTGTCAACCTACCTGCATCCTTGGCCCATCTGAGGATGGAGGTGACCTCATTGCCCTCTGTAGTGTTACACTGGGATCGGACAGCAGCTGCGCTCACGCCCACGGTGCCTTCGTTGGCCTTGACCCCGCAGAGGTAAGCTGTGGCTGTGCCAGCACTGTCTGGCACCTGTGCGTTAGTGTTGTATGTCTGCAGAGACACAGGCCATTGACATGTCATCAAATTTCAAATACCAAATGAGATTGTTCGACAGGTGCTACTCCAACAATAACAACCACTGATGAAAACGCATTTGGCGCTGGGTATTTACAGCTAGACAACTGGCAGACACTTAATAATTAATTGTTGTTCTTGTTATTATAAGTCTTTTTTGAGCAAACATGAAAAACAGTTAGTTTTAAGTAACTTGAAGGTTGTGAATTCAATCTCTATGTATTCTGGACTAATAATCAGACAAGACAAGCAATTTTTAGACATCACCTTGGCCTGTGGGGAATTGTGATCAAAAAGGCATTATTGTGCATTTGAGTAAATGAATGCAAGCTATTCAAATATATAATATAAACAGTCACGAGGAAATATGTTTTTAATTTTAGTTCTTGCCTTGGATGCCACCTACGCTACAGAGTGCCCATCTAATGAAGGAACATGTCACCAGTGCAATGTGTGGCCACACTTATCCTTTAACTGGTACATATGAAGCTGTCATTGCTGATGTGTGTGCCCGACGTATAAGTAGTCAAACTACTCTACAATGTCTGACCTGTTTTTTTTTTTTTTTTAATCAAATCTGTAACATAATACACAGCCATTATGACATGACACACTGTATGACCTTGTTTACGGTCACAGGCCCTTGTCAGGAAGCCATTAATGGCCTCAGCAAGATCAATACATTGTCCTATATGTATGATATAATAACCAAGCCAGACCTTGGCCAATGATACAAAAGGGAATTTGTCCATCTCCAGCTGCATCTCCTCTCCACTCTGTCCCATCAGCTGACCCTTCAGTATTCGAGCGGCCGTCACCGTGGGAACGCCCATCCCTAAACATCAAAAGCAGGTCAACTGTTAGGCTTGCATTCGTGTGCCCTCAGGGTGATAAAGACCCTCAGAGCCTGTGCATGATAAACATTAGCATGCTTTATTCACACCTGAGCTCAGTTTGCCACAAATGAAGGATTGTGCTTTCTTTGGCATTTTAGAACAAGGTTACTGCTGTTAGGTAAAACATTTTCTTAGATACAAATTACTTCCTAAACAAACACCCAGGAAGGAAAAGCACACAGAAAAAAAAGATAGAGAAGAAGAGAAAACAAGGATTAAAAAAAAAATACTTTTGAGGTTATGGGGAGAAAGGACCCTGTGTAGTTAATCTGTAACTTGCTGGATGAATTTAACTTTCAGTGATTCTTTGTTGTTTGGTTGTCTAGAATTAATACCTGAAACTGAACATAATCACAGGAAGTGAGGATATCTTTATAAATCTTTAACCTGCCCTACATGGGTGAATGCCTCTGGTGTTTGGTTTTCTACATTGAATGGATAAAATTACAGATAATCACCGGAGAGTATGAGAAACAGTTTTATATACTCCAAGTCAACTGTTTATTGTCATCTTACGTAAATTCTATGTCTTGTGTGCAGAAAAAAATTGCAATAAAACATTGCATGAATTGCTGCTTGTTTCACATGACTTCAGGCTCAGAGGTACAAAGAAGAAACATTTTATCGTACAGCCGAGTCTCGTTACTTTTTAAGACAATCTAGTGCTTTTCCCTGTAAAAAGTAGGCAAAGTCAGGCAAAGATTAAACAATCATTCCCTGTTGTGTCTCACCAGCTTGTTGAAAAAGTTGTAAGATGCTGCCTGTTATTGTCTGACTACACTAACATGACCACGTATGCTGCAGCGCGCAAGAATGTCGTGCTGTGCCTATAGTCCAAACAGAGAGAGGGGCAGAGGCCCGATGGAGGATAAAAGTTATTGTGTGACCAATGAGCGTCCCAGCACAGACACAAGCCCAGTGATGTGGTGGCAGCACAGTTGTTTTGTTTGATGCTATTCATTAGAAAACATTTGAAAAATCTCATTTATGTTCCACTGGATTACTGGATCCTCTATAACGTCATTTCAACGTAATTAAAAGTGTAAACTCGGCAGGATTGTCCAGAAGTATTCATGTCTATAAAAATAAAATGACAAGGGCAAAATGGTCAAGGCTCTGCACTGACAATTTGGGTGTTTAGCAATGAGATTACTGAAAATCCCTCTGCAGCAAGGCTACCTTCCACTTTTAAGTGGTTTTACACAGGGTTGGGGGGTGGGCGGTGGGGGGGGGGGGGATTCATCAATTCTCACCACAAATTAGGATAGAAAAATAATGATGTTGTGTCTCACCATCTCCAAGGAAGAGGATGAGATTCTTTGCTGTGTTTTTATTGAGTTTTTCCAGTGTCAGAGCGTTCTTCAGCGTCTGCTGGGCCCACGCATTCCAAAATTTAGGATCCTTCTCTCTCTCTGTGCATCACAATAAACAACAATGAGTCCGGTTAGCTTTGGATAGTCACAGGATTCAACAGACACACGTCTGTCCGTAAGAAATTTGAGTGCATTGAAAGTGGATCAGATTCTTCAGAATGTAAAACCACTTTGACAAACTGTGTTAACAGATTAGTGTATTGACAGATTATTCAATCAAACTTGACTATATGAGTGTTATGTCATACTATCTGTGCTCTGTTTTCCCCTGTAGCCACAACATGAACTACAACTGAACTGAAACAACAGGTCGATTAATTGACTAGATGTAAATGAAATAGCAACGATTTTGATAATCAATTAACGGTTTAAATCATTTTTTAAATTGAATAAAATTGATTTCAGCTTCTCAAATGTAAATATTTGAAGGTTTCATCAGTCTCCTATGATAGTTTATTGAATATCTTTGTGTTTTGGGCTCGAATTCAGTCAAAAAAAGACATTTGAAGATTTCATCTTATGTTCTGGGAAAACTATTTTCACTGTCAGTCAGTAGATTAATCAATAATTAAGATAACCATGTTAGAGTCAAACTGTCAGAAAAAGAGATGTACATTAACATTTCACATTAAGAATCCACACACCGGATAAGCCTCACCTTTTGTTATACAGAGGCTTTTACAGGATGATCATGTTTTAGAAAACGTATTCCTGTTATTTCTCTGTGGTGCCAACAAATTGAATGCAGTGGCAAAGACGTCCAGTTTAAAAAAAAACACAGGAAATCCTTTTGAATAAATAAACTTCCTTCAAGACCTTCAAACATTCTCCTACCAACTTGAAAACCTGCAGTGTTTGCTGGACATCTCCTGTCGTGTTACAGACGTATGGGCAGTTGTTGCTGTTTGTGCGGTGGCGACTGACTAACAACACAGTAACTTACCTGGGAATTGTGGCTTCCCAAGACTCCCCAAGATCAGACAGGAGCAAATGATGAGCAGGGTTGTCACCTTCATGTTGTCGTCTCTGTGTGGCTGACGCGTTACTCTAGACAGCCATAACATGCCACTTTGAGAAGCTGAGGAAGCCTGTCTGCAGTCGCCTCACAGCTATGAGAGAAAAAGGGACAACACACTTATAATTAAGTCTGTGTCATCACGTCACAAGCCGACTCTGACAAACTGGTTTAATATTTATTTACTCTGTGATGATTTAACTTAGGGCACTTATTTCAGCCAGATAACACACTTCTTGCTCATGCTGTGGCACTGCAAATATCTAATCTGAAAGTGACTAGTGCAACCACAGGCTTGTATTAGTGAATAGACAACCCCACCGAAGTATAAGTTCTTTGCTTAGTGCAATCTTAACAGCAACTGCAGACAGAAGTGGTAGTATGGCTCATTCCCTTCTCTCACACAGGCTTTCTAAATAAAGAAACAGGCAAAAGGAAACTGTGTGTGCAGAGGGCAAGAAAAAGCACCAGAAGAATACAACCAGCAGTCTGTTTTGAAATCATCACAAACTGGTGTAGATAAAAAGATATTTCCTGGTATTGTTGCTCTCACTTGTTGAAAACAGATTGCTCAAGCCCACTTTCAAGCTTCCCAGCAGAAACAAAAGGAAGGCTTGGTAAAGTTAAGCTCAAGGCCTTGCTGTGAATGTAAGCAGTCACAACAGGGGCCCTTATGGGTCCTGGTCAGTAAGGCTTTCATCTGCAATTATCCACGCCCTCCTCCTTTCTTCCCTGTGCTTACAGTCAAGGTCATTTTAATGGGATTGCGCTCCATAGCACTGAGAGGTTTAAGGGCCATAACAAAGCCGATTAACACCAAATGATTGACTGGACACATCCACCCCTGAGAGGGAAACTCAAGATATTAGCACTTTTATCACAAAAATCTTTCACCTCTGCAATTCTGACACTGAGGCTTCAGATTCTATGGACAGGGTTGCGTGCAAACATGCATTATATCATACACTCCAAACTGCAGCATGAATACACTTTGACGTAGTTAAAGCAATCAATATAATGTACTTGTTTCCATTCAAGCCTGTTGTCATTCAGTGCACATACAGCATACCTTTGAGCTTCACTTTTGCATTCTGACTCGTCAACAACTCCAAAAGCTTGTTCAGACCGGTTACTGTGCCAAGCTCCATCTGGTTTAATAAAAAACAGGCAAGTCTGAACCACTCAGGACACATTATCTGCTCCAACCAGACATAAGTCAATGAATTCAATAACAAAGTGCAGAATTAGTACAAGGTGATGTGCCAGAAGCCAGTTGCTTTTACCGTTCCTCAGACCGCGGCAGGCCAGAGTGGCCTCAAAATCTGCCTGGTCCACCCACAGGCAGTGAACCAGTCAGTCTGCAGGTAAAATAGCAAAGCAATACCACCACGGCTATCAGGAAGATGCCGGTCAGGAAAGTGGTCAGTATCACATGAAATCCCACTTCTGCCATGGCGTATCCAAGCTTTCGGCTACTCCAATGTGCCTAAAATCACAGCTGTTGTCAAAAGGGGGTGAAATTTCCCAGCACCAAATTATTCCACCTCCTTCAGCTTCACGCTGAGCTGCCACTGAAGCCCCGAGGCAAGTCACACAGACATTTACATGTGCTACGCCAGCAGGTAGCAGCTACAAAGCTTGGATTAGGCTTTTAATTATGCTCAGAAGTGGAGGGTTGACAAATAGAGGCTGACCTCCGAAATATTCTATGAGAACCCCACATTCATCTCTGCTGCACTTCAAGAAAAGCAAAGCAGATGAGTGCCTTGAATAGTTTTCAGACAGAAAAGATTCTGTTATCACCCCTATCTCTATTCACTCTGACTGGCAAGGACACATAACACAGTTGCCAGTTTTTAAATCGGCAACTTGGTTTGCTTCTCACACCAGTCTCACCCAGCATCTTGTATGCACCCAGAATAATGAACATTTAAACAGAATTTCACAGTGTCATAAACATCTTACTTATTTTCTTTATTGTATTAAAGATCTGATGTCACTGTGTATGAATATTTATTAGCTAAAATGAAAAAAAAAGTTGATGAAACAGATTTTATAATCATTTTGTCAAGAACTAAATGGGTTGTGCAGTCAAAAGTAAAGCCTCCCAAAATGTTTTCATGTCCAAAAAACCCGAATTAGATCTGCAAAGGTTACCACATATGTCTTTAAAAAACAAAAAACAAATTATATATAACTGGGGCAGAAGAGGCATTTTATTACAACCCCTCATACATTAAATGGGTTGGGGAATAGGAGGGGATGCAAGAAAACCCATAAACCCATTGTAAGCACTTTTACAATCTCAAATTGTCTAAATCACTTAAAGGTTGTAATCAAAAATGATAACATAAAATCTCGTATTACTCACTAATAAATGAGTTAAACTGTACTAATGAAGACCACCGGGATCAGCACTTAAACTCTAGTGTAAAACGAGAAAAAAGCTGATGTCGGTGCAACAGCTGACCAGAAACCTATTTTTTTTAAATCCACATTGGATCTTTCGACATCGCAGAGCACGGATGAACTCAGGAATATTCAGAGCGGATGCTGAGAGGAAAGATGCAAAACCCAATGGAAAAAAAATGAGTATAACAACCTGTAACCATATTTCAGTTTTACGCTCCGATAACGCGTTTCTCCCAAAGCAACCTGTTATCTGTAGAAAACAAGCCAAAAAAAGTTGCTCGTAGTTTTACTTACTGTAACTGGTTCTCCAGCCAGAAATCTACATCCAAATGTGCCTGAAGTCCATTCAGTCCCTCTTCATTAATTGTGTACCGCTGCTTTCACAGTCCTTTTTATAAGGCCACACTTGTTCGACACTGGCACTGGAGGTCTGAGAATAGCGGTCTGTATCCCACCAGGGGAAAAAAAAAACTTAGAAATAACGATGCAGTGCTGCTGCGGGAGGAGATGGACCGAGAGCTCCGCCTGTCTGACGTCCGAGGAATTGCTTCAAGGACAGAGCACCATCATACAGTGACTACCAGAGGTGGAATTAGCAATACTACAATGTAAAAATTCTCCATTCTAAGTAGAAGGCCTGCAAGATTTTAGTAAAAGTACAAAAGAAAACACACCATGTTGCTGTTTAAGTATTTCAATTAAAGTTTCCATGCAGGAGAATGTGAGAAGTTATACTACTATATATTACAATATTGGATTATTGTTATGATGCATTCAAATTAATACAGAGATTTAAGGTTGTAGCTGGTTGAGATGTAGCTAATATTAATTATTTATTGTACCATAGTTTATTCATTGTTTTTGTAATTTAAGTTAGGGACCAAGGCCACATACCACAGTATTTATGTCCTAAGCTAGTTTGTAGTATCTTACCTTACCTCTTACACTGACCTTTAAAATATTCAAGAAAGTAGGCCTACATACAAAACACACAAAATTCTACAAGAAAATGCATGGCAAAATTCAATAAGAAAACACATACAAAACAGCACAAAACACAAAGAACATCCAATGCAACATATTTTACAATGTGATTATTTATTTGAATTTCAAATCTTCTACAAAACCTACAGCGGTAAAAAAAAAAAAAAAAATGTTGTGAAGTAAAAAGTAATATATTTCCCTCTGAAATTAATATAAAATACCATGAAATGTAATTACTAAAAATTGTATTTGCAAACAAGTTTTACAGCACACATTTTAACTGCAGTTAACAGAGGCCCCAAATTAGACAACACAGGTCTACTTACTGCAGTAAGTAGGTGGCCTTCATTTATGAATTGACTGGCAGACAGATTTGATTCAACATTTATTTGATTAAGCATAGGCTCCTTGCTGTTTACTGTGGCCTCCTTTGGATGTCACTGTAAGACCTGCTTTTACCCCTCACAGTTGTGAACTGCAGGCACTGAACAGGCTGACAACCTACAGTCATGGTACAGCTCTTACTGAGAATAGTGGCTTCTGCTTTTTCCTCTTCACTATATTGTGTCTGCTGGGACGTCTGGGTTACTTTAAGGTTATACTGCTGTCGCTTGTTGCACTGTGAGGGCCTTGTTATAAAAGAGGCACATAAACAGTGTGATGAAGGATGAAAGTTTACTAGCTAACTGTTAGCTAGCTGCAGTCAGACAGCGGTCATAGATTCTTTATCATATTTAATGGCTTTGTGGTGTAAAATTTGAATTTGCAAAGTTGGTAACTATGACAGCCACTAAACACTAAAGCAGAAAAAGTAAACCTATGACTCCAAACAAAGAAAAAATAACTCAAGTAATAGTAGTCTATTCCTACTTAAAATTAACATTAACATTTATTACCTCATATTTCTTGATACTCTATATTGAGGAGTGCAATAGCAGCCTCCAGATAAATATAGGTACTTTTAACACAAAGGAGTGAAAAGTAAAGTTTAAAAAAATCCATACATTGGAAATTCTCCAGTATTAGAGTAATGGTAATTTAACAAAATTGCTACTAAGGTAAATTACTCTAATAAACACCTATTTGGCACTGACTGCTAGGGTGAGCTACTTAACTGTGGAACTAAAGTGCTCTAAAGTGAGACAGGTAGTTGTATGGGTTTGTATAGGACCACCAAATGTGTGTAAAAATAAGGAAGTAGGCTACATTCTGTCAAGTGAGGTGAAGAAGAAAAATGGACTAACGCTATCATAAATGTGCTACAAAGAAAGGTTTTCGGTCAGGTAGGTCATCTGTTAGCTAGTTGGATAAATAAAAATGTGCTGAAAAGCAAGGCAGCTCATTTTTATCACGGTTGCTGGCTTTTTGACAAGACAAAGAACATCCTGAGAGATAAGCTTTAGATTATCATCACCGCATCTCTTACACAGTGCTTTTTTTTGTTGTTGTAAGGAACCTTTGCACAAGTGCGACATGATTTCCGGTGTAGCGCAGAAAGTTTCAGGGAACTATCTTGACAGTGAAGCGCAGTGTCTTTGGCTGTTGTAGCTGAGGCTCACTCACTGTCCCCCGGTCAGAAAGCACACGGGAGCAACAACAGCAGCAGCGGAAGACCATCTGACAGCAAGGTAAGAACGTGTCTTCTGACTACAAACCATAGCCTACTCAAATATGCTGCTTGAGTCAATCATGAAACGTTAAATTAGGTTGAAAATGTTTTTTTTTTTTTTTTAAATGTGTTTGAGATCTGACACAACATCACATGTGCTCAATTCTACGCTGGGATTGATTATTGCTGGCTTGTGTGAGGTTGTTGACATGAAAGTACATTTCCTAACGAAATTTCCCAGTAAACTATCTTTGAATATATTCCTTACATAACTACAGGCTATGCAACGTTTGCTGTATAACAGTTACGGGACCTCGCATTACGTTCAGTGACTTTATTGTTGCTGCATTGTGTTTTAATCTCTTCCCAATTGGGACTTGGGGTTTTGCTGCTTTGCTCTACTTATGAAATGTGCTACCACTTCTTTTTGTTAGGTAATACATCTAGCTTTTTTTTTTTTTTTTTCACATCTTCGTTTCACAAACATCCTGTGTAACCTAGTAGGAATTTTGAGACCCATTAAGTTTCCCCATCAAAGCTTCACATATACTCAGGGTACTTCCATGTGAGTGATATAGTCAACATCAACCCAACATTTCAGTTATTTACAGTGGCCTGTTCAACAATTTAGCCTCAATGCTGAATAAATACAGTAGCTGCAACCAAAACCACATCTTAACCAACATTTCTCTAAGACAGTTGCACATTTGTTTTTGCCTGATTTTAATGGTCACAGAGGCATAAAATAAATTTCTTCTTCCACTGTCTTATTTTAGATGGCTGTGAGCTAATTTATCTGATGGGGGCTTGGAGGGGAGGTGGTGAGCAACTACACGAAAGAGATCATTGATCAAAAAGCAAACTGACTTTGAACATAAACCCACTGAGCGGATCAGTGGCAGACGTAGAATTTCACGTAATGGTTCGTTTGAGTGTCTCTCTAAAGTAAACTGTCATGCTAATCAACACATGCTCACCCAAAACATACAGTAACAAGGGGTCGTTTTGTTAATCAGCTGAGAGGGAGGAGGAAAAATTGTAGCTTTCTTTATATATATATAGTACTTAAAAGCTACAGCTGCAAAGTGCTTCACAGGAAGAAGAAATTAAAGCAACTAAATTAAAGTGAGAACAGCTTCTGGATTTTGGCAAAGATGCTGTAATTTATTAAAGCCAAAATGTGGATTACATCGCTGCAAGGTCAGCAAGGCAAGACACGAAGACTCTTCTTGTCACAGGAAGAAATGTCATGTCATCTGACTCTGTATCATTGGCTTTTCCTTTTAATTAAATGCTTTATTATGTGTTGTTCTAACTCACGAGGCAGTTGAAATGCTACTAATTCAAACCAGTTGGCTGAATGCTTAATCAAACAGTTGGCTACAGTGAACTTGTTTACTCTGCAGACATGGAGCACACAGATCACGAGCGATGCCTGAGTGATCGATTGGTTTAATAAGAGTACACGACTCTGGATTTGTCATGCTCAGGGAGCTTGATTTACTCTGCAGTTATTCATTACCTAGGTGTGATCATGAGTGTGCTGCAGGGTGCCATAACAACAGCAGGAACAGGTAATCTCCTGTTATCTGTCTGTGCCTTGGCTGAAGAACTCATTGTGAGCGAGCTTCCATGTGCCACTCCTTGTAATCCTCACCTCCTCTCACGCACTTTAAATTAGTTTTGGGAGACAAAAATATTGAAATATGAAATATATTGTTTTATATAAGAATGTAATGTAAATATACACTATTGTGCCTGACTAGGTATAGGACCTGACTGGGTGGCATTTGATCATCGCACATCAGAGTACCTGAAACATACATAGGAGAATGACTTGGTGTGTTCTGCCAACCAAGAATTTCAGAGCTGCAGCCTGCATATTAATAACCACGTGAGAAAAGAGGCAAGCTCTTTATTTTATTTATTTATTTTTTCAAGGCGCACACACAACTAAAAATAAACCAGAAGTGTTACGATTCTGGTAAAAGTCCCTTGGCTTAGTTTAACAATCCTGCTCCAGAGGAGGGAAAAGCTGATTGCCTGGGAAAATAGCTTTTTTTTTTTTTTTTCTTGTTAACATTTTACATTATCAGGGTGTTTTCTCCAAAGGAAACATCTCTGTGCTGTGGAAAGAGAGAAAATTCCAGTGGTGTCTTGATGTTAGAGGTCAGGAGCTAAAGCCTGAGACAATTTTGTCTTTATCTGTGGCCTTCAGCCAGAAACACAGAACTGTGTAAGAGCTGCGGTGGCCCACGGCTGCTTTTATTGATGTCTACTCTTTGAGTTATCATCTGCATCTTTTTGTTTGCTTCATTTGTATATGAACATGCGCTCAACGTAGAGACACAAGCACATACTGCACATGGCACTGGGTCACATATAGGTCAAGGGTTACAGTGCATGGCAGCTTGTGTCACTCTAGTAAACAACCACTGTACAAAATACAGTTGTGTGTGATTTGTGTGTAGTTGCAGTATTGCAGTGTGTGCAGTTTACCTTCAGATGAGATAATGCTGAATCGGACAAAACCCTTTGTACTGTGCTTGTTTAATCTTGTAGTGAGAAGCGTTGAAGTGTGGTCATGTTTACACATGGCATTGTGGTATTTCTGGAATGTTTTCTCAACTTCACTTTTCTCCTTTGGGATTCAAGAAAAGGGTTAAGTGATACTTACTGCTTCACGCCTGAAGAGGAAGTTGTTGTTTTTTTTTTAATTTTTACAATCATTACAAGCACGATATCAGTCACAACTGAAAGGGAGAAGTTGTATTTCAGTAGTAATGTGCCTCCTGTCACAGAGGTCAAGTAACTTGTCACGCTGACTCTGAGGCTCAGATTGTCACTAAGATTGTTTTTGGTGTGTAGTCTTCAATTACTGATCCTCTGTGGTCTGAACCCACATTAGACCAAGCATCTACGTGGCTTTCCACGGTGGTTTAATGAACCACCTTTTTTTAAGATGCAAAAATGTGTTTACTGCCAGCTTACGTCAAACACGCACGTAAATCATCTGTCGTCTCCTTCCTTCCACTGATGTCTTTTCAGCTTGTTTGTTTTTTTTATACTATTCCTTTTCATGTTTTCTCCTATAAATTCTTCTCCTGTTTTTCTTTTTTTTTTTTCTTCAGAAATAAAGTGTCAAACACTGTACGCTGCATATACATGCAGCACTCTATCCCAAACACAAACATACTCCAGTTATTCTTGGAGGAATGCCCCCGTGCTACAAATAATCATCTGGTTTGAGGGATCAGTGACGAATTACTGACGTATGTTTGTGGTTTACAGCCTCACTCGAAGGTAGTCATGGCCTCACATCACTTCCAAGAATTGTGGGATGCTGACCCTTCATACTGTCAGCTTTTTTGTGGGAAGACATCTTCATGCCCTGTAGGACACAATAGGAGATTCGCTCCAGACTGTCCAGAACTGACCTTGACCACAGACTATTAGTAGGCCTATGAGAACTGCATTATTTTGTCTTTTCAAATGGCTCCCAGTTGTCACTTAACGTGACTTCCAGTAAGTCCAGGGCATCAACACAAACTCCTCAGTAGCCAGCAGTCTTTACAGATGTTATCTGACAGAACTTTCACCCTACTACCACACCAGCAAGTTATGGCATCCTGTTGACCTCAGATTTTAGGTGCTAATATGTGATTCCAAGTTTTAGGATTATGCAGATGAGGATATTATGGTGGAGCTCATGACGCATTAGATCAGGTACAAAGGTCATGGGCATATTTCCTAAGGAACGGCTGATATTATTCACCAAATATCATGAACAGGAAAGGGAAAACAGTCAGTGTGACAACATGTGCTGCACCCCAATGCCAGGAAAGTCAAAAACAGTGAACGCGCGATGAGGAATGTGTGCATGTGCGACAACATTGCAGACCACACGATCAAATCGGGGATATTTTTTGATGTGTAACAGTAATTCAGTGAATTCATCTCTTGTTTTGTTAAGTGGAGCAGCTGTAATCCTGTCATGAACTGTAGTTAAATATCAATGGTACAAATGCTGTGTGTGACTGTGTGTGCATCAAGTGTGTGTGTGTGTGTGTATGTGTGTGTGTGTGTGTTTGTGTGTGTGTGTACGTGTGTGTGTGTGTGTCTGTGTGTGTGTGTGTGTGTGTGTGTGTGTGTGTGTGTGAAGAGAAAATGTCAAACATCAATATTCCCATTAGGACTTTTGCTTTTAGCTATAGGTCATTTGAAACCATTTGTGTAATTGAAGGTGTCCTAAAAACAATTGGTGTCCCCTTACCTCTGCCCCTCCCCGTCTCTGTCTGTCTCTCTGCATCTCTCATCACTTTAGTCCTCCGTGTTTTGTCCCAACAGTCTCTTTTATAAGCTGATAATGTGACTTTGCCACCTGGCTGCTGGGTTTAACAAAGCTTAAAAACACACCAGCACAGGAAGGGTTTGGACATTTGTATGATATTATTTATTGTTGTTTTAAGGTTAAGATGAGGCCATCAGCAATCCCCTCCTCCCATAGTTACGGGGTTTGATTTGCGGCATCTTGTCTGATAGAAAACAAGATTTAACAGGAATCTGAGCTCTTGGTTTGCCTGGAATTCTCTGGAATGCATGTGGTGGGAGCACGATTTTCTCCTCTGTGGCATGTTTACGTGAAACATGAAGTGAGCAATAAAATAAATCATGGATCTGCGAATGGACTGCTCTCTGGCTTTGTTTACAAGATGGTCTAATCCAGCGTCATCCAGTAAACATTTATATTCAGACGCTGGTTCGTCTTGTGTTCAGTGGATGTTAACATGGGAAGATGGAAGCCAGAGCATGATGGTAAATGTCCAGAAGGACGGAGACTGAGATTGTACTGAGAGAACAAAGGCGATCTGCAGCTGCTCTGGCAACACGTGATGTATGCTGAAAATATTTCACTTGGAAAGAATATAGTCAGGATTCTTCCCTTCCACAGTCACCTCTGCATTGTTATGTGCTGTATTGAGAAACCAGCCATATTTCTGTCAGGCAGACAGACAGCTGAGGTTAATCATTACCTTCTTTCAGTGTTGGTGATAGTGTAAGAATCAGGTTTAATCAATCTAATGTAGCTAAGTCTCAGCTATAGGTCCTTTGTTGAAGGTGCCCCATGGAGTTTTCTTGCTAAAAAAAGTTTGTTTACATTCAGTGTTCGTTAATAAAATGCATAGTGTGCATCAAAGACTGCAACCAAACAGTTATTTTCCTTATCAATTAACCTGCTGATCATTTTATCGATTAAGCAATTACTCATTTAGTCTATGAAATGTAAACAAGTAGTGAAAAGCAGCAATTCAAACTTCCCACAGCCCGGGCTGACACTTTGACATCGCCTGATTTGTTCAAAACTTAAAGATATTTCATAAACTATCATATATGACAAAGAAAAAAAAGACAGCCACTGTGACACTTTTGCTTGAAAAGTGGCTGAAAATTAATTCCCAATTAATCTTTCCATCGAGTTATTGACTAATCGACTAATCGACTAATCGACTAATCGTTGCAATTGTGTTCATCCTTGAGGCCTGACAAATGTGTTGGATTTATTTCCTTCACCCCTGTTTGAGAGCGTGCGCTCATCTTCTTCACTGATGCCCTGTTTCTTAGTGTGTTCCCACCACCATCTGTTTATCAGCAGAATAGTGTGAAATCAGCAGCAAATGTGTGTGATGGGTCAGCAAGCTTGCATATGCACCCTTGAGCCTGTGCATGATACAAGCAAAATGGTCACCAGATCAAAAAAAAACCATTGCTACATAAAGCTGCTAATGGGGAAAAAATAGACATGGATTTGATTCAATCCAAAACAATAATAATTTGACCATTATAAATTGCAGTTATGGTATATTATTACAATTTAAAATTAAATTGACTTGATGTATTGTGTTATGATGAGAACATTTGCCTCTTTAACACCTTATGTTATAAAAAATTACTGATATGTTAAGTAGCATTTAAGTAGCATTGAATTTTGGTGGATCGCTGAATCATGTATTTACACCTGGATCACAGATGGTATCTTTAAAGGGTCCATGCGGTGTGCAACAGGCCTTTTTTTATATTAATGCCATTTAAAAGCTGAATACAAAGCTATATTGGTTAGCGTGTTTGCATGTTTTGATATTATTTTGCTCGACATTATTGCAGTTAACACTGAATATTAAAACTTATTGATTTACAAGATTGTTTTAGATTTTTTAAAATATACTTGAAGATGATTAGGAATACAGCATGTACATGGTCAGCCATACACATTCTTAACTTGGGTTTTCATTCATGTTATATTAAGTTAGCTGAGCTTGCTAGTTATCTGTTAACACTTTATTTAGCTTTTCTTAACAATTTTTTAAAGAGCCATTCAATTAACTGACTCTTTTTCCATTTAATGAGGGGCAAACTATTTAAAATGCACTGTTTGAATGTTTTAGAGGCCTTGTGGGTGAGGGGTTAAACAGGACTGACTGTCATGCCTATCAGGTAACCGTTACCATGGGCAGCCACTACAAGCATGTAGTGGGAGGAGGATTTTTTTTCTTTCAGGCTCCTCCCACAAGTGTATCATGTCCTATAGAAAAGACCTTGGGTGTAGACTACAACTGTAAGGTTCACTCCCCAAAATCTAACAGAAACCACATTGGTGAAGGCATTCACACACACACACACACACACACACACACACACACACACACACACACACACACAATCACTTCCACACACTCTCAGTCATGTAAGTCTAGTCAGTGCTCCTTCCTGTTTTTCACTAGTTCCGTCTTCTCTCGTGCCGTGTTAGCACTGACTAGGCTGAGGAGGAAGTTCCAGCCTTGGAAGAAGTCACACAGGACCCACAAGGAGATTTTACAAGGTCTTTCAGGAGGAGGTTGTTGTTGCTGTGACGTCCCCCCCCCCCCCCCCGGGGGTATCTGCCAGACGCCGTGGGGGCTCTGAGAGGTGTTGTTGGTGCTGAAAGGGGGCAGAGACATGCTTGTGAAAGAGGACTGACACACTCTTTGTAACCACACTCAGTGTATGAGTGAAAGAGCTCCAACCAGACAAACCAGATTCCTCCTGATGGATTTCAGAGGGAAATTCTACCCTGAAGCCCCAGAGACTGCTGAGGAATAGATGTCACTCACAAAACACTCTCACACACACGTCAGTGGGAGAGGAGAGGTGCTTGAAGGAGCATGGAAGCACTGAGAGAGTCTTTTCTGCATTTGACTTTTCAGATGTCATCGTATAAACGAGCCACGCTGGATGAGGAAGACCTGGTGGACTCCACCGGTGACGACATCTACCCATCTTCACCCTTGCAGGTAAACATGTAAACATCTTGTGCTAAAAATAAACAAATGGGTTACTGTCAGCATTGTGTATATATATATATATATATATATATATATACAGCACATTGGAAAACGTACAGGGATTTTAAGGGTTCACACTTTATGAAAAACAACACTGCTGTCATGTGGAAATGTTAACTTTTAAAAGAAAAGGCAGCTTTAAAAATGGCTTTGATTGCAGATAAGCATCCACTAATTTTGTGTTGTCATAGTTGATGTTTTGAAATGTTAGAACTGTGGCACGTGGATATAAATTCAGCTCAATTCATGAGGAAGCAATTCAAATTCAAGTGTGAAAATAATTTTTGCAGTATCAGCTCAACATGCGTTTGCCCAATCTAATAAATGTCTCTGTTGAATCATTGTACTTGAAACAGTACTTGGTTTAATGGGATGTGGTCTGTTGGCTGATGCGTCTGATACAATGTCCAGTCCTCCTCCTGTCTCCATCATGTTGCACTGTGAAGAAGGAAGAAGCTTAATGATTGTAGCACATTTGCTTAAGTGCTAATAGGGAATATACAGCAATTAAATTATTCTAGCTGGGATAGCAGATAAGTGTTCTCCAGGGTTTTATATGGCATAAAAATCACAATGTTACTACTTATGTAGGTTTTTTTGTCTAAGCCATTCCTTTATACCTCAAAAACTTTGCCTTAAACAGTATAATGTAAACATGTGCGCACACAGTGTCGCTGGAAGTTCATCCTAGAATAGGTGTTTTTTTTTTTTTTTTTTTTTACAGTTTACAGGTACATCAAAATTTTGGCACAATCTTGTGTGTGTATACTGTTAACACTTAGAATCTTTAGAGAAATGATTTCTGCATTTTCTGTTCCTGTATCTGTTACTTATGCTTTGAAAAGATGGCATGATAAAAAAAAAAAGGGTTCTGTGAGCATTTTGTAAAATATCTGTTTCAGTCTTTATAGACTGTTAGGACCCGTACTCTGCTTCTGAGCCTCAGAACAAGGAGGTGAGATTCTGCAGTGCAGTCATTCCTCAGATATATTATTTGACTTGAAATATAGCTGAGGATTTGAGACAGGGTTCTTGAATTCGAGACTTTAACATGATTCTCTCTTCATAATTTTTGCTGTGATTTTCAAGGTAATAAACTGTGGTTTCCACAGACTGTGATGAACTGCAGTTGGAAAGTGCTCAGGCTTGGCTGTGGGATTCTCTCAATTACACTCAGAAACACAGTTTAGGTCCAAACCAACCAATTTTGCTGAGCTCCTGGGATTAAGAAGCCACTGTGGCTTTGGCATTTGCTTTGGTCACATTTAGTCTGACTGCTGAACTCTCATCTAAGCTAATGGCAGTAAATCGGATCCTTATATATACACTTGAGGGGCAATTGACTTCCACAGGATATATGTGAGGTAGAACTGGCATTAATTTGCAGCAGGGATACTCAAAGACTGGCCAGAGTAATAATGTGGCCTGAGAAAGATTTGTGAGTGGCCCCTGGAATCAGTCCTGTAGGAAATAAATTTCCTTGGCAGCCTCAAAGCATCATTCAGTAGCAAATGTGGAGGAGCAGGGTCTGCTGTTGTTAGATCCACTGCACCAAATCATTGATTTAAAAAAATGTTCAATCAGTAACCACAAAGCCGCCTGGACTCTCCTCCAACCTTTGAATCCTTTATGTTGATTTTCTGGCAGGCTTTGCACTATTTATCTGGAGTTTACCCGTGACTTCTGTTGGTTGTGCTTGGTCATTTCCTTTGGTTGATTTCCTCATTCTTTACAAGTGCACCGCAAAAGCATCAGATATGGTTAAAACAGGATTATTGTGTCTGTTTCCCAATCTGGGTCAAAAGGAAAATGGTCTTTATGAGTGCGTGTTAAATTAGACGCGAGGAAACAATAGAAGAATGCGTAACCTTCTCTGTGTTGGAGGGTTGAAAGGGGCGTAATTGAAAAGCCACTTTGCTTTGAAACCAAACCTGTCATCAGATCCCTGAGAATATTTTCCACAGTGCATTAGTATAGCACAGTAACATTGTTAAGCGCCTATGTTTATGTATTATAAAGCAGATTTTTAAGTCATTTTAAGTCAGTCTATTAACCACACTAAACTTCTTGAGAATGGTCATATTCACTTTGAATTGGATTAAATTAAGCACCTTTTTTTTCTGTTTGTTCATGCAGGTAACTCTGCTGCACGGCCGTGGTCACACATGTTGTCCACAGAGGACACAAAGAGAGAAGAGGGTGCTGCTTTTAGTGTGTGTCGTGTCTGTGGGCCTGTTTATATCTCTCATCACGACTGGGGTCTTCTACAAACAGAGTGAGTTCAAAGTTCTATTTAAACTCTGTGCCACTGCGACATACACTGAGAAACACATGTGCTCTGTGTGAAGTATTCTGACCAGGTGACTCCAGATTTAAAACTCAGTTTCTTACCTCCTGTTTAGTTTTTTTCAATATGTTGTTTTTTTCACTATGTTGTCAAATCAAAAACAAAGGAACCTTTCCAAAAAGACGAATAATCTAAAATAAAATAAAAACACACACACATAAAGGAGAAAGGCTTTAAGAAGTAGTTCAGCAGGTTGAGAAATATACATTTCTGCTTTCTTGCTAAGAGTCAAATGAGAAGATCGGTACCAGTTCCATGTATGTGTGGTAAATATGAAACTACAGCCTCGAGGCGGTTATCTTAGCTTTGCAGAACGACTGGAACGCCTTTTTTAATGTGCTGCATTATCTTTTAGCCAGCAAACTGTTGTTTCTAGACGTTGTTGTTTGTACGGATTAAATAAACAAGATATAATGTGTTAATCAGTGAGCTTTAAGGGTGGATTTAGTTACCTTTGGACAGAGCCAGGCTAGCTGCTTCCCCCTGTTTCCAGCTTTTGTGCTAAGATAAGCTAACCGGCTGGTATCTTATACAGATATAAGAGTGGTATTGATCTTCTCATCTAACTCTTGGCAAGAAAGGGAATAAGCAAGCTAGTCCTTTGATGAACATCAGTTTTGCCTATAATAAGAAACAGTCAAGAGTCATCTTGTCCCAAGATGTTGCGAAAGAGGGACTGAAAATAACCAAGTCTCTGTTGGAAAGTGCAGTTGTTTAACATACTAATATATTATAAAACAGGCATAAAAAATATCACCCTTTATCTCCTTTATCTCCTTTGGCTGAAGGGGAAAAGGCAAGTTCAAAAAAGATCTGTAAGCCCTGAGAAGCTTTGAAGTGTAAACTACAGAACAGAGTTGTAGCATTTCATAAAGTATATGCAGTTTATATTGTTTTTTTTGTTGTTTTTTTTTTAAACCAAAGCCACACCTTCAGTTAAGCTGCCTAAAAACAACTTTAAATCTCTCCCTTGAGCTTGTTCATTATGGAAAAAGGGCTTGTGGATTTACCATCACATCCAGGCGACGTCTCATCTGTGCTGGGTTTCCTCAGATTTACCTTGGGAAACTTAATGCCACTTCCTCCAATTCAGAACCGCATGTCAGATCACACTTTGAAATAATAAAGGGAACAAGGATGAATTCTCCTTGGGGTGCTAACCTAGTCATTGCTCGTAACTTTGTCTCCGTCTTTGTCTCATACCCTTATATGGGCAGATGGTGAAAGTCTTTACAGTGAATAAAGTATTAAAGGTGAGCTGTACTGTGCCCAGTAATGTCTAGCACTTACACTTCTCTAAACACTGAAGATTTTCTAAAGCTCCTCCTGTTAAACAGCTTTTGTGTTTAGAGGTAACACAGATCAGCCAAAAGCCCCTGTGCTGCCCCTCTAGTTGTTTCCTCTTAGAATGATTCTAGACAACATGCACAATATCTGTTCCTGGAAAAAAAGTATTTTTGGAAGTCACATTTAGGCACTAACACAAGCCAAGGTGCAGTGGCATGTATCCACTAGCCAGTTAAAAACCCTTTCAAACGAAGGTGATCGACCATAACTCTTATCCTGAATCATTTCAATGAAGCTGTCCAGCCTCCTTCACCCTCATTTGTTAATCTGTTGTCTACTTATTAATCATCTGACAATAGTTAACGTGTCACGTTGCCTCTTACAAAGACAAGATCAAGCGTCACATTTCAGCTAATTATTTACAAAGGATTTTTACATGGAGAAATATTCTCTCCAGGTTGCATATCTTGGCTATGACCTCTTATAACATAATAGTTTCCAGATGGTCTGGAAACCTGCGTGCATATTTGGATGTCCTACTATGAAATATTTTCAGATTATACACTGTGGTCCTCAAAAATGTCTTTTACTAAGAGAAGTGTTTCCCACATCAGAGGGCCGGTACAGTTGAGGTCTCTATGAATTTAACCTGCTCTATTTTTTTTTTTTAAATCTTCCCTTGTGTAGCTCACCCTGGCTTGTGCTTAACGGAGCCATGCATTACTGTGGCCAGTGCAGTAATAGGAGCCCTGGACCGATCCATTGACCCCTGCCATGATTTCTACAACTTTGCCTGTGGTGGCTGGGTGAAGAATAACCCCCTCCCTGAGGGCAAGTCCCGCTGGGGACCTTTCAGCAACCTCTGGGAGCACAACATGCTTGTAATGAAGCATTTATTAGGTAAGGGTCCTTGTCTGAGTTGTGTTCAGAGTCCTCAGCTGCCTTTACCCCAGGAAAAGGTGTAATGTGTCATTTTCTGGCTCATTTTCCAGCACTCGGAGAACTGCTTGTTTTTTCATTGTATCTTGTGTCTTCGTCTGGGCAGAAAACAAGACGATGAAAGGTCTGAGTAAAGCCGAGGAAAAGGCCCAGGGTTATTATCAGGCCTGCATGAACGAGGCCAAGATAGAGGAATTAGGAGCTAAGCCATTACAGGAGCTAATCACCCAGGTATGCTTATTTCCTAAAGCGGTCAGACATCACACACATTCATCAGTTCAAACCTTCCATCATTTCTATTAAAATAATTAATTTCCTTGCATCCAGCAGCCTTTGAGCATCTGCTTAAACCTTGTCTGTCTTAGATAGGAGGGTGGGCCCTGACTGGACCCTGGGACAAGGACAACTTCCAAGAAGTTTTGCAAACAGTATCAGCCAACTACCGCACTTCACCTTTCTTCACCGTGTTTGTCAGCACAGACTCCAAAAACTCCAACAGTAACATCATCCAGGTGAGAGGGTCAGAGATTTATATGCAGGCGACTTTATTGGGTTTTAATAGGCTTGATGGATTCGAACAATTCCGTATAATTGTATGTATTTATCTAGAATCACGTCTCAGACAGTGCTCCTACACTGATCACATCCCAACACACTTACAGTCACATTTAAATTCTTCCATTAGATTCCCTCCAATGCAAGCAGCTGTTATAGATTTTATCTTTACTGACATCCTGGAGACAATCTACTCATTATCGTAGTGGTTTTAGATTCACACTGGCAGTTTGACATGAGAGTTCATTCCTTTGTAGGGTGTCTTGAGACCGTAACAAATGGTAAAGATATGATCTTTGGTGAGCTTCTGCTTTTAGCCCGCATGCTTGCAACACAGGAATGAAAACAAAAGGCCGTCTGTGAGTATTGAAATGGACTCTGAGCTAAAAGTCATAGGATATTTCTCTTGACTCCAGGTGGATCAATCCAGCCTGGGACTGCCTTCACGGGATTACTACCTCAACAAAACAGCAAACGAAAAGGTACCGTGAACAAATTGTTTTCAGCATTACACTGATGTCACAGGAGTTAAACTCAAATTGCGTGGACAAAGTTGGACGCAGCTGAGAACAGAAAAGAAAAAGTTAATTGAGTTAGAGTTTGAGAATATCCAAAGGCTCATTGCTCATTTGCAAAGGAAGTCAAGAAATATTAAAAGAGAAATATTTCAGCTTCAGGGGAAAGACTCTCCCTAGTTGGTTGTATTTGCATAGTTTAGGATTACTTTCCTAATTGAAATTTATTACACACACAAACACCACCCCACCCCCACCTCACTGTTCTGCTGACTTGGACTTTGCAGTATCTGACGGCATACCTCAACTTCCTGGTGGAGTTAGGAGTTCTTCTGGGTGGCTCCAAGGAAACGTCTCGGTCGCTAATGGAAGAGATCGTGGACTTTGAAACCACTCTGGCCAACATCACGGTCCCTCAGGAGGAGAGAAGGGATGAAGAGCTCATCTACCATAAGATGGAGGCCAAGGACCTGACAGTGAGTGTCTCCTGCTTTGATATTATCAGCTTGATAAAACAAGAGAAAACAGAAGACAGTACTTCACACAATTATACTCTACAAATCATGACTGTTATATTGCTATACCAAAGGAAGTGGAAAGTTGTATTATTTCACCATGTCTCCGTGTTTGTTTTTGTGTGCGTGCAGACTCTGGCTCCTGCAGTGGACTGGATGCCGTACCTCACAGAAGTGTTTGCTCCTGTGCCGATCAACGAGTCAGAGCCAGTGGTTGTTTATGCCAAGGAATATCTACAGAAAGTTTCTGACCTCATAACTAAAACAAATAAAAGGTCAGATACTTGGCAATACTCAAAAGTCTTTCCGTTTACATATGAAATACAGGCTGTATGTTGCTATGTGTTGCATTGTACATTTCTGTTCGCTCTGAATTATGATGATGCAGGAAAATAAATGAAATAGAATAGAGGAGTTAAACTACTCTGTGTAGTACACTGTTTACATCATATATACAAGTACACACCATCCTACTAACAATAGAAAGCAAAACAAATCAATTCGATATTTTCTTTGCAGCCTACTCAACAATTACATGATAATGAAGGTGGTGAGGAAGATGGTTTCTATTTTGGACCAGAGGTTCCAGGATGCTGAGCAGCGCTTCCTTGAGGTCATGTATGGAACCAAAAAGGTAAGAGAGGAAGATTTAGGCCTTTCAAAATCACCATAATCCAGCACGACACAGATAGAATCAAACACAGAGGCGGGATCAAGCAGATAAAAAGAAAAAAAAAAAAAAAAAAAAAAAAAAAAAAAAAAGCTGCATACTGTACATGTTTGACCTGCAGGCAGATTCTCATCCAGATAATGTATTTTTAGAATGTTTGTGAACTGAATACAAGCTTCTCAGCTGATGCGTTGTCATTCTTTCACTGCTTTTTGACTTAAACCAACAGTGAAATCTTCATTTGAATTGTTACCATCCATATAAAAACTAGTCAAATCACGAGGAAAAGTCCTGTTGGCCCCAACATATGTGGGCTTTCTGGAAGTCCAGTATATACTGGCAGAGGAAATGGCCCAAAGCCAAACAGCTGGGTTTAGACAGCTTTTCACTTGAACTCTTGTTCTTGTGGATGATACTCAGCAGAAGATTAATTTTTAGTGAATGCAGATAAAGCAAAATTGGCACCAAAAGAGAAGCAGCATTTTCCCTTCCAAGTGACAAGACTTCACAAGAATTGTAAATTATCAGCCAGTAATTGAACGTCGGTTTTCTGTTGCAACCTGACTGTTAAACCTCATGTAAACACGAAACCTGATTTTCCTTAGCTGGGACTTAAGAGGTTTAACAGAGATATGTGCTCAACACATTTCCACTTTCCAGGAACAGTGACCCGCTTTCATTGTGAACAGTTTTCATTGGAAGTAGTCCTAGTAGACAAGGGCATTGTTTTTTGGGCAGAGACGTTGCTGTGGAATTTTTTTAAAGTGTAGTTTTTCAATGCAGTGAGCACCACAAACAAAATTCCATTCAGCTCCATTGTGTTGGGGTGGAGGCAGGACTCTGTGAGACAGATGTCTTAAATCCACAGTTAATCAAACCAAAACAATCTCATACCACTACATTACAGGTAAATGAGACAATAATCTTTTGTAAATTTGATAAACTGGCCCTTTAATTAGACACGCCGATGAAGATGTTCAGACTTTAGTACGTGTCGTTCTCAAGTCTACATGGAGTTGACTCTGCAGTAAGTTGTACTTCCTTCTCAGTAGATAACTGTTCGACTGTGAAGGCTCCAGTGACCGCAGCTCTTATCTGAGCAAGATCCTGTTTCCTCTGCCTTGTTTTCCACTCGGGTCAAGCTGTAAAAACAATTCTAAAACTTTCTATGTCTGTCTCTTTGTGTATCTGTTTAATGTGAGAGTGCAGCTGTCTCAATTTTTCCATCTGTGCCTAAGTGCCTAAGTAGATTTTACAATCTTGCTTGCTCAGAATACTCCTCATTTCCTCACAGTGACCTTGTTCATTTTTATCTACGTATATGTGCAGCGCCATTTGTCCTCGTCCTTCCTTTCACCTGATAATAACTTTGTCATATAGAGATATTTTTTTTACCTACAGTCAGTGAAATATCTGGTTGGATGTGACATTTTCAAATGAAGTTTAGATGTAAAAGTTATTGTTTTAAGACGGATGGAGCCACGATTGTGTGTTTGTTATCATTGACTGTTTCAATCTTACTAAATGTGTGAATACAAGAAAAAAAACTTCATGAAAACTAGATAATATTTTCATTAAGTTATATTTGATCACAAAAAAAGTAATTTTGCTGAACAAAAGTCACACTGATTTTAGCAGAAAATAGTAATATGTAAACACATCTATGACAAATCAAAGGCTTTTCTAGTCTTGTTCGGTCTTTGAGGCTCAATGTAGTGTCAAAGACTAAACCAATAATAAGTTAAATTGCCATTTTTAAATTAGCATGTAGCATTAGTCTCTTTTTTTCTCAATTGAAATCACTCCTCTTGTCATTCATGTCCACTTCCGCTGTTGCTGTTCTGGTGGGCGGCCCGCTTACATAACTTCAGTTTTGAGTGTAAATTAGCCAAGAGTTGGCATGTGTGCTGCCCTGTTGTTGACATTTTGTCTACATTAAAACACCACTCAGTCCTGTAGAGGGAACACTGTGTCTCGCAGCCCACAGAGGGATAACAGCCCAGTGTTGCTTCTCAAGCAGGGGGACATAGAGGGTCATAAATTTCTTGAGATCACAACCCTTTTTTTTTTTCTCATTTTCTCTTGTGTTCTTTGTTAGATGAATCTTCAGCACAATGGCTCTTTTGGATCTTTCAGTGTTCTATTTCATCGGATTTAGGTCTATTGAAAAGTATTGATTAAACAGTGGCAGTTATAGTTAACATTTCATGTATTGTTGTATATATCTTAAAGGCCTGAGATAACAAAAAAAGGGGGTGACATCTTTCCCAGCGTACAATGCACCAAAAACAGACTGGCCAGCTCACTTAACTCTCACAGGGCTATACAGAGAGAAATTCAGAAGTATTTGAAGACTGAGTCGTCTCAGGAGAAACGTTCTTACTGTTTAGCTTTCACTTCACTATTACTCCACATCACTACTGTTTTTTACACCTACACATGGAGTCCCACAGCTGAATGCCACAAGCCCACTCACGTTCATCTGGGTTAGTCATGTTCATTCTGGGAATCAGAGGAAGTGACTAACTGAAACAAAGAACATGGGCTGAATGAAAACTGACACAGTGGAAAAAAAACCCTACATTCCAAATATATGTATGATATCTAACTGTGGAGAGAGAGAATATGAGGATGTATACATGTCTTGATGTGTTAATGATTTGACGTTGCAGAGCTGCACTCCACGCTGGAAGCTGTGTGTCAGCGACACTGACAGCGCCCTGGGCTTTGCTCTTGGAGCCATGTTTGTCAAAGCCACCGTTGCTGGGGACAGCAAGGCCATTGTAAGTTTATCAAAGTCCTTTCTCTCACAATGGCTGCTCCTCCTGCTGTGTCAGATGATGTGCTTCTGACTTTCCTCTGTCTCTTCTGGGCTTCAGGCCGAAAATATGGTTGCAGAAATAAAATGGGCGTTTGAGGACAGCCTGAAGTATGTGAGATGGATGGACGCAGAAACAAAGAAAGCAGCGAAAGAAAAGGTGGGAGAGAGATCTTGCTGTGTGTGTCTTTCCTACTGCTGCTTTAAGGATACATTAACATCTGAAATGAGTGAACTGTTGAACTGTTTCTGTGCTCTATTGGCTGAGAAATGCAGCACTGCCACCTGGTGTGAAAATCTGTCTTTTACAGTTTTTTTTAAACGTCATCTTTCACAGGCAGATGCAATATACAACATGGTCGGATATCCAGAGTTCATCATGAACGCCACAAAGCTGGACAAAGTGTTCAATGATGTAGGTGAACGTGGAACTGTTCTATATGTCCTAAACCATTTTGTCACATAATTTCCAATTTTGTCTCATTAAAACACTGAATTTTTCTCCTCTCTCTTTTAGTTCGAGGTGGTATCAGAGCTCTACTTCCAAAATGTCATGCAGTACTACAACTTCTCAGCCAGAGTGACTGCAGACCAGCTGCGGAAAACTCCCAACAGAAACCAGTGAGTTGCTCCCTTTAACCCTCATCCCCAGCCCCCCTCTTACCAGAGAGAAGGTTGCACGCTCTGATGGGAACACAATCCCATTATACTGACTCAGCAGAATACTGCTTCCATCCACAAATGTTCCTAGGCAACCAACTTCTCTCTGCTGAGCTGATCCTTGTCTCTAATTAGGCTATGGGGGGAGGGGGGCAGATCAGGGTCCCCATGCCTTCCAAACTGATCTGTAGTCAGCCTGGCACAGCAGACCAAACAGAATCAATATTCTGAATTTGTTGTGACCTTGATGTCAGCCTGGCTCCATGTTCCTTGTTTTTGCAGGTGGAGCATGACCCCACCGACGGTGAATGCATATTACAACCCGACCAAGAATGAGATGGTTCTGCCTGCAGGAATCCTTCAGGCTCCGTTCTATAGTCGATCCTGGCCGAAGTAGGTCTCCCACATTGCACTTTAAGTTTGCTAAATCGCATTTGACAGATTTTTTTAGAATTGAACAGACAACAACTTTATTTTTCAGTAGAATGGAAAATGGTCACACATGATAGGTTCTCAATTGTGCTACCCATATAAACACTAAAACAGGTTTTGCTTCTCTTATCATTCCCTCTGTTTATAGTGGCTATTAGGAGATCCACTCCTAATGTGTTTTCAGTGTTAAAGATGTTGGGGAAAAAAAAAATCCATCCTCCTCATTCTGTGCAAACTGCATCCTAAAGTTTGCTGCAGCTGAGCAAGCAAACACTGTATAGTATATAAACAGTAGAGTCCCGTGGTGTACTGTAGATATAGGCTGCAAATGAGACTGAAGTACCATTGTGTTTCTACAATACCTACCTACCACAAGTATGACTCCAGAAAGTCATTGCACCACATCCTGTAAAGCACTGCGGTTTATGTGCAGATTAAACCAGATATATTTTGTTAAGTGGTGAGCTTTAGAGGTGTTGGTAGGCAGAATTTGTTAACTCCAGACAGAACCAGCCTGGCTGTTTCTGTTTCTGTTTCTATGCTAAGATAAACTAATTTAGCACTCTTTTGGATTTAAGGATGAACAGATTAGATTTTGGTGGTCAAAGGTCAAATGTCAAGGTCACTGTGACCTCATTGAACATGTTTCTGGCCATAAATCAAGAATTAATACGCTAATTATGACACAATTTGACACAAATGTCTAATTGGATAAAATAATGAAGTGATTATATTTTATATCCAAATGGTCAAAGGTCAACTTCACCGCAACATCGTTAAGTTCTGCATAAACACTTCTGGCCATTATTCAGTGCTGTAACTCAGGAAGGGGAGATTGTGATCATATTTCCTCCAACTTGGCTGGTTGGTGGAGGCACACAACCACAAGGCAGTAACTGTAGCTTTTTGTGTGTTCTCCAGAGCTCTGAACTTCGGTGGAATAGGTGTAGTCATGGGACATGAGCTGACACACGCTTTTGATGACCAAGGTTTGTAAAATAGCTTTCTTTTTAAACAATTTACTTTTCAGAGTATTAATGTGACGTTTCTCATACTAAAAGGTTTAACAAAAAAAATTTTGGAAGCACAACTTGGCAGAGAACACAGTTTTATTCCGCTGTTTCGTACAAACAGGGAGGGAATATGACAAGGATGGAAACCTGCGTCCCTGGTGGAAGAACTCTTCTGTGGAGGCTTTCAAGAAGCAGACTCAGTGCATGGTGGAGCAGTACGGAAATTACAGTATCAACCAGGAGCCTCTGAATGGAAAACACACTCTGGGGGAGAACATTGCTGACAATGGTGGACTCAAAGCTGCCTACAAGGTGTGACATCAGATATGAAGCACACTTCACCCTGAATCTTTTCTGTATGTGAGGAGGAAGATTTCAACATGAGGGAAATAGCTTTCTGTCACTGGTGTAAACAAACAACTCACTGCTGGTGCAAGAGTGTTTAGATTATTGTGAAAACTTTAGAGTGTAACTGTCTGCTTTCCAAAGAAACAACATCAGATTGCATATTTGTAGGGTCGTAAAACTATCACACAGATCTCAGATTAATCCTCAGCATTAGTTGATTTGTTGAGGCTGTTGTGGGTCGCATTCATTAATCTGTATTGGAAAAAGCAGGTTGTCTGGTTTACAGTGAAGCCTGGAAATGCAACAGGTGGTTATAAGTGGCCTTGTCAGCCTCTGGTTACTTCTTCACATGCATGCATTCTTTCCATGTAATGAAAGGTCATAGGGTATGAAGGAGACGAGCAAATCACATACGTTAACCGGAGAGAAAATTGTAGAGGGCTGCAAGTTGATCTTTTGTTTTCTTTAGTCTGTATTACTGCATGCTTTTCTATGTGCAGAGCAAAACAGCGATTGCTTGTGTGTAACATGATCATTTGTTGCTTTGAAGGCTTACATGAACTGGATCAAAAAGAACGGTGAGGAGGCCACACTGCCTGCCCTGGGAATGACGAACCATCAGCTGTTTTTTGTAGGATTTGCCCAGGTGTGTATCAGTCACAGTATATCCTCTTTTTTTTGATTGAACAGTCGATATGCTAATACTTCTCCTGTTTTCACTGTATGTCAAATGTCTCCAGACATGTTTTGAGACATGAAAATATTCTGCTTGGTATAATACTTTTTTGTCTCATATGTCTTTTTCAACAAAGAGTAACTGAATAATCTTTGTTATGAATGAAAATTACAGCTGCTCCTTCTCCCTCACTGAAAAACCCAGAATCTATGAAAATACAAATTGTTCATTTCCAATTTTCCATTCAGCTGCTGAACACAATACGTCTCCTATTTAATTGAAAAAGCCCATTCACAGTGCATATGTGCTGGATGCCTCAAGTTTCCACTTGACACAAGGTGCACACTGGACTGTGAAAGAAGCTGTGATAATACAAAATTCTGCTCATATGTACACTTGTTAAACTCAGGGTTTAAGGTAGGCAAATGAAAACTTCTAGTGTCAGACTCTGCACATGCATCATTCTGCACAGTGAAGCTCAAACATCACAGTCAAGGAAGAAGAAGAAAAACATATTTTTGACTGGAGTTAAAGTTAAGTATCAGAATAAAAACTTGCCCAAAAATAAGATAAATGTTTCAAGGACAGGGAATTTTAAATAGATTACCTCAAAAACATTTTACAAACTGTAATGCCAAGAAATGATAAAAAATAATGCCAGTCTCTTTACTGTTTATAATTCTTCATAGAAATCAGCAAATAATTTTGAAAGACCACATGGAAAAATTAATTTCTATTATTGTGTCTGTTTATCCTTTATTACTTTTGCAGATATGGTGCTCTGTCAGGACACCTGAGAGCTTGCACGAAGGCCTAATCACAGATCCTCACAGTCCGTCACGATATAGAGTCATCGGCACCATCTCCAACTCACAGGAATTCTCAAAGCACTTTGGCTGCAAAGCTGATGCTCCCATGAACCCTAAACATAAGTGTGAGCTTTGGTAACGCCTCATTTCTTGGTGCTGTTTATCAGCAAGGAGCAAAATGGACGTTGGAGAAACAGCTAGAGATACTGGCAATGTCTCTCTGGACTAGGAAATCACTGAAACTCCTAACGCCTTACCACTTAATGCTAACCAGGCTCCTGATCAGGACAAAATGTGCCTGCTCTGTATGGAGGATTGTAATCTTCAGTGCTTTTCCACAAAGACTGTTGGTTTAGCAAACAGCTTTTCCCAAACTCTGAAGTTAGATGTAGTTATAAATGCGCTTTTAGAACACTGGAAACCCAATCGATGGTTATAAAAATTGGGGGAACCACTCTCAAACGCCTTGTTTGTCACATAAAGTGATGAATAAGCCAAGTGACGTTTGTTCTTCTTGTAACTCTTCACTGTGCTTGGATCTGCTCCAGTTTATTTTTACTGTATTTTATTTATGGTCACAAATTTTTATATGACGGAAGACGCAAGATTTTTAACCTAATGGAAGATGAAAATCTGGTTCACATATGGACAACAACAGTTTGTCTTTTAGCCATTGCAATATTTCATTTTGTGTACAATCTGGTCAGAGTTACATTTTATAGAGGTCATATTTGTGTTTAAAAACAAAGTAATTTTTGTACCTGGTGTCAACATAGCAGTATCCTGTATTTCTATAATGTAAGACCAATACAAATCAGAAACAAAATGAAAGTCTTCAGAAATTCACAGCAACAAATTAAAGCATGAGCTGTTTTTCTCCCAGAGAACTTGGCCATGTAGGCTAAGCCATAATGTGCCATACCTGTTTTTATGAATAAGAGTTCATCACATTATTTTGTATAATAAAATCAATCTTAAAACATCTTTGTCTCACATCAATTATACAACTCATACAACTCTACAGCTGTATGAATTGTCTATTGTTATTGTGTAATTTCATTAGTTACATGATACTGATGTGAGCATTACTAAATGCTGCTGGTGTCATGTTACTTACTGTTAATAAGAAGTAGAAGTACACTGAGCATCTTCTTCTATCAGATGAAGATTATTATCTGGATCTGCACCAAACTCATAGATGTCAGAACCATAAATGTGTCAGATTTTATTAACATCAAGACCCAAGAAATATTTCCTGAGAACGTGTCGAAAAATGCACCACCTCGCAATGTTAAGGAAAGTGAAACATTTTTTTTCCTGGATCTGCCCCTTTAACCGGATCCACACCAAAATATAATGGCCTCTTTCCTGGCTCGAGCCCCCATCCCTCCACCAAGTTTGATGCAAATTACTTAATTTTGTAAAGTACTCAAAAAAAAATACCAACAAACAGACACGGCTGAAAACAACCTCTCTGAGGGAGGTAATTACAGTAAATCTAATGGGAGAATGTCGCGCTGACTTGTGGATGCGAAACAGTCAGAAGAACGGTAGATGGTGCTATAAGCACACAAGTCAGTCGTATAGTTTGCAGCTGGTGCAGAATAGAAGCCTTCAACCATAGCTGGTTAATGAATGTGAAGGCTTTTTAGCCGTTCACACACGCCAAAGGAGAAGAAGGGCATTCACCCATGCAAACTACTAGAAACATTTATGCAACTTTAAATTTTTCTATTTTATTTGCATTGTTTTGCTTCAAAATGTATTAGTTATCGATTAAAAAATCCTTTCAATCCGGACTTTGATGCCATAAGTTGTGGACTTGAAAACGACCAAAAAAAAAGGAAGAAGAAAATAATCAGTATTTCGGAAACAACATGAACGTGAACTATGCTTTGGATATCTGTATTTGATTGAAGGTTAGTTGATTAGCCGAGCGATTCCGTAACTGGCCGAGAATTGCCGAATCATCTGTCCTGCCCGGACTGCTGGAAGCGGCCGCAACGCCATGTTGGCGAAGTCTCTCATCTCTGTGAGAAAAAAATGATAGAAAACATACTTGTCGAGAAGAAAAGGTAGATCGCCGAGGGAGGCTGAAGATCGTGGCGATTATTTCTTTTGAAAGAAACGAACCGAGCCGGATCCGCAGAGGTTCCGGACGGGCGAGGGAGGCTAAACCTCCCACCGTCCCCATGAATAGCACCGCTGATCCGAACAGCGACTTTCCATGAAAAAAAAGACGTTTGTGTTGCTATTCGAGCTTCGTTATCCCAGTACGTTAAAGGGATTTGGGGCCTGCTTCAAGAATCTACTACGCTTGCTCAATGCATGCAAGCTAGGCGTTGTTTGTATCAGTATTTATTAAGGTATTGTTTTTATTTGTTGATTTTTTTGCGATGAGTTTGCCACCGAAAGTGGTCCCCAAACAAGCCGCTGTCGCAGTTAGCGGACCTGGAAGTGGCCCCTCTCCGTCGAGCCAACTGCGGGCTACCCTGACCCCCGGGTCCCTGCCGCCGGGAGCCCAAACAGCTCCTCAGCCCGGCGCTGTACCACCGCCTCAGTATCCTTTGACTTGGGTAACATGGAAATGGCTTGTGGTTTTATGCATTTCACTTCCACTTTTGTAAGTAGCACATATTTCAGTTTTATTAGTGATAGATATTAAAGGCTTGGATGCGGGGATGATGGTTTCGTTTGGAGGGAGCTGGGAGGGGAGGGGACAATTAGCTAGCTAAGCATGCTAACATTAGCCTATCAAGCCGGTTGTCAAAGCTAACGGAAATGTCAGTTTGGTTTGTGGGAGTTGACGCTACAGTACTGGCTGTAGTTACATTTGTATTTAAACATGGGTGTCATTTGAATATGGTGACATTATATATTAATGACAAATGAGATGACAATATTTAGTAGAGGAAAGCTTCATCACCGGCAAGCTATGAAGCTTTCTACACCGGTTGCCGGCTTTGTTCAGTTATCGGTTGGTTGCTAGCAAGGTGCATTAGCCTCGTTACAGTATCAGCCTGCTAATTTAAGAGTAGCCACTATGGCTAGCAAGTGCACAAGTCGGTGATTGCAACGTCGCAGAGCAGGAAAGCTTCATCCATTTCAGGCAAACGACCGGTTGCTTAATAATTGGGGCTAATGCTAGTCTGGACAGGGCCCGGCTTGTGAGAATTGCACCCTCGTGCCCATTTCACATAATATTAGCTTCTGAAGGGGTGTTCCTGTGCACCTTGACGGGCCTGTTAGTGCCTGGGCCGGTGAGCTCTCTCTGGCCCAGATAGCCTGCATAGATTAGCAATTTAAAAAAGTAAGTAGTCAGTGTCATGGACGTCTTCTCAGCTACAATAATGTTTGCTTTAGTATAAACACATAGTTAAACCACCATCAACTGATGTTAGAATTGCTTCACGTATCATCTGCCATCTTTCAGAAATTTGTCTGCAAATATTTAACACGGAGTGTAGGGCTTGTCATGGCTTCATGCTGCCACTGCCCCAGATTATTCATTTACCTTTGAGTTTACACAGAGCTAGACCAGTATTACTCTATCCTACTTTTGGTGGAATGAAGTCACTAGTTATGTCACCTCCTGTTTTATTTACAGCATGGTGGCAGTAGTGTGAGACAGAGGATTAGGTTGACGTCTCCTGTCTGTCAGTGGCAGAGGGATGTCTTTTGTGATCTGACAGCTTCTGTTGTGGCTTAGCTTTCGGGTGTGATGTCTCAACCTGATTTCCTGCCACCCATGATCACAGCCGCCCTGTGTTCCTGACATCTGTAAGGGGCAGTGAGTAGCTGGTTATGGCAGGTGGCAGTATGAAACCCCTCTCTCGAGTTAGAGAGAGAGTTAGATGAGAACATCAAACAACACAGAAGATAATGGCCCCTTTATTGTTGTGCCGTGTCCTCTTCTGACTCTCCAGGCTTTTGAAATGACTGTTAAATTTGCTTAACCTACTTTTAGCTGTATGATTGTACGTGCCTGTGTCTACCAGTCGAGTACAGAACTGCACCCTTCCATTTACTCAATGAATGTCTTGTGTAAAGAATAGGGATACATAGCAATGACTAGAATAATGGTAAATATTTCTGTTTTAAAGCAGGAAACATGATTGAAACATTTGATTTGCCTTTTTGGTTTGTTGTAATCACTCTTGCTTAGCTTAACTTTATCATTGATTAAAGTGACAAGTTTGATTTTGTATCACATTTTGGAATTTCTGACCCCTTTTGATGAAGTTGTGTCCAATGATTCACCAATGCAGTTGTACTGGTGTCCCTGTTAAATGGACAGGGACAAACCTGCCATCAGATAGCCATGTAGAGCAATTGCAGTTACTTCATTACTTCAATTTTTATTGCTAAATGTCTAAAATGTCAATAAAAGATTAGAGATAACTTTTATGAAATGAATCATTAGTTTTGTTGTTGACAAGGTGTTGAAGAAGTGTCTGTACTTTTGAAGCCATTTTAATAGATTATATTTTATTTGGAATGTCTTTCAGTATAATAAAATATGATTTATTCTTGCATTACATAATCATCTCTGCAGTAGGTGGGGAGTTAACAGTACGAATGAATTGTACCAAAATTGAATGAGTAAATTAATACAAAAATTAAAACTAGTAAGCTTTGTCTCAGTTTGACTGTGTTTAAAGATCACCTTAATGGTAGTGACTACAGCACTAGACCACACAACATTTGATTTTCATGTCAGTATGAAAACAGACCATATAAGTATCACCACTTGTCTGACCGCTCACTGTCCTTAGACCTCAGAGGTCAGGATCGCAGGAGCATGTAACTCTCCGTCTGGCCTGGGCTTCTGGTGTATGGGAATTCCCACTTGGAGGATGTTGGCTTGTATGATTGTGGAGTCGTAAGACGCACAGGGGTTCAGAGGCAGGATGGTAAGGCGTGTATGTGTGCAGTACAGGGGGGGCAGTTTGTTTCTGTTCCTGGTTGCCAGAGAAACACCCAGCGCATGCGTCTGCTGCTGCACTTGCCAGACAATGGCAGTGCTGCTTAACATTCAGTGCGAGAGGCCAAGGTGGTGCTTCCCACCATCTGCCAACAAAGGCCCAGGTCACCCAGCCTGCCTTAGCCCTCCCTTATTTCCTTCCATCCCCCCATCGCTCACCTCATCCCACTGCTGGCCCAGCTGAGAAAACTGAGGGCTTCTCCCCATTTTCCCCTGCTCCTCTCTCTGGGCACCCCTTCCAACCCCTCAGCTTTCATGGCACAGTACTTTCATCTCCCTTTGAAGAGGCTCACTACTTTTTCTATCTCTTAACTTTCCAAATGTTTTTTACTTCTTTGTCCTCATGGTTTCTGTTTCTGTTTGGACAAAGGAATGACAAATTTTGCCAATAAAGAGCAGAGAAGTCTAATGTAAGCTGAGAGCCAGGAATGCAGTCAGAGTTAGTTATGAGGTGTAGCTACGTCATGTATGGACCCAGCTGGTAGGTCACACAGCACAGTAGTCCTATATTTCAGGACAGGTGTGTGCAGCCTGCATGAGAAGATATTCTCATGAGTATACTGACTGTGGGATGTTATAAATAAACTGCTGAGTTGTTATGAGCCAGCATGCAGGACTGGACTGTTCTTTCCAGAGAGGGAGTGGCCTGTTGAAGAAGACATCCTGCACACTGTCAGAGCCCTGCCAGTGTTTTATTGTTTTTATCTGAAGCGACATTTACACGTCTTTGTGGATATATTTTTTCACTCATGCGTCTGTATTTACTATAGACAAAGCTATTTAAATATACCAAGTAACTGGTTAAAAACTGACATTTTCTGATTATAGTCACATTGCTTTCAACTTCTTACAGTGCTTGATATTTACAGTGAACTCTGCATTTGGAGATCCATCTCACCCACGCAATGAGGCTGTAACAGTGCTGGTGGAGTTCAGAATATTCTCAACCACTTGTCAGCAAGTAGTGCTACAGCTTTTGCCAAAACTGTGTTAATATTTCTGTCAGAGCAAGAACTGATGGTTTGCTTTACAAATGCACCAATGCAAGTATACTGCGGCCAAATAACTGCTTCATTTTGTGGGCCGTTGTCTACAGGCACGCAGTGAATTCTTCATTTCTCAGTCAGCGTAGTTTTGCTCATATAAAAATGTATCAAGTGTGTCTGATACATGCCGTTCAGCAACACAAGTCAACATACACTCCATCAAAATCTCAGATTTCCTCAAAGAGTTGTGTCCAGAGTTTCACAGAAGAAAAAAATGGACGAGGTTGCTTCCACTATGGCTGGTTGGTCACTGACTAAATAACAGGAAGCCTGGGCGGTAGTTTTCAAGTTTTTAATGCACCATTGCAGTGTGTCAGAGATACAGAGCAGACTGTGCAGCATTATGGCTGCTGATGGACTACATACTTTATATACAGTGTAGACATACTCTTCAAAATTCTCATGTGTCTGATAAAAGAGTACAATATCTGGTCTGTAAACCTTCATTTGGAGGAGAGTCTGCAGCAGGCTCGACCTATGCAGATTATAAAATTACATTAGCGCCGGCTCTCCAATAAATAGATGAAGCCCTTCTGCGCAGGCTATGTGCAGTTCTTTCAGGTCATAAGAAAATCGAAAACAACTGTCTTGTTCACGTCACCATCATGTCTTCAGGATGATTAAGTGCTTTTAGTTACTGAAATCCATAGGAAGTAGTAACTTGAAAGCAGATTTATCCTGTGAGCCTTGGAAAGAGCATGTTTTTGTAATATTATAATTTTGATATTTACTTATTTTTACATTTAACTCCTAAGCAGTACATACTGACTACACGTCACCTTAATTTAGCGCTAAAAGCAAATGCATTCTAGGCTGTAGACATCCAGAACTATTGTTGCTTAAGATTTGGTTTGTAAGAGTTGAATCCACCAACCTACCAACTATTGTTCATACTGTAGTGAAAGAGCAGTCTCAGCAACAGCAGGCAGGCAGTGAGAGCTTTGTGAGCTCTGCTTTTATCCAACTGTGTGAGTGTGTGTGTGTGTGAGAGAGAGAGTGTGTGTGAGTGAGTGGCCAGTGGGCCAGCAGGGGGAAGGAGGGTTTGTGTCTGCACCATCTGGGCCGTCTCCACTCACTTCCTGTGCCTCCACTCTGAACACTCCGCACTGAGATTTCCAGGTAGACTACATCCTTCAAATGTGACATGCCAAGTTCCTTTAGGTTTATTTGACATGTATACCATATTTATATGACACAAAACTTTTTTGCTGTGGCAAAGAAATTGCCTGTGTGTAACTATCCACCTGTGCAAACATTTGATTTAGGTGATATTTGTCTACTGAGCAGCTAAGTCAGCAAAAACAAAGCTCACCTCTCACTCTGACCCTCTCTGGCCTCTTTTTCTTGGATATTTCAAGTGTTTTTCAGTCAGGGACGAGGTTGTTCACTACACAGCTGTTATTCAATAATTTATTCAGTAATAGCAGATTACAGTTTATTGAGCTGTATCATCCTCCTGATCACACCCCTGCTATTTGTAAGGCTGTATCTCCTCCTGTCTCCCCCTTTCTCTCCCTCTCACACACTCAGCACTTAAGTGGCTTTACAGTAAGCTAATGATGGAGCAGGAGCAGCAGCAGCTTTTTCCTCCTAAATGTGGCATACAGGTTACGGTGGGGCCAGGGGACAAGGAGGAGAGGCTGAAGCTACTTTATGATCTCCTCAGGGAAGAAGGGTCAGCATGGGCACATTTCAGACTGGGGCACCAGACTTTTATATTGTTAACAGGAAACCAGGCAGCCTGGCCTTGTTTAGGAAAGTTTGAAATGTGAGTGCCTTTTCAAACTGTGTACATGAACTTAATTTGTCCTTACACTTTGAATAGCTGGCATCCTTGAGGTGTGTTTCTTTTAGGAGTATGTACCTTTTAACTTTCCCTTATCTGATGCATTGCGTTTCTCCTGAGAGGATTGGTGTAATTTTGTCCAGCTGGATGTTGCAGGTACATTTCCACTGACACTTTTTCTGAAGCAGTATCCCTGTTGTAAGTCTTCTAAGTTGACATTGTGCCTACCCTCTCTACTCAAGCAGAAAATTAAATGGAGATCAAACTAATGACTAATGTCTCATTAGTGCGGTCAGCCACTTTCATGGTTGTGCCTGATGCGTGCAGTTGAGTTTGACTGCAAAGTGTCTGCATCCATCTGGTTACCTGGCCACCCACATGGGGGGCTTGACATGGATTATTTTACCTCAGCAAATGTTGTTTTCTTAATGTGATCACCTGGATCACCTCACGTATCATATCATATCATATATCACTCTTGGTATCTTTGATATCCAGTTATGCTAGCTAATTATTATGGACCCTCAGAGGAAATCATGTAGTCAAAAATTGGAAATGCTTTGATATCAAAGGGAAATTTTATTACAGATGTCCTTAACCCACACCTTTTCATGTGGAATGGTAATTTTGCAGAGGGAAAACAAGACTGGTTCAGTTATCCAGTTAAATATGTCTCTTGCTGTGTTGCTTAATATGAATATGCAGTGAAAAGGCATTGCTTGATTTTCCACCAAATGTACCAACAGTACACCTAGTTTCTAGCATAACAATGTTCTGCAATTACTACAGGTGTTTGCCTTCTGAGATGACAGAAATCTGCATACTGGCTTTGAGCCATTTTAAATAATCTCTTGTTTGTACAATTTGGCTGCAGTTGTCAGAAGATCAGGTCTGCCAAGATCTCTGGTAGATTTGTCTAGTCTCACCTGATCATTTTTGAGTTTGCTTTTCCTGACCTTGCCGCCGTTGATGACGACCCCTGACCTCCAAATGAAATTGTTCCTGTTGCTCAAGCAGGTTGAACCCTGGTTTCACCTGGCTACGTCTTGTTCCCCGTTCTCTGTTTACACTCCCTGACACAGTTGCCCCTGCCAACTACTGGTCACGTATAGCAGACGGATCAGGTTGCCCCACTGTTGATTTCCCCCTCCCTTCTGTCTCGCTCTCTGCCTGACACCCACCAGACCTGGATCAAGAAGTATTAGCAAATAATTATTACTATCAGTTTATTTTTTCTCCTCCTTTGTGCTTTGTGGCTTGGACGTACCACATTATGGCTTTTCAGACTATGACAGGTTATCTGTGAATCATGGAAAAAGCGGTGTTTCTGATACTCGCACTATGTGGGAGATGATCTCTGTTAGATTCTTCAAGTATGACTAGACGGAAATAAAAAGTTGTAAATACTCTGTTGTCCATAGGACAGTGTTATTGTGCTCCTTTTCACCTAGACTGTCATGTGAGTGTGAAGAGACTGAAAGTCTAATTACTCCTTATTTCTGTGTGTATAAAGTGTGTGTGTGTGTGTGTGTGTGTGTGTGTGTGTGTGTGTGTGTGTGTGTGTGTGTGTGTGTGTGTGTGTGTGTGTTGTGTGTGGTGTGTGTGGTGTGTGTGTGTTGTGTGTGTGTGTGTGTGTGTGTGTGTCTGGTGTGTGTGTGTGTGTGGGATGGGCGTGTTGTTTTTTTTTCCAAATTCTCCGGCAATGAAACAGATAATGCTTCCTGCTGTGCTTCTGCTTTTTGAAACGCAGCCCTCTTCTTAAACGGTTCTTTTCTCCCTTTATCTCCCCCTCTCCCTCTTGTGTTGTTGGTTACAAGTAGAGGTGCTGGCAGGGGGCCGAGAGATGACAGCCCCTGCAGGCAAGAGCAGAGTAAAGGAAGAGGGCTTAGGGGAAAGGGAGGCGTAATTTGGGTGGAAGGAAGAAAGCCAGACGTTCGGTTTCCCTTAAACCATGTGACCAGCAGTGTGTGAGCATGTCTTGTCACAGTCAACTGCTTGAGCAGGTTACTAACCACAGGGCTTCCCTCTTCTATGCGGCTAGTACATATTCCCTCTTTTGTCTCCTCTAACATCTGATTTATGTCTCCCAAGTGACTCTCATTATTACATGTTTTAAAAGCCTTACGGAAAGTTATCTTCTGTTCTAAGCCTAGTGTTATAGGTTTATTCAGTGTAATGACAGGAGATTTTTCTTTGTTCTTTTTTTTTTTTTTTTTTTTTTTTTTTTTTTGTTCTACCTTGTAGCATAAGAAAATGAGAAATAATATTGAATTTAGTTTGTACTTTAGCTGTAGCCATGTAAGGGGTGAGTGGTTGTCTAGTCTTCTGCTCTGTCCGTCCCCTTGCCTGAAGTATTCCAGAAATCCATTTCAGATTTTCCCTTTAACTCTTGCAAAATGGTGAAGGTACATAGTGTACTCTCAGAGATGGGGCATTTTGGGCGGGGTGGTTGGGGGATCCTTGAAATCAAACTAGCCGAGCTATCAGGGTTTGAGGAAAACCCTTTGGATCTGAATCAGCTAATGTACTGCATAAAAACAGAGCTGTAGAATGAAACTGTGTCAGTAGAGTTACCTCATTGTTTGTTAAATGGGAAACTTTCAAACACACTAGATCAAGTCTTCTCATGTGAATTAGCAATGTTTAGACTTTATAATGTCTCTTACATGAATATGATGGGAATCTTAGCTTTAGATCTGTCCAACTCTTGTCTAGAATCAAACTTGTTTTAGGACACTTGTTAGCTGTAGCATTTTCCTTAACGCACCTTTTACCAGAATCTCACGGGTTCAGCCATCACTGGATGACCGAATCTTCCCCACACAGCCTGGAGTCGCAGTCTACAGCGTGAGTCACTGCATGCAGCCCCACTCACATACTGTACATATCCACCTGTGCAAATACTGCGCTGCACTCATACAACTCATATCTACAGTTAGGACTGTATGCAGTAGTATACAGTCAAATTATGCAAATGTTAAGTATTGACCATGACTTTACCAAAAACATGCACTAATTCCCCAGATTATTAGGTGCCCCTGGGCAAAACTAACGCAGTATACAACACTGACTTTATGAAGCTTTATGAAGGTTATAATGTTCAGGTTTTTGGTTGTTTGTTGTATTTTGACACCATTGAGCTGCCCTGCATCTTACTGAGAGATGTTTCTAATATTTAGTCTACCCTCACTGATATTAAAAATAAAATGAACAAAATATTAGGAAATCCTCTCACAGAACATTATGATCATTATTTTCATGCTGAAATGTGTCTGCATATTTGTTAGTGTATTGATTGTAAATATATTCAGCCCCCAGAGAGAGCACAACTGAAGTTCAGTGCAGGAAAAGTGTACCTGTTTCCTCTTAAGAACATTATAACCTTTATTAAGGTAGTATTTATTGTGTTTGTTTTAGCAAGTACATCTAATCAGTGTGTGTTTGATACCATGCAAGATAACAGTGCCTTTAAATTACTCACCCCTCCATATATTATTTTTTTCATATTTTATATTTTCAACATGGGGGTCACAGTGTTTGTAATGTAGAGTTTTTGACGTTGGACTATAGAAAGATGCATTATTTTAAAAGTGTAAACAAATCCCTGTAAGAGGTTGAATAGATTTTGCAGGCAATGTAAAAGTGCATTTGTGGTTTTTTGGGTGGAGGAAGATGCTGTGACCTGACCGCAGTAGGCCTGCTGTGGAAACTTGTCGTCACCTCAGGGGACCTCTGCCATTCACTTACTCCTTCGAGAGTTAATTAACATTTCCTGTATCAAATAGTTGTCATAATAATATTGACATAAGTTTTGGTTTTTATTTTAACCTTCCTGGAGCATCAACATGTGAGTTAGGGGCTTCAGTTAAACAATAAGATTTGGTAACAGAAAAAAAAAAAAAAAAAAAAAAAAAAAAAAAAAATTCAAATCTACTTCTGTGTGCTGTCCTTGTCTGAACTTTAAGGCTGTTTATTGTCTCATCTTCAATGACCAGTGCTCTGCTGCACTGCTCAGGGCGTCTCCTCTGATAAGCCGTGTGTGCATTTACCTGTAGGGCAGACATTTGTTAGAGGGCTTGGTAGACTAAGATGCTGATTAGTCACAATCCTACCGTTAAAGGCACAGATACCTCTATGTTTATTGCTGCAAATCTTAAATCGTAAATTAATGTTTACTACAGAAAGAAGATAAGAATATTGATTTCCTTTTTCACTTCACATTTTATTGATTTTTTTTTATTTTTTTTTTATCTCACACAAAATAAACTGAGCTGACAAAATAAATACAATTGTGGAACTCGCTCAGACATTTATGATGTTTTAATACCAACATTGTAGCCATTGTGGGAAAGTATTTGCTTGTGTGTTTTTGTTAGCCCCATGGTGCTTTTATTTCTATAATATCTGGCATCTATAAGCATAGCAATATAGCTTAGGTTTGCCACTTTGATAATTTGACACCACAAAGAAGATGTTGCCAGCGATAACTTTTCTGAAATGTGGGACGTTAACAGTAAGTAGCTGCACATTGCACAAAGAAAGTCACTGTATGCTAGAAGATAGGCTATTCAGCTGCAAGCTCATTTATCCACTAATACAACAGTGCTGGAAACATTGCAGGTTTTATGAGAGTTTGTAGCTCTGAAAGTTCATTTTAGGGTGGTTAGGCTGCAACAATGATGACACTGGTGGAAATAAACCCTGCACATGGCATGAAACAGTTTTTTTTTTGTGCAGTGGATACTGGGTTTGCACACTTTCTTTTTTTCCCCTTCCCCTCATGTACAGCCTCTATACAGCCGCTTGCCTCCCCTCCCCCACCCCATCACTCTGTATGTCCTCAGAATCAGTCACTTGCCTGAAGCAGAGCAGGCTCCTCCCCTGGCAACAGCAGCTAGATTAGTTGCTTTATCCCAGGTCATCTGAGGGAAGTGGGCCACACAGAGAAGATGGAGAAATGCAGATCGGATTGGTTCTATAGAAGCTATAGAGAGTGTTGCCTGTAGTACCAGGTAGATGTAAATATAATATACATTTGATGATTCTTTTTAAACATTAGTGTTGGTAACTGTGTTAAGGAACCTTTAAAGCTCTAATGGCCAGGTTCTGTAAGAGGGGAATAAAAGGCCCTGGAGAGAAGATGTGGTTTGCCGAGCTTTCCAGGCTGTCTCCGTGTCTGCCTCCTGCTTTCTTCCTGCAGTATCCTCTCTCATTCCCTGGTGTGTCAAGCCTGCTGCAGCAACAAGCAGCACCTGCAGTGGTGCCAGCCCACAGCTGCAGCAGCCAAAGCCCATCCTGCCACACCACAGGCTAAGAGCTGAGTCAAACCTCAGCTCTGCCTCGTATTGCTCACTCGGCTGGTGCCTACCCTGAACCCTCCATTGGCCCATATCGATAAGGCTTGTTTAGCGTGACTCAGTTGTATCAGGTGCACCATGTCTATCACAGTTGAGTGGGAATGTAATATGATTACTTGACCCAGTTTTGCCATATGAGGTCCAGACATCCTTGCACAGCATAGTTTGGCACAGCAGGCTGCAGGAGAGGCCAGAGACTAGTCTTTAGCCAATCGCAGCAGGCTTCAACACCCATGCACAGCTCAGGTCTTTACCTCTGCACACATACAGGGGCTAATCCTGGACTACTTAATTTACATTCCTTAGCAGGAGTGAGGACTAATGACCTGTGGAATCTTGCCACTGCTGTTCCTCCTCTACATCACTGTGTGTCTGTGTGTGTGTTTGTGTGTGCATCAGTCTGGCATAATATATCGTTTTACGTATCTGTCTAAACTCAATGTTAATGTGATGCAGGTACCCAGGCATGCTGGTCCTCCTTACACTGCTCACGACATCACAAAGGGACACCCTAACTTGGCGGGCACCCCGCCCGGTCATGCCCACTCCCCGGCGCTCTCTCAGGTATCAGTACCCACAGCTTCCCCATATCGCTACCCTAAGGGCTGGGAGGCAGGCGGAGGGGTGAGTTTGTCACTGTGTCCGCCGTCATCCTCTCTGCATATTTATGTTTGGTCTGTCCATTTGTCTGATTACTTTTTTTGACCTGTGTTAGGGCTGGGCGATAGTTGATTACTACAATTTCCCAATATAATTACACCATGACAAAATTTCACTTAAGGATATTGTGGTTTACGTGTCTAAATAAATGATGCGTTGTTTTTTTTTACCAAAATTTGCAACACACATTTTGAACACTTACTATTTTTTATTATTTATTATTTATTTAATATTATTTAAAACTTACAGGATTTCTTCTACAATTTAAAATAAAAATTGAAAAACTTATATTGTAACAAATTTATTTTGAGATATTATAATTATTGCATAACATGTTAATACTGCCCACATCGCCTACCCCTAACCTGTATTGTTTGTCTTTTCTTTCATCAGCTTTTCACATGTTTTATTTTCCTGTTTGTCATCTTCCACACTTCTCCTAAACAGCAGTAAGCTATGTGTGCATGACTGTGTTGTTTCAATGAAATTCAGATGATTATATGATTTAAAGCAGGGTCAAATTCAAGAACAGTTCCTGTGCACCACTGCCCATACACAAGCCTATGTATACTGTATTCTATATGGTGTGCCTCTTTAATCCTGATAAGGGTCAGAAGGGGTCAAACCTAGCATGCATATGGCAAAATGGAGATCAACAGGTTGTCAGTCTATCGCAGGGCTAATGCATACATGTACAAACACATTTATATTTATATGATCTGCATGCCTTAAGACTATGGGAAGAAAGCAAAGCACCTGGAAGATAGATTTTTAAATGAATTAATACTGTTGTCATTTAATTCAGTTTACAAATACAAACCACCTCTTAATGAACATTCTCCACTTTGTGGGCTACTTTGTACAGCTGCAAAGGGTTGTGTCACTGTGGGATTCCCATGGGATGGAAGGAATACTACATTGTGTCAGTGTTATTGGTAAAACAATCCAAAGGAATCAGCTGATAGTCATGCCACAGCTATTTCACCATGAGGTCATGATCATTTGCTCAACCTAAGTTCAGGTAGATAGGTCTGTTATTACACAGACCTATATGAGCCTGCAGCTGAAAGAGGTTTAATGCAAAAAGCACAGCATCGTTAATGTCACATTTTTAAGCATTGCCTGTTATGGTTAGACCTACATTCTACCTCTCAGTGTAACCACTAATCATTAAGGGAATGACACTGCTGCTGTGAAGCTGGCATCGGAGACCGCCCTGCTGCTCACATTTACGAGCATGTTGATCAGTGACTCAGCCTCTCTGGAAGTATGTGACTATACTTGCGAGGAATCTAGATGTTCCCCTTTACCATTATAGCCTAATGGCCCACTGCCTCACCCTAAAGCAGTTTTAGTCTCTTCCCATCCTTCTATAAATAGTCAGCCAGCACAAACTGAAATTATCACAACCATACCAGCAGCAGCTTGAGGAAGAGTAAGAGTAAGTATCTGTATAAACCCACCTCTGCCGAGCCCCACTGCACACGAGATGAAGAATAAAGGAACACAGGATTTGCAGTCCTTGAGGGTTCCAATTATCTTTGCGCAGTACATAAACCCCAATCGAAAACATTTTCTCCTAGCAGCATCCAAAGTAAGTTAGTGTTGTGATGTCTGGTGTGTTGTTAACGAATGTCGCAGTTAGTCCTTTAATGTGTGAAATGTCTCAATGAAATGACCAATGACTGATTGCTGCACGGCTCGTGGCCAGTATGTAACAAACCTTCTTCTTCTCTGTCCATCTTTCCATTTCTTTTTCTGACAGTCTCCGTACAACCCTGGACAAAATGCTGGCTCCGCCCCTCTAGTGTATTCTCCCCAGACACAGCCAATAAATGCACAGCCACAGAGTCGTCCGGTGAGTGTCCCTCTGGTCTTAGATTTACAGCTCGCACGCCTCAGAGAACCCAAACAGTTTGTGGTTTACTGTGGCTCTTATTGAAAGTTAGGGTTTCATTGAATCAATGATGGAGCGTTTTTATGTTTAAGAAGCTACACCAAGCCGCTCATGTCAGTGAAGCAATTTAACATAGTATTTATTTAATAAAGTCTCCTTATTTGTCTCCTCAGAGTCTAATTGTGGGTGGTGGCACTGTGTCATTGGTGGCGTACATGACAGTTTACACTGATGTAATTTTCTACCATTCATCTCTTCCGTCATTTAACTTCCGTCTGGAAAGCCCTGTACATTCAGTCACAAACATGTAGCCTATAATTAATGACAGTGAAAACGGTGAAAGCCTCAATAATAAATAGCCTTTGGCTGCAGAAGAAAGGGTTTTAATTAGTCTCCAGGGTAGTGCTGGAAGATATGGATTAGAAGATGAAGAGATTTTTGTCAGATTACCCTCTGACAGCCAGATCAGTAATTGTTAGGGCAACTAATGAAGAATCTGGACCTTCCTCAAACATCAGATGTGGTGGAAATTTACCTCATTTCTATTAGTCAGGGGGTTAATTTAGGTTTAATACTGGGCTTACTACCAGCTGTTCTTGTATTGTCTAGTGTGGCCTAAGCAAAGCAATTTTAAGATGAGTAACAAGTTAACACCTTTTGTGAAAAATCTCCCATCACAACTAGCCTAGTAAGAAGTATCCAAATATTATATCGACTTCTCCAGGATTCTCGGTCTACATACACTTGTTAACATCATTTATTAATCTTTCCTGGCTCCTGCCTATTCCCCATCATGAGATCAAGACTAACCAGCCCTCAGTGAAATCGCATTTACATATACAGGAAGTCTTGTTTTAAACTGTGGATACAATGGTAACGTTTGCCACATAGGACACTGGAAATTATTTTAATTCCTTTAAAAATGTGGAATTATAATATCTACATTGTCCTGTAAATCCAGTCTGTCTGGTACTTAAAGTGAAAATTACAAGCAACTATTTGCAAATGCACAATTTGACTCTGGTCTGTGTGCTGCATCGTGTATCTATTAAAGCTTTGTTGCTCTGTGGTTTTGTACTGTATTTTCAAGCATCTGCCTCCATCACTCATCTTATCTCTGTGTCTCTCTTATGCTCTTTCCTTCTCCCCGCTTTGCCATCACTGCTTCAATCTCCTTGCTGGACCTCTCCTCCCTCCCCCACCAGTTTGCTACGGGCCCTCGACCAACCCACCATCAGGTAATTTACTCCCGCTGAACACCCCTCCTGCTCCCCATTTCGCATCATCATCATCATCATCATCATCAAACAGTTTGTTGGTACCTGCTGGCCAAGGGCTGTTCGTGGGGCATCCGCTGTTCCTTAAAAAAAGTCTCTTTGAACACTGACAAGTGTCATGGATACAGCTGAAGAGGTTTTGATTATCATGGGTTTTTTTGAGTGTTGCTGCTACTTAATCAAGATATCCAGCTGGATGCACAGAGCTGCTTCCTGAAGGGTGTGATTTTTACATGACAGAACCTTGTCCTTGATTGGATTGAACCCTCACTTCATGTTGTCTCACATTTTCACACACACACACACACACGCTGATCAATGTTGTGTATTCTATGCTTGAGTACAGGAACTAGTCAGTCTGTAGTTGTAAACCAAAAAAAGGGAATAATAAGCCAACTGTTAGAGTATGGGGGCTGTGTTGCAGTTGCATCTTAACACACTCAATCAGCTGAACAGCCATTGATAAGGTGGTGTGCCAGTCGTGGTGGACACGCAGAAAGGCCCTTACGTGCAGCAGAATGTTGTTTCGATAAAGCAAAGAAGAGACATTACATGCTGTCAGCACTGGTCTTCCATAATATGTTGCTGAATTGTTTTACGCCTGAAAATAGAAATAGGGACATTGTTATTTTTGTGCATGCGTAGCTAAATCTGTCCAACTTTTTTCAGTGTCAACACCGTCTTGAGACCATGGTTTCTCATTTATTTCTAGTAATTACACCAAGGTACTGTAATTAAATTGACTGTTTAATTGTTGTTTGGGGAGGGAGCTTTATGGTCTAAATTTCTTCATAACCACAAATATAAGTCATATTTTAGATGGACACAAATGACTGTAAGCATTTTGTCTTTAAATGCTGATAATTTCTCATTGCTAATTGAAAATTTCTATAATTAAGGGGTAATAGTTCATTTTCACAGAATAAGAAGATAAAATTATAAGGAATAGAAGACAGTGGTCGTCATGTTACGCTGTAGTCAAGGGAAGAGGCAGGAACAACTGTGTGGACCAGTTCCAGTGTTTGTCTGTGTTCATGGCTGACATTTGTGTAAATTACATTCTGAATCCTGTTAGACAGCTGACACTGTGCGAACCAGTGTCATTAGATTATGAGGGGCAAGTTAATGTGTTCATGTCTGGTAGTGTATTTAGGATGATGTTGTTGTTGTTGTTGTTGTTGTTGTGCTATATCACCTTGTGGATGCTAAGAGTCTTGGACGTGTCAACGTGCTGACACTCAGTCCATGTGACTTCCTGTTATCTTTGTGTGTGTTGATTCATGCTGTAATGATTCATACAGATGCCTGCTCTTGAGATTGATGTTATTCACACCCTTGATCCCCTCGATGGGCCCTGTATGACTTGTTGTCTAACATCCTCATCTTCTGGATGCTTCTGTGTGGACAAATTTTCAACAGACTATTAATAGTATAGTGTCAAAGTGTGTCGGGTGTGTTTGCTGGCATTCTCTGGCTGTCACAAACTGGCGCTGGGATCTCTTGTGCCACCACGGAAGTGGAGTCAGAAAGCAGATGTAGCTGAACAGTGGCCTTTCATACCGACAGAGAAAACCGCCATTGTCTTCCTGAAACACACTCAATGCACAGTAAAAGGGTGCATGGAGATCAGAAAATTAATTCATTTGGCCAAAAACGTAAGTCTGCCTTCAAACAAGCGCCATCATTATTTCGTTTTTATTTCCCCACTTATCAGTGTAACTGACTTATTTGGATTTCAGACACGGCTTGTGTGTGTGCGTGTGTGTGTGTGTGTGTGCGCGCGCGTGTGTGTGTGTGTGTGTATGTTAATCAAAAGGTCAAAGCCAGTGGAAATTACAGTTACCACGAAAACAAATGACTGTTGCTTCCTCCAGAGAGCTCTTCAGAGTGTAAATTACCCTATTAATCTTAATTTCACTCATGAGTGTGTCCACTTTGTTGGCTTTGAATAGTGGAAATGTCATGCAATAGTAAAACCTTAGAATACATTTTTGTAAGCATTTCCACCTTAACTTAAACCCTACAGGGTGTTAGCAGTTCATTTCATTTCATTTACTCATTTGGCAGACGCTTTTATCCAAAGCCAGGGACAACACTAAAGCTTCAATGCAGTAGGAGACCTTGTTTGTTTCAAGTGACAGGAATTATTGGGCCACTCTGGCAACAGCATCAGTCTGAGTTATTTCTCTGCTATACAGTAAAAACATCAACCCACAAAAGGAGACAAAGGGGTTTTCACTAAACACTGTAATTTTCTTTGCCATAAATATTGTACAAGCAAAAGACCAGATACCAGGGCAGTGAGGTGACACCTATCAGTTTCCTAAGATAGGAGATGTCTGTAACTCACCCTGGCCTGCACCTCTTAACATCTTGTCTGTTGCTAAGTCAGCGGCGCAGGTGACAGCCAGCTCCCGTTGGGGCTGGGAAACGCCAATTTGGCAAAACAAGAGGTAGACTGGTCGACAGACATGCTGCACAGTTAGAGAGAAGAAACGCCTCTTGTTTGGATGAGAGAGGTTTGTGCATATGGGTATGTGTGCATGTTATGTTAGGGTGGCACATGACCAAAAGTCAAATGCTGATGTGACATTTTGACTGTGACTTTTCAGTTTCTTCCACTCTACCACCCACTCACCGATAAACCAGCTCTCACTCTGACTTTCTTTTACATTGTATGGAGTTGTTTGTTTTTTTGTTTTGTTTTTTCGATCGAGTTGCTCAGGACCAGTTACTTTCTTAGGTAGATGGAACTAATTGAATAGTCTCCTGCCTTCATGTGTGTTTGGTGAATGATGCTTGTTGTTGTATTGGGGCTTCAGTCTCACCAGTACAGTCTCCCACTGGCTTTTCTCTTTTTCCTGCTTTCAATACTCAAGGGAGGATTCAGGCCCATCCAGGTAACATTTAACTCTGTGTTCAAAGTCTCTCAGACCTGCATGGCATGATGAGGATCATCCTTGAAATGATCCCATCCCTCCTAACTTCTAACCCTTTACACCCCCTCATTTTCACTACATTGTATGCTCAGTAGAGAGGCCATTTATCATCATTTTATCCCTATGTCATGTCTTTTATCCTGTAGAGGATCATTACTGGACTTTTCAGTTCATAATTTGTAATTTTTTCTCCATCCATTACTCATCTTTAATGATCTTGCACAATTTGATGAACAGCATGCAGAATGAAAGAGATACTGTATATTACTCCCCCAAATAAGTGTTTTTTTAGTTTCTTTTTATGTCCATGTGATCAAGTGTTTGCTACCCGTTGGAAATATGTAATTTTTAATGTTATTTTATTGATGCCAATTGGGCTTAGATATTGTTTTAGAGTGCACTTAATTTTTCAGTGATTGCTTTAAGCCTAAGTTACCAAACCAGACAGTGTTGAAAAGTTGTTTTGTCTGTTGACTCATATTTCTTGCTATGTCAGCGATTTTTACTGAGACTGTCTTCTGGTAGCTGGTAATGAACAGTTTCCTGGTCATTTCCGAGATAACAGCAGGGCTGTTTACAATAAAGGCATTGAACCTGATTTATTATGTTAGAGGTGATTTCCCTCCGGGGTATTTTTAGATGGTTTTTACAGCATTGTTTATTCTGCTCTCCTTCACTGGAGCACACTGTGACTGTGGTTTGGTATTCCCAACCTTAGCCCTGGTTGTTTGGAAGGCGGTCACAGCTGTTGGTAGTGGTCCTTCTTCAGACCCGGCACACAGAGATTCCTGCCTTAAATTTTATGTGCTGTCGAAAAACACAAAGCCCGTCAAACATTAAACTTTGAAGTGATTGATTGCTTGATAGAAGTCATTGTAGCTGCAGTCACTACAGTATATTTCCCACACTTTCAGTGCTCTGTGAAGCAGAAGAAAAGGACATATTGCTGCCTGATGAACACAAACATGCCATGTGTCACTTTGAGTCCAACTGCAAGGTTAGCCAAGTTGCTCAGGCACAAAAAGAAGTATTTGAAGCCATTCAGCAGTCCAAAAGCTTTTATTTTTTACAGCTGTGGAGTCTGGTCTGCAGCTTATTTACAAAAGCACTCCAGAGTCCTTTGTTGCTTATCAAAGTCTAGGAAAATGTGTTAGTTTCTCTTTATGAATACTTAAATGTTAATCATCAAAATTAAAGACATGAAAACCCACAGACAAACTACATTAAACTACCATTCCAAATTTTAGTTGATGTTGTTCCATGTCTATTTGCCTTGGCAGCAAGTGGCATCAGGTTTACATCACCTAAAGGATATGTCAGTGCGTCAAGTCGATCCATACTGGAGTTCCATTAATGAAAATGAAAACTTAAACTAGTGGTTAAAATCTTAATTTACTGAAGTAAAGAGAAGAAAAAAGGTTAAACAGTTAACAAAACAAGCACCAAATAAAAGTGTAGAAAAATCTGCTGTTGTTAACATCTTTTAATGCAAATATACCCTTATTCTTCACTCTTTTGTTCCTAACTATAAGTTGCCATGGTGTTAAAAAAAAAAAAAAAATCAGGTCAAGATACCACCAAGGTCCCTTGACAGCAGAGTTATGTAGCCAGACTCCATTCAGTTAAGGAAACCTCTGTAAACCTAAACCTACGTGATCCACCACTTCAATTATTTTTAATGTGCCCCTTCCTCACACCTCTATCAGGGTCACAATCTTGTTCAGGCATCTTTAATTGGAAAAAAAATTGAATGGAGAAATGAGACAGTCCACTATGCAGTGCACTGATTATATTTATGTGCCATGTCTCTCTTGTATTGAACATTTAGCTTCATATGAATGACTTAATCATGCTTTTTAAGGCTTTTGTTTAGCTGATAATATTATTGTAGGGGAAATGTTTGAATACAGATTTCTGCTCCCTACTTTGGAGATGGCATTCATCTGATTCATAGCATTATAATTACCATATAAAACCCAAATTACAGAGGTTTAGTAAAGTAATTCATGGAGGTTATGGGTTGTTTTATTGAAGCATAAAAAGGTAGTATAAAGGTATACACATCTGCCAGAAAATCATTTAGCAGTTTCTCCTTGCTCCTCCTGGCTGAAATGTGATGTTCGGTAGCAATGATGAGAGTTCAGAAAAATTTGTGGTGCTGGGCCTCTTTTCTTTTTTCTTTTTTTTTTCAGCTGCTGATAAAAAACCAGGGCTGTCTCATTGTGAGAAATTTGTCCATGTGGAGAAGACATCTGTAAAACTGTGCTTGTTTGTATTTTAGATAAAGCATGGCAGCATGCAGAAATGAGACTGCTACCTCTGTGATAGTGCTTTAATGTCTTTTGTTGTCTCTCTGTGTTTCTCTCACATGCTACCTTCAGTTTTTCCAGAGGACTCAGATGCAGACTGCGAGGCCCACCATCCCGACGAACACACCCTCCATACGGCCAGGCTCGCAGACTCCCACAGCGGCTGTCTACCCCACTAATCAACCAATCATGATGACCATGGCACCCATGCCTTTCCCTTCCCCGCAGGCCCAGTACTACATCCCACCGGTGAGACAAACACACTGAACTGAGTCTTAAAATTACAGTTAAAGTCTTTACTTTAATATAGCAGGTCCAGATATAGTTATGTGTGATATGGAAATTGAGTAAAAAATATTTTCCCGATACCACTCTCATGTCTGCATATTAGATATGTATCTGCAGCCAAAACAGAGAACATTAAACATTATCTTTAACCCTTTTTCTTATGTGGAAATTAAAGGTATTTCAGTTTCACATTTTCAACTGCAGCTGTGATCATTTTGTTTTTGTGCTGAATGACTCCAGAGAAAATGTTCTTGGGTTGCAGCTGGTATTGATTAGATTTAACTGATTACTAGAAATCCAGGTCATAACACTGGTCCAGGCAGAATTTAAAAGTCTAATTCTCACCAAAGGACGATCAAAATCCCTTAAATAAAATTTGAATGTTTGAAAAAAAAATCAAGTGTGCAATTTTTTAAATGAAATTTGTACAATATCTATCGTGTCCTTGCTGATGATGTGATAATATGTATCTCCCTGTCCTCCTTACTTGCAGTTTCGCCACAGTACGCCCTATGTAGGACCTCCTCAGCAGTATTCTGTACAGCCTCCAGGGTCTGGCCCCTTCTATACTGGTCCAGGGCCAGGGGACTACCCTGCCCCATATCGTGAGTCATTAGTCCAACACAAATGCACATCCAGCACTATTCTTACATCACATTTATAATCTGAATTTTCACCATATAGTAGCACAAATACACACTAACTGTCAGCCTTGTGTTCCCTCAGAGCAGGGAGCCTAACTGTGTTTTACTAAATCCTCTTTTCTTCTGTTTTGTTTTTCTTTTCTCACAAATTCATACAGATCCCCTCAGGTACCACCCACCTGTCTCACCCTCTGTCCCTGCTCCCGTTCCCACAGCTGGTCCACCCTATTACCCAGGACACTCTATGTATTCCCCCTCACCCTCCATCATAGTGCCTACACCACAGCAACCTCCACCAGCCAAGCGTGAGAAGAAAACAGTGAGTATCTTAGTAGTTTGTCAGTTTTTTTTCAGCTTTCCCATTGCATAAGCCAGTGAAAATTGGCAAGTAACAGTGAAATATTAAGCGTGAAACGGTGACTGACTGAGTTTTGTACACTGAGGTTGGAAAGATTCACAGGTTCACTGAGCTCTGATGCTAATAATCGTTAGCAAACCAGTGTAGAAAACATCAGCTGCAGCTTCGCATCTTGCTGGGCATTGCTTTCGGTGGTTAGTCAGATCAGCTCTCTCACTAATTAATGTTAATTCAGTCTGTGACTTGATGTCAGGTTTAAATTAAACTTGGCTGTCAGTATTACACAATTATTAAATAGATCCAGAAAGAAAAAAAAATTGGTATTCAATCATAACCCTTTATTATAGAAAAACATCTTATTTGATACATTTTCATTGCACCCCTGAAATTCTTTATTCGATCCTAGATTATTCAATTTAGGAGTACAAGTGCTCCTTCCAAAAAAAGTAATTTTCTTCTTCAGTTGAGTCTGCAAACTTTGCCTGGGAGGGAGTGGCTCCCCCCGCTGCTGAAAAAAATCCTTCTTTTTGTTGCTCTGTGCGTCATTATCAGTTTGTAGCGGTGTGTAATGTGACTGTTGGAAAATGTTCACAAACATGTGGCTAAGGCAGCGTCCTTCAAAGACTTGGGTGCTTTAGTGAGGTCTGTTTTTTTGCGCCATTGTCCTCCCAGATCCGTATCCGTGACCCCAATCAGGGTGGCAGGGATATCACAGAGGAGATCATGGCAGGGGGTTCAGGGAGCAGGAATTCAACGCCTCCTGTCGGTCCCCCCTCCTCTACCCCCACCCCACCACAGGTATGGCTCTCTCACACACTCACTCACCTACAGTATTTCCAGTCAAGGTAGTGTAGCATTAGGAGCAGCTGATTAGACTGGAGCTGTAGCCGAGGAGAGGAGACACGTCTCTTATCCGGCCGTCTCGCTCTTTCATAAGAAATTCATGATGGCTTTGAGTGCGAAATGGTACATTCCTGTTGTTTACAGGACGTATTGACATCATCATTAGCACTTTTGTTTGTGGTTTTATAAATGTGGTTGAGAATTTATGTTTTTCGGGTACACAGGTCCTAAGTTCTTGGGAACATTATGGTCATGAAGACTTATAGATTCAGATAATAACAAAAAAAAGAATAATTTTTATCATGATCATTACACACCACATGTTCAGACATGCAGTTGGGGGGCATGACTTGTTAAAAAAAATAGAACTACTACTACTACTTTATCATAGTATAATAATCCACTTTAAGCTTGTCAACAGCTGTTTTAATCTTACACGTGCTTCCCTCCTATCACTGTTTCTATTCACTCACTATCTTTTACAGTAGATTGCATAAGCACTGTCTGTATACTCCTACTCCTTCTACAGAATCCACTCTGGTCCTCTTACCTATCAGCTCTGCTCTTTAAAACAAATAATTTAGTGTTCCTCTTGGGGCAAGAGCTTTGCCTAGAAGTAAAGGTGGTAAGGCATCGGTTCTCAATCCCAGTCCTTGGAATCATGAGTACCACCAGCACTGGTATTGCAGTCCCAAATCAGATGGATAGAATGGGACCCAGCAGGCCACGGGGTCATCATATTGATGCTGACCAACACCGTACTAATGCCACTGGCACATTTTAATAAATGAAAGGAACCAAGGCCAAACTAGAAAACTTTCCTGGATTCTGAAGAGGGATGTTGTGACTTCTTCCTCCTTGTGTCCTTCTGTGGATGTTAACAGTGTCTTTCCTCTCTTTTTCTGTCTTTTTGTGCCCCTTTGATTTCATTTCTTTATGTATATATCCCCCTTTTCTCTGTCCTTTACTCTGCATTGTTCTGAGCCGTTCCCCTCCTCCCGTCATTCTTCCCACATTGATCTTCATTCTCTGTCTTGTTCCTCCTGTCTTGTCCTCCATTGCTGTCCTCTTAATCTAACCATGCCCCATTGGACTCATAATTTCTGCTTAATCCTGCATTTGGGCTTGTTTGTTTATTTGTTTGTATGCGCGCTTGCCTTTCATCTCTGTGCCTGTCTTTCTGGTTTTCTGTGTTGCTAGTTTTTATGGCCGCACCCTCATTATCCTCACATTTTCTACCTCAAATCACAGCAGCAGCTGAGCAGCAGCCAGACTCCAGAGCAGCAGCAGCAGCAGCAGCAGCAGCAGCCGCCGAAGTCGCAGTCGCAGGCGCAGGCGCAGTCGCAGCCTCAGCCTCAGCCTCAGCCTCAGCCTCAGCCTCAGCAGGCCCAACCTGGAGGCTACACGTTGGAGCCCCCACAGCCCCAACAGCCACAGCAGCCACAGCAGCCGTTGACAACAGGGGCTTCAGACACCAAACCAGGGCCAGGTCTGCCCCAACACCCTCGCCATTTTTTTTTAAACTTCAACCACAGCTCTTAACGAGAAGCCACTCGATTTTAACCCTAGTGTTATGTTGAAATTATAAAAACGTATCATTTGAATTAAACTAAATACTGGCTTGTTTTACTGCTGTATCATTGCCTCCCATGTCAGGCAATGTAATCTTTAGTTTTATTGCCCCCACTCCATGGAGCGGCAACCCCAGTAACCCTCCACCAAATCATCTTTTGCAAAAAACACTGATCTCCAAGCATTTTATGAATCACTTTTGTTTCCCCCAGAAGTTGCTTCATAACAAATGCTTTCACTTTCATTTCACTTACAAATCAAGAGTGTGGTGTCAGCATGTTTCCCTGCTTGTCTAGTATGTAGCTGGAACATTTTACTAGCACTTCTCGGAAAACCTTTATCTTTCATCTTTTTTTTTTATAACTTCTCTGTGTAAAAGTTTATTTTTTACCTCCATGCAAATGTTGGAAACACTTTTCTGTCTGGTTTGTTGACCCTGGGGCTGACACAATCGTGAACTTGGAGTTGAACTTATTACAACCTACAGTGTTTATTTGTTGTTTGTTTTTATTTAGTGTTCTTGATATTTTACTGAAGACATGTATTTATCTGTACTCTTCCTCCTTCCAGATGATACGCCAAAACTGGAGCCAGTTGTCCAGAAGTCTTCCTCACCTGGGCTTGTGCAGCCTGAAGCCCCTGTGGAGAGACTGGAGGCCAACACACCTGTAACTGAGCCCACTTCTGCTGTTGAACAAGAGCTTCCCTTCCCCGCCTCGACGACCACCCCCGTCACTCCCCCACCTACAGCGGCCAACGCCAGTGAACGTCCCTCAGCCAGGGAGTCTGCTGCTTCAGCCTCTTCTCCCTCGTCCACAGTCGGGGAGCAGAAACCCTCTTCGACGCCATCGCAGACTCCCAACACAGACAAGCCTCTTTCAGACGCCCCAAGAACTCTGGCTGCCTTGCCTGCACCAGCCCCCAAGGCTTTGAACGGCCTTGCAGAGTCCGGGACTGAGCTAGAGACCGCGGCTCATGAGCCTTCTCTTATGCCTCCTGCTGCACTCCAGCCCCAGCCCTCTGCTCCTGCTTACAGAGAGGCCACCTCCTCTGAAAATTTGCCTTCTGACATGAGACCAGAGGTTCCCATTGCTGCTGCGCTTGCCCCGATGGCACCTGTGGCTGTGGTGCCAGTCACCCTGACCTCAAGCCCCGCCCCATCTTTGCCAGTTACGCTCCCCCCTGGCCTTCCGCCTCTAGTGCAGGCCACAACAGAGGCTGACGAGCCGAGCAAGTCCTTAGACACTAAAGACCTTGCCCCCAGAGTAGGGACAGAGGCACATGGTGGCATTACTGATAGCAAAACAGAGTCCCAGCATCAAGCACTCATCAGGAAGAGTCCCACTACAGGTATATATATCTGTTGCAGCTGTGAAATTCATCGATGGTTTGTTTCAGTAACTGATGAGTTTAAACCTGCAACAGAAGAGAAATTACTCTTTGGAGTGAGTTTTTTTGATGATGAGACGGCCTTAAATGAGAGGTTGTTTTATGAGCCTGCTAATTTTTTATAGCATTATGCCTAAATTGCAAAATGAAGTGGCCCTATGATACACTTTTACGAACAGCCTTACAACACGCATTGCAGATAATCTCTTAGCAGACAGTATGCTGATACAGTTAATTCCCCCAAAAGGCACAGTCAGATAGAATAAAATCCACGCATCCAGAAAATCCTGGAAATGATGTGAATCATCTTTAAATTTGAAGATTATTTTAATGTTTTTATTTGCCAGAAAAAAAACATGCTATTCAGTATTTTCTTAACATTTGTTTGTTTTATAAAATGCTCCGCATAGTTGTGAGGGACTGGATGTACTCTGGGTGACATACATGAACCAGTAGTTCAATAGCTCAGAGTATGTTTGACTTTTTCCATTTATCCCTCTTTTTCTGCTCTGTCAAATAATATTTCTAAATAACGTTTGTTTGCTGTAGTTTGGTCTGAGATGAGTGAGGTTTAGCACATCAGGGCAATGTAGACGTATATAACTTTAAAGCATTTTATGTCATTTTCTGGCTTTCATCATATTTGGTGTAAGGTTTGCTTATACAAACTGATTTTTTTTTAACACAAATTTCACTTTTACATCTATTGTGGTTGTGCTGTTTGCTCACTGGCTGTGGCTGATTGCACGTTCCTGCGTTTGTGTTGTCCTGCAGTAAACCAGACGGCTTCTGCTATACCAAAGACCTGGAGGAAACCAAATGAAGGGATCTCTGCTGGAGACACACCTCAAAAGGAGGATGAGGTAAAAAAAAAAAAAAAAAGGCCTGTTCTCTTCATAATGCAGGATAAAGAGTGGGAAAGAAAACACTACATTGCTTACTAAGTATATATCAGTTCTACTCCAAATTGTGTCTGTTTATAGTCTCATGGCAGAAGTCTGTTGACACAAACATGCACTTAACCTACTTTTCAATTTTGTCACCCTTTTCAAATGCTTGGTATTGCATTTTGATACGAGCTTTTTTTTTTTTTTAAATGACTACCAAGTATCACAGGAGCGAGACAGAGAGAGAAGAGGAAAGGCACAATGTGGGCAATAGTTCAAGTGGAAAATGTTTCCACATGTGTGGTTGGGGAAGCAGACATAAATGACTTTGGGGTGTTGTTATTGTCCGAGAACGAGAGCAAGGAGTTATCCATCATCTTCATGGCTCACCAGGCTCACTCTATGTAAAATCAGCTCTGTCCTGTTCTCGTTTCCTTTCTTTTATTGTTTTGTTCTGGGTTTGTAGCTGTGGGAGAATGTTCACACCACTAAATACCAGTGCTACAGACTGCTAAAAGGCTTCTTGTAGTCTATACAACAAGAGGTTGTATAGCTTTACTAGAGCTGCAACAGTAAGTCAATTGTTCAATTGAAAGAAAACTAATCAGAAAATGTTTTGACAGTTGATTAATAAGTATTTTTTTTAAGGAAATGTTCCAAACATTTACTGTTTCAGCTTGAAATGTGAGCATTTGTTGCTTTTAATTGTCAAATATGATAGAAAATAAAACATCTTTATGTATGTAATGTATTTATTACACAGTAAACTTGGCTTAAGTTTGGACTCCAAATATATTCACATTAGTACGTTTGTTTTTCTTTTGGCAAGATTTTTTTCTGTTTTTAAAGAGCAACTTTGGTGCCGTCCACTCGAACAATCCTATTGTGCTCCAGCTTTTCCCCTTTTCTGTCTTCTGTAGTTCCTCATCACCTAAACCTACAGAAAATCCTCGCATTCTGACCTCCATGCATTTCATCATCTCCAAGTCATTTCTATACCTTCCCCTGCCTTCACCAATTTTGATCCATTCATCTCTGTTTCCTTTACCACTTTACACTCTTTGTGTCGATCCATTTCAGCCTCTTAACCGATAATTAAAGGACAGTGTAATTTAGATAAATCGTGATGCTAGTAGTTTTAAAATGTGATTGACTGTCATATAATTACCTATAGAGCTCTTTTGTACTTTATATCCCCCACAAGACATTCAAAGAAAGCTAGATGACTGCAACCACTGAGCTGTTAATCATTTATTATCTTCCTCAATGATATTAATGCAGGGCATAATTCTTACTGACAAATATTGTGGATCTGAAAACCGAATCTTGCCTCCCCAAAGGATGAGCTGAGGCCAGTGGATCAACCCGCTGGAGACCAGGCCCTGCAGTCAGCTCCACTGAGCAGCAGCCCTGTGCCCCTACCATCAGTCTTCACTTCCACCCCTGCTGCAGCTCCTGCCAGCAGCCCAGAGGCTGACAGAAAGCCCGCTGCCCCCGAGGAGAATGGTGAGACTGAGATTGAGCCCATGAGGAATGGAGCAGGCCACACCTCAGAGACGGAGAGCAGCGACAGTGGAGCCACCCCCGGAGACAAGGAGAGCTCCACAGGGGCTCCACAGGACATGGAGGGTAAGACAGACCTTGTTCTTTGGACAGATGTTTGAAGTCACCATAGGAAGAACTTGAATGTAGAAAAATTCACATGTTTTCTCAGTAGAATCACAATGATTTCTGTGTGCTGAAATCCAGATTTTGAGCATATCTGTTTCTCCCCTTTGGCGTTGTCAGTGTATAAAGCTGCTATATTTATTGCTAGTTTCTTCTTCCCTCCCTCTTAAACCCTGCTCGGTGCTCCAGACCTGGCCGAGCCCAGTGGGAAGCGTCAGTATGACAGGGACTTCCTGTTGGGCTTCCAGTTTATGCCTGCCTGCATACAGAAGCCTGAGGGTCTCCCACCGATCAGTGATGTGGTGCTGGACAAGGTAAGTCACAGATAGACCTGCAAACTCACACATTCAGAGGCCATTGGACAAAAGGATTGTTTTGTGAAAACCTCTGACGGCCAAGTGTAGATAAATCGATGGATGGAAATGTCATGTACAGTCTGTGTTCTTAGCAGATAAGGAACAGCCCTTGGAGGTCCCTAAATGTGGCTCTAAGAATGGAAAGTTGCAAGTGAATTTTCCGACTCTGTTGTCTTGGACTGCAACTAATTTTTATTTCCATCATCAATTTATCTGATAATCACAGAGCCAGACATCATAAAGTGTCTGGTTTTTTTGGGTTTTTTTTTTTTCTTCTGATTATCAGTTCAAATTCCAAATAAGTTCAATGTGCTATCAGTGACTGGTATTGAAGTCACTAGAATAAGTTTTGCATGAAAAGTAATTTAAATTGATTATCAGAATTATTGCTGATTTACTTCCATTGATCAACTAATCGTTTCAGCTCTACTTTTATCCATTTTAGCCGCAATGTCAGTATCAGCCTCTGTGAACAGAAATGCATTATTATTATTTCAGTTTAGTTTTTAATAGAGCTGTAACGATGAGTAGATTGGTCACGGAGCAAAAACGACTCCAGCTTCTCAAATGTGAGGATTTGCTGTTTCATATCACTGTAAATTCAGTTCCATTGGCTTTTGGACTGTGAGTTGAACAAAGTGAGCTATTTGAAAACCATACCTTAGGCTCTGGCATTTATTTTCTGAGTTTGTAAAGTTAAGCAATGAAGCTATTACCTGATAAATAAGCAAGAAATAAGCTAAGCAGTAATGAAAATAATGTTTAGATGCACCCCTAATTTTGAATACACCTCTCAATGAACCATTGTCCTTCATTATCGGCTTATAGCAACAGGCTGTGTTTTAGATGTAGCTTTACTTTGTTAGATTGTGTGGACTGGATCAAAGATACACCACAGAGAGTTTGGTTCATTCCTCTGATCCCCACATATGTATGGGTGGAGCATATGGCCTGCTGAAATGCTGTTTTGATTAAAATCACATTGCTATTATGTCACACTTGGCAGTGTTAAGAGTGCATGCCCCTCCCCCACCTCTCCAAAAAGAACAACCAGACCGGCGAACAGTTGATTGGTACAATCCCATAGTCTCATATTCTCTGTGGGAGAGAGTGAAATCTCACTGGAGAGGAGTCGAGAGGAAGTCAAGGGCAGCTGAAAGACAAAGAGCTGGATTTGTTCTTCTCTCCTCCCCCACAACTATCTCCCTCTCTCCTCTATTCCTTTCTTCCATCTTTCTTTCCTTCCTTCCCCTCCACATCTGGTCTGACTTCTTTCGCTGAACGGCCTGAAGAACCCAACAAGCAGAATTTATGAGCAGTACAGTAAAAGTGCATTAACAAAAAGCTGGTAATGTGGCATGACCGTCATTTACAAGGGGTCACCTTTAAAAAACCACTAGGTTAGAAATGCGCACGCACACACACACACATAGAGACACACACACACACACACACAGAGACACACACACACACACACACACACACACACCCACACACACCCACACACACCAGTTTGACTCCTTTTGCCCTGTTGCCAGTATTATTAGGGGATCACTGCTCCCCCTGCTGTTAGGCTCATTGTGTGTGTGTGTGTGTGTGTGTGTGTGTGTGTGTGTGTGTGTGTGTGTGTGTGTGTGTGTGTGTTTGTGTTATGATGTATTGTGCGTGTTATGTGCCGTACAGATGAACCAAAACAAGTTGCCATCTCGAGTGGTGGATTCCAGGGTGATTTCCAGAGGACCTGATTTCACACCTGCCTTCGCAGATTTTGGCAGGCAAATGACCGGAGGACGAGGCGCTGCAGTGAGTCACACTCGCACACACACGCTCTCCCAACCTACCACAATCATTCATAAAATAACACGCACACCTCCACCACCTCTCCTCTACCTTCTGTTTCTCTCAACATTCCGGCAATACAGATATCATGATGCCTTTAAGTGGGCAAAATGTCATTGGTACAAACGCAGCTTTCAAACTGTTCCGTAGTGATTTATTAAGTTATGTTGGAGGTCAAAGCTCATTTGAAAAACTTGGTTTCAGCTGATGGTTAATTCAGCACTCTGCTCTGGACGTGTCTGTGATACCTTTTCAGAGTTTTGCTTTTGTCGTGGGCAAAAATCAGGTTGATTGGAATTTAATTAAAGCTCAACATTTTGGACAATAGGCCTATTTACTATCTTGCCAAGAGTTAGGCAAGAAGATCAATATGACTCATATCTGTCAGTTAAGTATAAAGCTAGAGTAAGAAGAAAGTTAGCTTAGCTGGGCACAAAGAATGGAAGCAGGAGTCTGAAGGCAGACCTTTTTCAGGTTCGCAGCTTCATATTTACAGTGCAGACGTGACAGCGCTGTAGATCTTCTCATCTAACTTTCGACATGGCGTTGTATAAGAGAATTTCTGGACTGTTCTTTAACCCACTTGAGTGTAGCAACATATTCATATATTCTAGTCAAGATATTAGGTCAGTGAAGTGGCTTTGATCCAGTTCTGCAGGATGTTGCACAAGGTAATGAGTAACATCTGACAGCTGCATGTGACACTTATATTTGTAAGGAATTATCAGCTAAATGATATTTATGTTTGCTTTTCATGAAACACACACAAACTCAAACTTTGATTGACAGTGGTTTCGTGTACTTAATTGGCAGTAATCAGAAATATTGACATACTTTTTTTCTTTCATTGCATGTGTAGCTTATGAACATTGGTGCACGGCGGCCTCCACCCAGGAAGATCATCATGAACGTGTCGGTGAATGACGATGTGCAGCTGAAAAAGTCAGAGAACGCCTGGAAACCGGGCTTGAAGAGGGAGAGTCCCGCAGAGGATCCTGAGACACAGAAAACACAGGTAGGGCTGAATATACACACACACACATGCGTGAAGACAAACAAAGGAGTGGGTGGATTTAAAAGTTAGCCACATGTAGCAGTCTAGTTTTGATAATTAGTGATCCATAAGTTCTTATGAAATCAGTTCTTTAGTTCAATTCTGTAACTATTAGTAAAGAAAAATGAGTGTGTAGTTATTGCTCAATTAATCATCATAATCTTCATCAAAAAGTACCAACAATAATAACCTCACAACAGAGTTAGAGGTTCATGTCGAATCCAAGCTGATTGAGTGAATGATTGTTGTGATTGATGACCCCAGTGATCAACTACCTTGTATGACCGATTCCCCTCAGGACCTCTTCAGAAAGGTCCGCAGCATCCTGAACAAGCTGACGCCTCAGAAGTTCAACCAGCTGATGAAGCAGGTGACAGACCTGACCATCGACACAGAGGAGAGGCTCAAAGGCGTCATCGACCTGGTCTTCGAGAAGGCCATCGACGAGCCCAGCTTCTCGGTGGCCTATGGAAACATGTGCCGCTGCCTCGCCACGGTAAGCAGGTCACCATGTTGTTCAGGATGGATGAAAGGTGTAGACTTGAGGATAAGAGAGGCTTGTCCAGAGGCTCTTGGCAGGAGAAAGCTATGAATATTGCTCTTACCTCAGCTATGGTACATTTACTGGATGCTTTAAGATGACGTGTAAATTTTAGCAGTACACTGTAGGTGAGCGCATGCAATGTGCATCTCAATATACAGATGCACTATGCGAATAGATTGATTGGTTCAGAGCTCTGCCTTTTATGCAATAAAACGCGGTGAATTGCAGCACAATTCAATAGAGTGATAAGTTTTTATCATTTTTTGATGACATGCAAGAAGAAACTGTGAGATGTCTAGTAACTTCAGCAGCCTGCTGTTAAGGTATTTGTAAAGAAGCAGGAAAATCAGATCAGAAATAATCTTTTCGATCAGGTCACAATTTATTAAAAATGCTTATCTAAAGTTATAGATACTCTGTTAACAGGAATATGAGAAAAACCTTCTATTTTTCTGCCTGCAATCAGTTAATAACTCTGCCCTCACATATGTTAGGTATTAAGATTAAAACAATACATGCATGAAAATGGAAATGTTTAGGTTTATAAAAAGCACAGTATCACCTGCAGAACTCACCGTTGGTTTACATTAGTCTTTACTTACTTCTATTACTCTACTATATCCACTATGTCAACTGTTCCCGTACAGCTCAAAGTGCCCATGACAGACAAACCCAACACCACAGTGAACTTTCGCAAGCTGCTGCTAAACCGCTGTCAGAAGGAGTTCGAGAAAGACAAGGTGGACGATGTGGTGTTTGAGAGGAAGCAGAAGGAGCTGGACTCTGCTGCATCGGTACGTGTGACACCTGATTTCATGCTTTACCAAAACATTTTTAACACGGAAGAGAGTGAAACTCCAAAGTTGGTCTCAAATCTGGCAAAGAGGTTTTTTTATGAATAACCTTCAGGGCAAGTATTTGATTAACGTTTCCTTGGTCCCATCAGGTGACGGAACGCGAGCGTCTCCAGGAAGAGCTGGAGGAAGCCAAGGACAAGGCCCGGCGGCGTTCCATCGGCAACATCAAGTTCATCGGCGAACTCTTCAAGCTCAAGATGTTAACGGAGGCCATCATGCATGACTGTGTGGTCAAGCTGCTGAAGAACCACGATGAGGAGTCTTTAGAGTGCCTGTGCAGACTGCTCACCACCATCGGCAAGGACCTCGATTTTGAGAAGGCCAAGGTGAGCTGGAGTAGTTGATATTCAGGCTCTGTGGTATCAATCTTCTCATCCAACTCTTCGAGACACTCCGAAAAAGTATCTTCCCAAAAATTCATACTGTTCCATTAATTGGTGAGCGTCATTGTGGAAAGAGCTATACAGCTGATCAAGGACTGTTGAAATCAGATCACTGTGATTTCAATTCACAAGAGACTAGCCTCCAAAACAAGGTGTCTAAAGATGTGAAGAATCCCTGGTTACTACATTAAAACAGTATATTGTCACTTTCTATGATGGAAATCTAAAGCTTTCCATATAAAGCTTTAAATATATTCACCAGTTGGTTGTTTAGCAGATTTTTTCCCCATTCAAAATAAAATATTAAGAGTATCTGCAGGTGTTTGCAGGGATGAACTTATGAGGTGAACATTTTGTCAGCAGCAGTTTGACAGTCTGACAGTGCATGTCAGTATGTCTCTGCTAACACGGCACCAAGGCAATTTCCTCCACTGGTTTACCTGGTAAGGAGGTGATTCTGATCTTCGGCAGCACAGTTCAGTTTCTGGTGGGATTTGATCCCACACCAGCTGAGCTACATTCAGCTCCGGAGGCAGAGGAGAAATTGTTTATGTAGGTTATGAGGAAAGAGGAATATCCCCACAGTGTCCCCTCGCTGTTTTCTATCTAACTGGCTCTCATGTAGAGATCAGTGACTCCCAGCTGGACGCAGCTAGAGTCCTCAGATGCTTGGAGAGACATAACTGACCCGAGGGCCTTTCTGCTCTCTCTCTTTTTGCTGTACTGTGATGTGTGGTTTGATTCTCATCATCTACCAGTCTCTCTGCAAAAGGAAAAGCCATCTGACCAAGGAAACTTGCTAATTCTGCTTTACTTATTTACACTCCTGACCAGCATGTAAGTGCAGTTTTTAATGTTAAATACTACAGAATATGGTCATAAATCATCACTCCTGTCCTTCATATGAGTCCCAACCCCGTTTAATATGGTAATTTCCTGAACATGGACCTGTTAATGTCAGGCCATTACACTGATTTGGATCTGTGCTTTTTGGGCTATTACAACTGCTGTCTCTAAAAATGTTCCAATTTAATCTTGGGCGGTCAGGACGGCTCCTGCTCCAAGTAATAAACTGAACAATTGGTGGACTTGGTGAAAAGCTAATGTGAAAATCACTGAAACCAGCTGTCTGGTAGGTTGAATGGAGACATCAAGAATATAACCTTCATGTCTCAAATTAACCATCTCTCTCTCTCTCTCTCTCTCTCTCTCTCTCTCTCTCTCTCTCTCTCTAGCCTCGAATGGATCAGTATTTCAATCAGATGGAAAAAATTGTGAAGGAGAGGAAGACGTCATCTCGGATACGGTTTATGTTACAGGATATTATAGACCTGAGATTGGTGAGTGTGTGTGGTTGTGATTTTTCTTTTTACCTGCACAGCTGTAGAGAGGCACCATCAAAATCCTCAGACAGTATCTGTGTGAAAATCAACAATTCAGTGTACCTCAAACATTTTAAAGCTACCATTAATTCTACTAGATATTATTTGACTATATTCTGAAACAATATATTGTGGTAAGATGCAACACAACAGAGTAATGTGATTACTTATGGTGCAGGCAGTACTACTCTACCATTACTAAGGGTTGTTTTGGCAGTGGATGTAAAACAGGGATCGTCAGACATAGATGAATGCAAATATACTAATGTAGGCGTAAGGTCAGAGCAGGGTTGGCTGATATGGCCAAACTCGCCCAGCACTGACTCACACTTTTAATTGCTCTACTGCGCAAATGCAGAACAGACAAAAACACTATTGACCACTTGCAAGGTCGTCATCATTGTGCATGTGTAATAAATCCAGACAGCTGTGTGTGCTTCTTAACATCAGCATGAGCTGGCGAGCTAGCTCTTTCTACCAGTAAATGTAGAATCCACACATGGATCAGTCCTGTCCCATGCCTTTACCTCTCGAGGTAATATCTCATCAGTAAACACAGCAAGCTCAGGTAAATATAAAGTAATTTTGCAGTTTCTCCCTGTCATTGAAGATCTCTGTGATGACTAGACTTACTACAAGATAGTCAGAGCCAGCGAGGCCACCCTGTGTCATGACAGCCGCATAGACTGTGGCAGGTGTCAAGTCAATTTTATTGCTGTAGCCCAGAATTTGCCTGAAAGGACCTCACAGTCTGTACATCAATGAGACCCTCAGTTTGGATAAAGAAAAACTCCCATAGAAAACATTTCAACTGGCAAAAAAATGGTAGGAAACAGGAATAGCAACAGAGGAGGGATCCTTCTCCCAGGACAGACAGACACACAATAGGTGCAGTGTGTTCAGAGTGGACAGAAATAACAAGATTATATTACAACATGGAGAAATCAGAAGGACTATATTAGGAAGATGGATCACAATTTAACACAGTGCACATTTAGAGTAACTATTCATGTTACTCATGTAGCCAGCTATCACTTATGACCAATGTCATGTCAGACACCATAAAATGGCCTCATCTTTGCATTCATGTTCAATGTCTTCACGTATTGATTTTTTAAGAGCACCTATATGTCAATGCATACACAGTCATGTACAATACATATACACACAGATACTCACATGCACACAGTCTGTTTTATCTGTTGTGTTGTTTTTATCCTGACTCAGTTGTAGCAGTTTATTTGTTTAGTTGTTTGCCCTAAACAGGGACTCAGGCTATAGCAGGTATATACATTACATCTGATGCATTGTTTGTAACAGAATTTATCTGTATTATCCAGGTTAAATAAACAAGTTGTGGACACATGAACATGTTCTAGCGTCAGAACACTGGCAGAAAAGAAAAAGGACTTAGTGAAATAGAGACAAACAGGGAGCAAATTATTAAACATTACAAGTGTCATGTTGTGCTTTTCCAATAGAGAACTGTCTGCATTGATTAAAATGTGATTCCCTCATAGCTCTCGCCTAACACAAGCTTTTTGAATCAATGTCACTGTCTCCTACAAGATGCCGGAAACACAGATTCAGTCCCTACTGTGCTGCACCCCTGTCAAATTTTAAATTAAAATGAGCAAGGCTCGTTTTAGGCAGTGCAAGGATCCACTTTGTTTAAAAACAAAAGCTCTGTGTTCAGCATCGTGGGATGACACAAATATTAATGACAAATGATGGGTTGTAATGCAAGTTGAAAGTGATAAGCTTGTTAACAGCTCTTTGCGTCAGTTATGATCATTGGTTAATTCATCAGTGTGTCTCCAGACATTAGGATATTCCTCTGTGATTGACAACTTCTTCTGTGTACGCTCTGATGTATCTGGTACTGTATGATAAAACCCACACATGCGCTCCTAAATTCTCGGGGCTGTCATTTGAATTCGCTGAGATAAAGAACAAAGAAATCAGTTTGAAAATGCAGAATCTGCCACTACTGTCTGATTCTGGTTTGAAGTCATTGTGATTTGTCATTTTTCTCTCAGCACAACTGGGTGTCCAGAAGAGCCGACCAGGGCCCGAAAACCATCGAGCAAATCCACAAGGAGGCGAAGATTGAAGAGCAGGAAGAGCAGAGGAAAGTGCACCAGCAGTTGCTCTCCAAGGACAGCAAGAGACGGCCAGGTCAGGCCTGCAGTCTAAATCCTCTTTAAGGCTTAGAATCACATCGGCACGGCTATAGTGACTCGGGAAGCCTGCAAGCATACAGGCAGACTTCCTGTCCCTATAGCCTGCAGAGACGCTATTGTGCCCAAAAACATACAGGAAGCCCCCTACCCCCTCCCATCTGTTTGCTGGCCTATAATATTTCATCATGTGTAGCAGCATGCTACAGAAACAGTCAGGAATGTCATTCTGTCTGCGACTTTTGCAGCCTTTTGACTCCATTGTATTTCCGCTAAACTCTAAACCTGTATTTTCCCTGTTCATCTGTGGGTGTGTCTTCATAGATCCAAGAGATCAGAGAGATCAGAGAGATCAGCGTGTACAGAGAGAAGAGACCTGGAACACTGTGCCCATGACAAAGAACAGCAGGACCATCGACCCCACCAAGATCCCAAAGATCTCTAAGGTGAGGCCTGCTGCCAGGGCGTCAACAAATGGAGGGGTGCCAAAGACGAGGAAGATTGTTTTTTTTTTTGTTTGTTTTTTTTGGGGGGGTTTGTAATTTCACCGCAAACATCACAATCTGCTTTTAAATGTCAGTGATAACCAGTAACCAGGTGGTTACTTGTGTTCCATGCAAATATATTATAAAATCTCTACAGGCGATCCAGGCCAGTCCATTAATTCAGTTTAGATTTTGGCTATAACACCAAATGTTTGCTCCTGAAATGACAGCACCCTGTAACCACACAGAGTTGTGAGCAAACAAACAGTTAATCCACAAAACAAATGCAGTTGGTATTTTTAATTAATGATGTGACGGAGCTGTCAAAAACCTATTTTAGTGGCATTTTGCAGGGGAACCACACCTCACAATCTTGTATCAAATGTGATAGATAATACTCATGCTACATAACACTAAATATGATAGAAATACATTATAGGAAAAAGCTATCAAACGTCAAACATCTTAATTTTTGCAGCCGCAACTTCACTTGCCTGTAAGTTCACTTGAGTCTGATCTGTGAGATGTAAAATGTAAAAAGACTTTAAATTAATATTGGATCACAAAGCGTGGTCAGAACTTGTTAAGGAGCCGCTACTGTATTGTCAAGCAGAAACATATATAATGTTATATGATTTAAGATTCATACAGGTATTTAAATAACCAAGTTTATGTTTTATATCCTTTACTGAACAATATCATTACTGGGAAAAGACTAACAGAGGCATTTGAGTGTAAACATATTCACTGACAGATACATTATTGTTGGTGATGATGTGACACAGAGCAGAAGTTAGGACGGGCCTGAATTAAGTTAAATTTAACTAAAATATCATACTATTATTTGGCTATTAAAAAAACGGTCTCCTTAGGAGCACCAGTGGATGTCCAGAAACCAAAGTGTCCGCCGAAATGGCTCAGTATGCCGCCTCCCCACACCCACGATTTCACCCTTCAATTAAGAGCTTATCAATTCAACGATGTACAAGAGTTTAGTTTAATAATCCATCAAACCAACAGAAGCTGAATATCATTTTGTGATAACAGGAATGACTAGAAAACTGACCACAGAGGATATGGAAGGTTTTGTGGCAGCATTTTATGTTTTCTTTGTCTTATAGTCTGTGAGGAATCTGCAGGCTGGCCCTGTTCTCATCTGATTTATATTATTGTGGTTTACATGTTCAGTAGTACAAAGTTCCTCCTGCTGGATCTATATGGTACTGCAGTGTAAAAGAAATGGCAAGGTTTTTTTTTTTTTTTTTTTTTTTGAAGCTCTACCTGCTGGATATACTGTGTCATGTTTCAGTGTTAGTTGACCAGAGAGACTGTACTGTACTGTGTGTTCTCTACTGTATGGTATGGTACAATAATTTGGCTGGTAATTGAATTCAGCCAGTGCTAAAAAAGAAGCATATTTCCCCCTCTGCTGGGTATTTTGAGCACTCACGGGACTGAAAACCCTGTACCTGTAGATTAAAGTCTGGGTCATTTATTTCTCTTTTCAGATTTTATCCTTTCCACTATTGCTATCTGATTTCCTTGTGTAGTTTTCAAAGCAGGAATACTAAAGCTTATTCTTAAATGATTCTCTTTCTGCAGCCTCAAATGGACGAGAAGATCCAGTTGGGCCCACGGGCTCAAGTCACGTGGGTGAAGGGCAGCAGCGGAGGAGCCAAGGCCAGCGACTCAGGTGAGATGACACAGCGAGTCGAAGCATCATTACATGAAGAAGACCTGGAGATACAACAGAGAACTGAGTAGACAGTGAAAATATTGTTCATCACACAGCCAAGTACTTTTCATCTCATGTCTCAGAGGCTCAATCATCAAAACAAAAACACCAAGACTGACTGATATTTTTTTCCTAACATCTCTCAGCTCTCTCCCTCTGTCTCCCTGTCTGCTCAGATATCAGCTGTTGACTTTTCATTACAGACTGATTTAAGTTATAACAGTTAAACGTTTCAGTTACGCTTCACGCTACATAATCTATGTGATAAGATTGTGGCCGTAAATGTCTTAAATGTCACGCAGTTAATGTGTCGGTATGCTTGAAACAAATTACGACGTGTCATCCGACCACGTCTGAAGATGTTTATAGTTGTTCCAAACAGCCACGCTCAAAGGAGTGGAAAAATAAAAGCTTTAATGGGCATAACGGCACATACTGTCAGATGTCTTTCCTCGAAGGCTTTGGTGATGTTGCTCCTGCTTGAACGCATGAAAATTGACAGAAGTAACGGTGTGAAGATTTTAAAAAACGGAGCCTGAGGGAAGGTCAGACCCTGCTTGCTTTCCCACCTCCACACAGTTGGCCAGTCGCTTCATGAAAGTTGTGCGAACGTTGGATCGTTGTGTTTGGAAAGTTACAGAAATGGTCACACTCTGCCCCTGAATTCTGAATTCTTGTTTGACCATTGAGATGTTATGTTTGGTCTGAAGGAAATTTGTTTTCTTTTTTGATTGTATTTTCTACTGTTGATGATGTATAAAACTGTTGCATTCAGCTTATATTGTGAGTCAGGTGAGGCAGCGCTCCTCTAAATGATTGCACCTTGACTCTAATAATCCACAATCACTACCCTTGATTTTCTGGTCATTTTTGTCTTTTTTTTTCCAACAACTTTTTCTCTCCATAACAGAACTATCACGGACAGCAGGCCTCAACCGTTACTCTGCGCTGCAGTCCACACCTTCACCTCAACCCTCCACCACACCTCCACAGAACCCAGACTTTGACTCCAGGAGAACTCTGGGAAGGTAAGGGACAACATCATTGTCTTCTGTAGGGCTCCTGTTGGTTTGTTTTCCCTCCCCTCTGAGGAGGGTATCTTTGTGGCCCTGATACCTAATTTGTCTGACCCTATGTTACCAGATATTTTGAACCCTCCAAATTTTCATTTAATTTGGAAGAAATGTTAGTTTGGTAATTATGGTTTTGGATTGCTTTTATTTGTGCTTTAGTAACGATGATTTCATTTAGGTTTCAGGCAAGTTTTTAAATTGTTTTCACTACAGAATAGGTTAGGTTCCAAATAGGATCAAAATGGCAAAACTCAAATATTTTTTTTTCTCCTTGCTCAGAGGTCCTCATTTACACCAGCATCCTTTCTGACTCTTTTTTTTATTCATTTTCCGACCCCCACTCCAGTAGTCGTAGCAGTGCAGGCAGAGAGCGCAGCGAGAAGCCGCTGATCTCTGCCCTGCCATCATCACGGCCCGGACCGTTCACCAGGGGAGGCAGTTCGAAGGAGCTGCTGGAGAGTCAAACCCCAGAGGAGCCACGAAGAGACCGGGAGCGAGAGGGAGGCGAGCCCCGGAGACCAAGTGTCACCGAGGAAAAAACGGAGCCAGAGCGCAGCCGAGTCAGAGAGCCTGGTGAGACACGCAGCGCTGCACAACACATGAAACATACAGTCCTTATTGGTACCACACTGATATTTACTTTCTGCCATTTTTAAGCCTTCAAAAATTCTGAATATAAAGAATTTTTATCTATTCTATAGTTACACACAGTATAAGATTAGCTAGTTTATTTGTGCAGAATTAAAATATGCAATGATATAACTATATATAATTATTGTTTGATGATATAAATTATACATTTTCCCACATATGATTTTAGTTTGTCATCTGATCATAGTTGTTTTACATGATTATATTATTATATTATATCATGTTAATACACCTTTAACAGCATCAGCAGACATTAATACCTTAGTATTAATTTTCAATTACATTTACCAATGTTAGCCCTTGTATGTAAATTAATTTAGAATCGACAGCAGGAGGAAATCCTGTACATAAACAAAAGCATCACTTCACTACAAAACAATGTGGTATGACGCCATGAGGTTGTATTTAGTCTGTTCAGTGCAGATTTTGTACTTGTCAATATAAAAAACTAATTTTATCTTAAACCAAGATAGGACGGCAAAGTATGAACTGTTATAATTATAAATGGACAAAGCCATTGTATTATCCATTGTGACAGTGATTCAGAGTAAGTTGTTATCTATGTGGGGGTTTAATCCGCGAGAACCATACAGACATCTGAATGAAGCTCTTACCACAGACAGACACCGTTGTGACTATTGTTTTTTGCATTGACAGCGAAACCTGAGCCTGTGGTCCAGACTCCGGACAGACCTGCCCTCTCTGAGGAGGAGATAGAGAGGAAGTCCAAGTCCATCATCGACGAGTTCCTGCACATAAACGATTACAAGGTACTGAGATTCACAGGAACATCAACAGTAGATGAAGCCTGTGGCGCCTAAGTTCGGTGATTTTTAGATGCTGAAGTTTTAATCCACGTCAACAAACAGCTTCTTACAAGAGTGTTACTAATGAGAAAATGACTTTGTTAGATTCATTTATAATTCAGATAATTTACTTTTTAAATTAAGGATTCGCTGAGCTAAAGCATACATGTTGTCTATATAGCTTTTAAATTTAAATCAATAACTTATTCGGTAAGTTGAGGTCTGGTAAAGTAAGGTAGGCATACTTTATTGTCCTGCAGGAAAAATTATTTGAGGAAATTGCTTATACTGTATGAATCAGTGAGTTTTGTTTAAGATGAAATACCTCACTGCTGTATCGATTTATAAATGGCTTTTTAATTGCTAGAATAACAGAATTCAGTTGAGCTTTTTCTTAAAGTTCCCTTTCCTGCCTGCTCTCCAGGTCAGTCAGTCATGATCATATTTCTTTGTTTTCTGCAGGAGGCAGTCCAGTGTGTGGACGAGCTCGATTTGGGCTCTCAGCTGCACATCTTTGTGCGTGTCGGGGTGGAGTCGACTCTGGAGCGCAGTCAGATCACACGGGACCACATGGGCCAGCTCCTCTTCCAGCTGGTGCAGCAGGGAATCCTGCCCAAACCGCAGTTCTACAAAGGGTCAGTTCACCTGCCAAAGCCACTGTTTTACCTTAAAATAATCAATCACTTTCTATTGACAAGAATGTAACTGTCATCACAGCCTTGTGTGCTTGCCTGCTTCTTTTGAATGTCGCACCTTATTCATGACAGTTTTTCTCTTCACACATACTGTATTTTTACCCTCTTTTGCTTCTTCCAGAATTTCTTTTTCTAATGATTTTGTGGTGACAGTGAGCTGAAGGAAAGAGTTACAGTCTTTATTCAGTTTCATTGGGTTTCTGTCACGTGTTAGACTAAACATGTCCAAAAGTCTGAGACCAAAAAAGCAGACACTGACACTGTATAGAAAACTGAAAGTGCTTATTTTCTAGCTTTCCTGAATCTTGGAGTTATTGTTGTAACAGAGTTTTTTTTTGTTTTTTTTTTAAAGGTCTTGAAAAGTCATTGGATTTGTTCCCTCAAAAAAGACTTTAGAAGTCTTAAATTCAGATTACCAAAGTCTAGAATCTTTTCTCTTAGCTGCTGTAGACCGTACTGTCAGTTCCAAAATATGATGCAATTGTGGGCGGGTGTCAGGTGACCTTACACACATACGAACTAAAAGTGACACTGGTAGGACTTTGGATTTTGCAGCAGGAGGCTGGTCGAGTTTCAGTCAGCAACATCAGACCTGTATCAAACACTGTCTCTCCTACCCAGCTAAAATAGCTACTGCAGAGACCCTGTGTAAAGAAAACTAAATAGAGATACATTTGACAAAGTTGACCATCCATTAATCATCATGCTATTGCTACTATTTTCAAAACCAATAAATGTTGTCAGAACATGTAGGGAAACATGTATCAAATGATACAAAGGTGTATCATTCTGAAGATGTTTAATTCATGTTATAATTGTTCATCTGTTGTGTGTTATGTGTTCCAACACAACACATTGGTATGAAAATACTGTAATATCTATGTAAGCATGGAGGCTTTTTGAGAGAGGGTTTTTCTTCTCTTTGAATCTAATTGCTTGTTCATATAAAATGGCCACAAAATGGGATTAAAAACTCTGTTCAGTCCCTTTTACTGAGGCAGATATTTTCAGTGTACTGTGCTTAAAATATCATTGCAAAATATTATTCAGTTTTGGACTGCCTAGCCTTGTTTCCGGGGTCTCGGACGGTACGGTCAATTCATCCAAACTTACTGAATTAAAAATGTAAGTGAGTATACATATATTTAGTCTCTGCTTAAAAAATTAGATGCTTGTCTGTGTTTTCTTTTTTCGAACAGGTCCAGTTCTAATGGTTTTTTTTGTCTTTTTTTGCAGGTTTGCAGAAACGCTGGAGCAAGCGGACGACATGGCCATCGACATTCCCCATATCTGGCTGTACTTGGCAGAGCTGCTCAGCCCTGTGCTGAGGGAAGGGGGCTTCTCTATGAGAGAGCTCTTTAGGTAGTGACACGACTATACCTGAGTCATTCGTTCATGCCCGAGGAGGCTACATGCACAGCAGATTACAGTGGATTTGCCTGTAAACTAAGCCCTGTATGAAATAAGATTTTAATTTAATTTCTGTTGTCTCTTTGTTCACAGTGAATTAAGCAAACCTTTGCTTCCTGTGGGAAGAGCTGGGATCTTAATTTCTGAAATACTGCACATACTATGCAAACATATGGTAAGCAACACTTATATCTGTTATTCCTTTTTTCAATCATTTCATCATCTATTCAGCCTATAGCAACAACATAATATTTTTCTCACTACTGTAAGTTAGACAAAAGTAAAAATACATTTCAGAGGAGTGAGATGTGATGTTGTCTGGTCTTGTCTCCACAGAGCCATAGGACTGTGGCTTCTTTGTGGAGGGAATGTAGCCTCAAATGGACCGACTTCCTACCAGAGGGAGAGGACGTCCAGGCTTTCATCTCACAACAGGTTTTTGATGAAGGCCTCTGCATATAATGTTGTTATTATGTGAAGAATCAGAGTCACCATCCATCAGCTGTCTAACCACTTTATAAAATCCTCTCCATTGTTCTTCCTCCTCTTTCCTTTTTCCAACTTCATTTTCATCATTTCCTCACGTCCTCTCATCTTGACACAAACAGAAACTCCAGTTCGTTCAGTCGGACAGCTGCAACCCTGAGGCAGCTCTGTCTAAAAGGATCTTGTCTCCTGAGGAGCTGAGACGACAGCTGGAAAGACTCCTCCTGGAGGACATGGCCAGTGACGAGCAGATCTTTGACTGGGTAGAGGTATGGCAAACTCTGCAAGCTAGTGGCTAATATTCAGATAAACAAAACTCTGACAGCTTATTTACACCTGGTAGGCTGCATGTAATAAGCAGAAATTCTGAAGTAATAGTGTGGAAAGAGAACAAGTAAGTTACTGTATTTAAGCAGGAAAGTGTTTTCACACAGAAAGTGATTCTATCATTGAAATGGGCGCCATCAGGGCTCAACGCTGTTGCTGTGGCTACCAGCTGCATCCAGTCCTACTGTAGGCCACAGGTTCGGCTAGTCACCCATTGTAAATTTATTACGTAGGCAAATACAGTTGACAGGGTTGTAGCCAAAAATATGAAAAAACAATAATATGAAGCAATTGATATAAACTAGCTATCTAATATCATAAACATAGTTCATTGGCCCAGACCAGATAACCAACCTTTAAAAGTTGCCATGGCCACATGGCAAGCTGCAACAGCAAACTGAAAGAGGTTGAAGTTCGTGGGTCACACGGATTTCCCAGGTGTTTACATGGGAAACAAAGGAGGTGTTGGCAACCACTTGATGTTTGGAACTTTTTTGTGATCTTATTCAAACTGTTTACTGTTCTTCAGTGGCATCACTGCTAGGCAGAGCTACAGTATGTGAAGTTGACAATTGTGTGAATTGTGTGTTTTGTCCTCCTCCTCTGTGCTCCATTTTTCAGGCAAACCTAGATGAATCTCAGATGAGCTCGTCTCCCTTCCTGAGGGCTTTGATGACAGCTGTGTGTAAGGCAGCAGTGAAAGGTAAGCACTCCACAACCTGGAGGAGAGACTCATCTATTCTGCTAAAATCTCACCACTGATTGCAATATTTACACTCTGCCAAACTCTGACCGCAGTGGCGCAGCATGTACTTACTCTGCCCCCTGCTTTACTGCACAGATGATAACACCAACTGTCGAGTGGACACGGCCATCATCCAGAGGAGATTGCCTGTATTACTCAAGTACCTTAACTCAGACACTGAGCGACAGCTGCAAGCACTTTATGCACTTCAGGCGCTGATCGTCACCCTCGATCAGCCTCCAAGTAAGTTCTGCATTAGAGTTTACTCCTCCCAATGAAACCAGGAGATTGATTTTTCTTTCTTTTTTCTTTTACTTACCGTAATTCTTTATCACAAGATTCCTAAATTGTGTTTAAGCAACAGTATTGTAGACAATATAATCTCACCACAAGGTTCATTTAGTAGCTGTTCTGGAGCTATTGATCCTGTCACATGATTTTCATCAGCAGATGAAGTTTGCATTGTTATCATGAAATTGTAGACATTCAAATTTCCGCCTCCTTCTGAGTCCTTTAACTACCTTTTATCCATTTTGGATTAAAACTTGAGACCTCCAAGAATGAACTTTGAATCTCAACATTATTATACTCTGTAACATTAACTTGATGGAGGTTTAGTTTGAGGAACAAGATTCAAACTCTGGTACCAGATAACCTTTTTTTAAACACACTGCAGCTTCTCAGGAGGAAGAATGTGATTAGAGCTAATTACAGGAAATGACATGCACAGTCTTGACTGACACTCATATTCACAGATTCCTTCATGGTTAGAACAACAAACACACAAACCACAAACAAGTCACGTTGATCTAAAGTTACCGGGACTAGAATCAGATTTGCCTTCATTTTTTAATGTCATGGTTTTACAGGTTATCAGAGAACAAAGGTTATTAACAAACTAGTTTGGACTCATATGACTTATCAAGTCTCATATTTAGTCTTTTCTTATGCAGAGTCCAGAGGAAAAGGCTTGTTAGATTGCTCAGTATGCCTCAGTTTGCAGCAGCATGATGAGCATCTATCTGTCTCTGCTGAGGGGGGTATATGACCTGATGCTCAATATTAACTCTTACTTCCTCCCTCCTGATGTTAAGTCCCTTCCCAGTTTAAACGCAGAAATATGTCCAACCATTGAAAACAACAAAAAAAGCTCAGTTATTTCCCAAGACGTTTTAAATCACTTGGGATACAGATCGGTAGGACAACAATCAGGGTATCAGCAGGTTTGAAAAGTCTTAAAAACTTTCGAATTCAGCTTCCTCAAAAATGGCCTTAGAAGGTGTTAAAAAGTCTTAAATTGCATTCATAAGACTCCTAAATATTTTTCTCTCACCTGCTGTGATTTTTTTTTTTTTATCTTATTTTGTCTATCAGTCAGTCCACAAATTATAAATATTTCAGTTAGTATTGTATATGACAAAAAAGCAGAGAATTCTTGCACCTAAACCAAGCAAATATATCTTTGTTTGTAAAATGACTGAAACTACTAACTGATTGATTGATTAATTGACCAATTGACTAATTGATTAATCAACTGATCGTTGCAGCTCTAAAAAGAATGGGAATTACTGAAAAATTGTGATAATAATTGTAGGTTATATTGTCCCTGCTGGTTTTCTATCATACTTTGGTCCTTTATCAAACAGGTATTAAATGTGGTATTAAACACGTCTTAAAACGTCTTTAAATTTACTTTGGTAAACCGTGAAGAAAGACGTGTCAGATCTGTCAGGATTTACAGAGAAGCTACACTGCGTTCACTTAATATACAGAACTGAAGTGTGTCTTTGCCATGTGTCCAACCCCACCAGCACCTATTTGCTGTACGAAGTATCTGCATATATCTGACTCTTATCTGAACTGACCCTCATGTATGAGCTGCACACATTTCACCTCACAGAAAAATATGGTTTTTGAAACAAACCCTTTTTTATAATTTACTTAACAATATGATTGAATTCAGTTTCAAAACATCATTCCATTTCATGTATCCCTGACGGTGCTGAAAAGGTGACTGATGTGTATTTGCTCTGTCCCTCTGTCTTCAGACCTTCTCCGGATGTTCTTTGACTGTCTGTATGATGAGGACGTCATCTCCGAGGATGCTTTCTACAGGTGGGAGACGAGCAAAGACCCCGCCGAGCAGCAGGGTAAGGGTGTGGCCCTCAAGTCTGTTACAGCCTTCTTCACTTGGCTGCGGGAGGCGGAGGAGGAGTCGGAAGATAATTGACGAGGGAGACACCCGGGGACATGACGTAGTAGAACTGCATCCTTACAGCAGAACAAACATTCAGAATGCGTGTGTGGGCAGGACGACATGTTTACGGCTGGAATTTTTTTCTGCGGTACGGTTCTGAAACATGCCGCCATTTTGAGTTTGGATTCCAACGGCGGAAGCACTAAATACCTGTATTATACATAGAAAATATTTTTGTTTTAAATTTTAACTTACGTTTCTTTTGTTACTTTTTAAGAAGAGACTTAAAAGATACATAGGTTCTGGACTCTTTAATTTATTATTTTTTTAAGGACTGCAAATATGAAAGTTATTTAACATTTGCAGATGCTCACAACAGAACAGAAATAACAATATAATTAATTATAATAACAAAAATAATAATTGTGAAATGAATAGCCTCCCTGGACTCCACACTGTTTGGTTTAAAACAGGGTAAAACAAAATTATTTTGGGATGAAGGGGAAGCAGAGATAAAAAGGAACTGTTAACATTGTCCATGTATGATGTTTGAGGTCAAGGGTTATCTTCTAATAACCAGAAAGCCTTGGCTTGCTCTGCGTTGATATGTACATACACCTCATGAGAGGTAGAGGTATGCATTCAAGAAGCGATGCAAGTCAGTCCACAGAACTGTCAAAACAAACGCAGACGAACAAACCAGATACATTCAAATGAAATGAGCAAAAATGCAAGTTTAAAAAGCAAATGGCCAGGGTCGCTGAACATGAAATGCTTGTAATACTTCAGACCTACAGAGCAGATTAAATGCTTGTAAATACATTAAAGACAAAAAGGTATTTAAAAAAAAAAAGTTGATTCTCATGATTTGTTCTTTGGATGGTTGGTATTTGGAGATGTGAGTTTCCAGATTTTGTGCTTTTGGTGGCTCAACTGCATCTTAATTTGTGTGTGTGTGCGTGTAATAAATTGAGGCAGTCTTTCAGCTGTTCTGTTTTGGATAACACTTTAGCTTCTTCAGAAGAGCTGAGTGATCTGACCAAGAGAAGCAGCTGAGGGACCCGCTGGCATCCGGCCCAGGATTCACTACATGGGTACCACTCGATCCTTTTGTCTGCTGAGTCACTGAAGCACCAGTGGCATGTCTGTAGAAGTGTCTTAGCAGGTCTTTGCTGTATATTTCCCTTGTTTATTTTTTACCACACTGTATATATTTGTGTATGTATATTTTGTGTATTTATCTAGTTGTGATGTGTTTCAATGGGGTCAGGCAGGCAGTTTTATTAATTTTACAGTGTGTGTAGTCACTTGCCTACCAGATCACCCAAAACACATTTTAGGCAATTTACTGGCAACCATTTTGATAATTGGTTAATCATTTCAAGCAAAAATGCCAAACATTAATTGGTTTCAGCTTCTTGGTAGAGAGGGATTTTCTGCTTTTCTGTTCAATATCATTTGTGTTTTGACTTTTCACACAAAAATGCAATTTGGTCAGGCATGTTTCACTATTTTCAATCTATGAAACATCTAAAGAAAAAAGTTGAAGATGACATCTTCAAATATCTTGTTTCGTTCCACCCAAGTCCAAAAACCTGAAATACTCAGTTAAGAGTGACATACGACAAAGATAGGCAGCAAATCTTCTCTTTTGAGAAAATGAAATCTGCAAATATTTGGTATTCTTTCACAATTTTTGCTTGAAAAATTACTGTAACGATTAATCGATTATCAAAATAGTTTATTACTTCTTTGTTGACTAATTTGAAATGAAGTGTAGATGAAACACTCATCTTATTAGGATATGAGCTCTCAGTTTTTGGTGTGTATTCATCAGGGGTTTTATTTCTCTTTCCAGGAAGCTAAAACAAGTTTCTGATGCTCTGTCTATATTCTGCACTACAAGTGTATCTACCACTGTACTGAACAGTAAAAGTTGTTTCTTCTCATGTCAAGCAACCAAAATAATTAGGTTGTTAGCATCAGGCAGAGCTCCCACCACTGCTGTAACTACAAAGTTTTCATGTTTCTTTTCTAGGTTACCTTAGTGCCACTAGCTTTCGGTTCTCAATGTAATTTCCCATGAAGGGTTTCTTTAATCAGTTTTCTGTCTATATTTTATATAAGTCTACTCAAGCCTGGATTACCAACCTGGCTAAGTTTGATTGTTTGGTGTTTGAATTGCCAGAAAATAATTAACTACAGTTGATTAAAATACAAACATGTTGAGTTTACACTCAGAAAACTGAGACCATGGCAAACATTCACACTCGTGAACTTGTGACAAGTTTTTTTTGTTTGTTTGTTTGTTTTGCATTTTTACATTTTAAAAATGACTTGAATGATTGATTATCATTGTCTGACAATGAATTGATCAGCTAATCATTTCTGCTCTGGAGTACTGGTTGGTGTCTGGGTGCCTGGGAAAACAGTGCCAGTGTCAACAGAAGCCCAACACAAATCTTTGTCCTGGGGTCCTCTATGTCAATTAGACCATGTCTACTTCTTTACTGAATAGTTAACTTTGAGCACCTATAAATGTTTTTTAATGTTTGTTTTTTAAATTTTCTTTTAAATTTGCACCCCAGAACTATAGCTCCCACGAGTTAACTCAAAGTATGGGCAGAAAACCTCAGTATTACGTTTGAGCGTTTTAGAAGCTGTTGAGAGAAAAAAAAAACCTTTTGTATGTGAATCAAGCCAGCCTCTTTCCCACTAGCTTCGGTCGTTCAATGCTACACAACAGCAGTGACAATGCCAACCAAGTCACAAATTACCGTGTGTTTAATTTTATAGTTTAAATGTTAAAGAGAAAACAAAGGACTTCAACGGTTGGAATCGGCGGCCATGACAGTGGGAATTCTTCGACGTACTACGTGACGTTGCGACGTGACCAACGATCGTAATGGGGCGGGGCTCGTAAACAGAGAAATCTAAATAAAGGATCGTGCAGAAATTTACTCCAAAGTATCTCACTTTTCTCGACAAGTAAGAGGTAAGTTTCATTCGCATTCTGATTGGTTAGGCGCTAAAGCTATATTTGCACGGATGCGTTGTTGGAAAACATCACAGGCCGGTGGGTTTTTACTCCGTGAAACTGAAATGAATTTTATCTGCCTTGTGCGACGCCATCACTGTGTGTAAACTAGCAGACAAAATGGCGAAATTGCCGACAATTTCCCGCACCTCGTGTGCTGGCTCGTATAAAAATGATCTAAATTTTTTGGCAAAGGCTGGCGGATGAAAAGGTTTTGAAGGTGGTCTTCGTTTTGGTAAACACAAGTTCACCTTTTCTTCTATTTGAGGATAATGGGCCTCAATGAATGAAAGTGGGTCTGGCAGTCTCACCGTTTTTTTTTTTTTTTACCACGCACATACAGTATTCAGAGCGGGGCCCATACCAGCGTTGTCTTAAAGTGTTGTTCATGTGCATGTTATTTTCGCCATACAGGTAAATCTCGTGTGATGCCGATACGCCGAGCAGCAGCGACTCCAACCCAGGAGAAGGACCCCTCCGCTGCTGCAGAAAAAGGTAAGGCCGGGGTCGTCCATGACCTGAGCTAAAGACCCCTGAACGCAACATCATCTCTGACACAGATTTCACCCCATCACAACCCCAACCGCAATACCCTACAGACTGGAAATTGAGTATAGTCCAGAGTATTGATGTGTGGTCATCACAACTTTGTTTACAACCAGAAACAAGTTTGTAGATCTGAGCAATATAATCAAATACAGCAGTGTTATATGTTCCTCTTTGGTATTTTTAATGATACCTACAGACCAATGTCTATTTTTTTATGTAAATGTAAAACAAGGTTTTGCCAAATTAGATGATTTAATGAATTTGAGCTGACTAGCATCTCATTTTTCATGGATAGTAGTTTATTTTAGATGTTATGTTAATTGTACATTCATGAGCTTGGGTTCAAGGGGTTTAGGTGCCTGGATAAAAAACCATAAGCTTCTCTACACTATAAGCTATAAATAAAGGCAAAAGTGCAGAAAAGGTTATCTTGTGGTTGTCCTTATTTTTACATGCCAGCCGCACATATTTTTTTTTCCTACTTTAATGTCAATGACCGTCTCCTCTCAGAGCCTGAAGCTTCCTCAGAGGAGTCGCCCTCTGCTGACGAGGAGCAGGCAGCATCTTCAGCTGCAACAGCTGAGGTGGAGGAGGGCGAGGGTGATGGTGTGGGCGAGACGGAGCCCTCGGAGAATGGAGAGAAGGCTGATGAAGGAGCCGAGCCGGAGAAGGGAGGGAAGGGGACAGAGAAGAAAGAGTGAGTCTCACCAGAGAGCTAGTGTGCAACTCTGAACACTGCGATATTTCACTTTGATAGCACTTTTATCTGTTTATATTATCCTTACCTCTGCTGGATAACAGCAGACTGCTCCTGTCATGGTTGCAGTGTTGCATTTCCAAAAGATGTGACCTGTCACAGCCACATTCATCCCCTCTTTACATAGTTGTCAGACAGATGTACCGGTCCCTTTGTCCGCAGTCTTGGAGGAGCCCAGGAGGAGAGGACGTTGTTGTCAAAAAAAAAAAAAAGCTTAGTCTCAAACAAAAAGAGGCATTACCCACTATGCAACATATCTTTCAGAATAATGTCCAGATAATATTTTGTTTTCCCACTTGTTCAAAAAATAAAACTGAGCAAAATGTCTTCTGAATTCTAGAAAACAGCCCTTCAGTTTAGCTGTAGGTGATCAAATTGTTTGGGCAGTTCACACCGATTATCCAAAGTATTTATGGAAACCCAGGTAGCGTAAGAAAACATGAAAAAGCCTTCCATTTAGCTGTTGGCGAGGAAGTATCAGGGACATTAAACCTTGCTTTCCAAGTTAATAATTTGTAATTTTGGTAATTTCTCCTCCTTTTCTTCTCCCAGACCTCAACAAAGCAAACATTCACCTTCTACACACAGTTCACTAGCATACAAATTCAGTTAGAGTCAAATTATCATGGTGGTCATTAAGACAGATGTTCTGAAACTTAATTTTGTCTTTCCCGTCGGTGACAAATGGACAAAGTGACAAATGCAAGGACTGCGCGGCTGGACAGTGCGCAACACACTGCTATGTTCTCCTACTAAGGTGAGGATGTGATAAAGATAAGGGTGGTAATAATCACAGTGAAATATCGCTTTCTAAAGAATGGACCCACTTCACTGAACTTGTGTCTTGCTCCTTTTGGCGACAGGTTGAAAGATGGCTACAAGTACGAGAAATCCAAAGTCAAGAAGGTGAAAAGGACGATTCCTGCGTGGGCTAGTGTCAGTGCCAGCAAAAAACTTCCTGTTACCAACTTTGCAGGCACTCACAACAAAGTGGATAATATCCTCATTGAAGCTATTACGGTGTGTACAAACTTTGTGTATCCACCCCTCTTCACAGTCAGTGGCATGTGTTTATTTTTGCCTTTTTTTTTTGTTGTGATTTCTTGTCCGTTGCAGTCTTCTAATGACAAGTCTGGAGTTTCATACCAGTCTGTCATGAAATATATCGTCAAAAAATACCCAGGCATGGAGCTTGACAAGAAGAAGTTTCTCATCAAGAAAGCTATGAAGAAACATTTGGAGAAGGGCACAATTAAACAGGTAACTAATGTACCTCTATATTTCACCTAATGTAGGAATATAAATAAAAGCATGGTCTCCAATCTGGAAGAAGCAGCATACTTTTTCAACAAAGACGTTTCTTTGTCTCTCATTGTGGTCTCTTCCTCTGGCACAGCTGAAGGGTAAAGGCCTTTCAGGAACCTTCATCATTGGGAAGCAGTCCAACCTGTCTAAGGTATGTTACAACAGAGGGAGGAAACAAAGTCATGTACAAGCAATTTTAGTGGGTTTTTGAATCTCAGTAGATCATGGCTCATATTTATCAAGCCTTTCAGAGGAGGAAAAGTAAGTGATTGGCATTTTAAGTGAGAAGGTGCAGCACTGAAATCTCTTTGTTAGAAGACAAATACCCTCTCAATGTCTAAGTCAATAGATAGAACAGAAGTTGTGCTCAGTACCAGAATAGCTTCAGGAGGAGATCATAGTACAGTATTTCATAGGTGCAATCAAATCTAGACCTTATGTTAACGATGTAGTGTCAAAAGTTTCCTTCTCCCATTTTTCCCTATGAGACTGGGATGTGTTTGGTTGTAATCGTCATGTCTGTAAATGGGTGGTGTTTTAGAAATCTGTTCAGAAGCAGGAGTCTCTGGGAGATGCTCTTCCTCTCATCATCACTCGGCTCTGTGAGCCCAAAGAGGCCTCCTACAACCTGATCAAGAAATACCTGGAGCAGCACTTCCCCAGCCTCAACATCGAGAACAGGTACAGTGTGTTCCAATGACTGTCTGAGCATTGCAGATACTACCAACAGTAAATATATATATATATATATATATATGAAGACTATTGAACAATTAAGAGTATGAAATATTATAGATACAAGCAAATATTTTTTTAAATACTTTCCTCGAGAAAAGAGGATAAATCAATCCTTTATCAACAAATTTAAAAAATGTAGTAAAGATGAGTTTGTAGAAATTTCACTTAAAAGACGACACAGCTCTGTAGTTTTAACAGTGGTCTGGATTTCAGAGGCTCGGTAACTTACAAAAGTGGGTGTGTAAAGTTGTTTAGCTGGAATCATTGATTATATAAATGATTTATTTACTGGTTCATCCTCAGGCCAGAGGTCCTAAAAACAGCTTTGGTAAAAGCAGTAGAGAAAGGACAACTGGAGCAGATCACTGGGACAGGAGCCAGAGGGACTTTCCAGGTAAAGCTCTTTATAACACTGATTTTTTTTTTCCTTCCAAAATGAGTGACATATACTGATGGCACATAAATTTTTAAATTCTGTCTGATAAAAGCCACTGTGGTAGATGACTTCGTGTTTGTCATGAGCAGCACAAGGTTTATGGCACAAGTTGTGCTCTCAGCCATTCATTACTTGTGCATTTGTAAGCTATAAACAGTAAAAAAAAAAAAGATACATTTTATTTTCTGTCTTTAATTGCTAATGTTTTGTCTGGTCAGCTTCCAACAAGAAGGACTCACTGAACCACTTAAGGACCTGCATTATTTCCAGGATAGATACAGGACTGCATTGTCAGTTAAATCTACCAGCTTGAGCATCTGTGTTGTATTATACTTTTTCAGTAATATTAAATATGGCACTATATTGCATTGTAAAGCATGGAAACCAGGGGGAAATAAGTGTTTTTCAAAGTGCCAGTAAACACGATGACAGCCCCCACCCCCCTCATACAAAAACATGAGCATGAATAAAAAGACTATGCGGCAAAAACACTCTCTGTGAGAGGCAAATGACAGGCTGCCTATCTGTTAGTTGCAGCCTTAATTTTGACATACAGTTCTTTTCATTATCGAGTAATTGTTTGATAAATAAAGTGTCAGGAAATAGTGAAAAATGTGTGTCCCATTTTCTCAAGAATCCAAGAGTATGTCTTCAAATATCTAGACTAAGGGAACAAGAAAATATTCATGTTTGAGGAGCTGAAAACAGCAAATTTGTCTAGTTTTTTCTTTTCTTGTTTTAATTAAAACATGTCAAAATGTTTGCTGATTACTTTTCTGTTGATCATTGTTGCAGTTGTTGCAGCTGCTGTAGTCTGAATGCACTGTGAACCATATATCCTAAAAATTCTGTCACAGTTGAAGCGGACTGGGAACCAGGTCCTTCTGAAGGGCAGCACCTTGGAGGACGCTATCACAGCCGCCATCACAGCTATGAATGAACCTAAAACCTGCAGTACCAACACTCTACGCAAATACCTATTAGACGCCAACAAGGACAGAAAAGAGTACCAGTTAGGTGAGACTCCCTCTCTCTTGCTTACATGATTAAATGGGACTGCTTAATGGGATTGACTCGGAGGGACAAGCAAAGCATTTTCAAAGTAAATTTACTCAAAATAATCACTCAAAAAATGTATAGTTTTATTCTTCATGTTGGTTACATTGGATTCCAATAGGGACCAGTTAGAATGTATATGCAAAACCACACCTCTGTATTTGTTTTCGCACATCCTGTCTGATGTCCTGTCGGAGAAAACTGATTGGTTCTCGGGCACATCAGTCAAACAGTTGGTTCCTCCTTAAAGTAAACATTAAAACGGTTCTTACCAATGAAAGAGCTGGAAGCAGGCATTCTTTTAATACATGCAAACCAACACACACATCTACGAACAAGCCTGGCAGGAGTCAAGTGTGGGCACTGATGCAGAAATTGTGCATTTATTCTTTTTTTTTTTTTGTGAAACATTAACCACAAAGAAGTGGATTCTGCTGTAAGAAAATTTGTTGTTTTCTTTCTGTAGACACCCCATAAGCTGTACGTTAATAAAGATTGAATTGAATTGAGTTGATTGATGTTTTGGGTGACCACAGCTATTATTTTCTGCAAGGGATGAAACCAACTTTTTCTATCCACATTTCTAGTCCACAGGGTTCAGCAGTTCACTCAAAAGGCATATTTTTTTTGTTTAGATTGTTTGAGTGTCACTGCATGATAAGATTTGGGTAACAAGGTTTGTGCATCCAGAATGAAATTACTAAAAGACAAATTCTTTTCTTTAGTGGCCAATCTGAGGAGGACCCTGACGAAGTGTAAAGTCCTAGGATGGATGGAGCAGATCACTGGTCATGGCTTCACAGGGACCTACCAGCTCTCGTTCCCTTTCTACCCCAGGTATATCATCTACACTTGGAGAAAAGGGTTACATTGATTAACCATTTAATGTTAAGAATACCTTCTTTTTTCCCCCCTTCATCACACTCTTTCTCGATGTTTAAAAATCTCAGAATTTCTAGTTTTTGTTCCCATCAGTATCCACAAAAAAAGACACCATGGTGGTCAGCAACACATGTTGAAACACAGACACCCAGAGATACAGACCATGTTCTGTTTATGAGATATGGATATTGTAATCTTCATCTAATAATTGAGATATTCTAAGTCTATAATAAGGAGATATGAAAGTATTTTAAAGAAACCTTTCCATTTGAGTGAATAAAATATGCGTCCATAGTATATAGTTTTAAAATATTTTATCTATTACATATTTTAGGGCAGATGGATCAGTTAGTAGCTAGCTTTGAAAACACACCTTCTCGGCTTTTTTAAAAAGATTATTTTTCTCTTTAGTCCTACCATCCTGTACCCAGACAAGTTCAAAGAGCTTCAGAATAAAAACACAACAAAACCTGCACCTCCAGCCAAGCGGAGGCGGGTGGCTGACTCCTCTGACGAGGAAGAAGAAGAGTCAGAATCGGAAGAGGAGGAAGACGACTCAGTGGACGACCCTCCCTACCGTAAGAGGTGGGTATAAAAGTTCTAATTTCATATTTGGATAGTATTCCAAAATACAATGCTGCATCATTAATCAATACACTTAAGTAACTGCTTTAATAAAAAGAGAGCAACGCCTGACTGAGTGACGCCATTGACTATGAACCACAGATCTAAATGATATATATTAAAATGTCCTAAAATGATCATGTAGCACTGTAACTCTCAGGAAATCTCAGAAATGTGATTTTCTCTAGTTTTAAATGAAACGTGACATCGTTCAGCCACCTGGCGTGAGATGGGGGCTTTGGTTTTGAAACGAAAAAGGATCTGGTTCAATCCATGTGTTGTAAGTATCACTCAGAGACTTGAAGATTGAGCCCTTAAAACCACACAGATCATGGTCCATTTTAACCTGATGAAGATGTAACCGGCACTAATATTGTCCAGTTAAATAAATGTTGAGTTTGGAGTGAGTTTGTAGGAGTTTTTATTTTCATAGATGTAGTATTTCAGCAGCCTTGCACGCACATGTGTGTGTAACAGTCTATTTAAATAACTGCTGCATGTTCACATTACTGTTAGGAAATATCAGAAGAGGCCTCCAACCAAGGCGCGCCGTCCCCCACCTACCAAGAAATCTCGGACCGCTAGTCAGACAAAAGCTAAAGGCAGGGGACATGCCCTCGCTAAGAAGTCTCCAGCCAAGAAAGCAGTGTCTTCAGCCAAGAGATTGGGAAAGAAACAGTCATCCTCCAAGAAAGAATCCAAGGCGCCAACTAAAGCCACACCTGTAAAGAGAGGAGCTCCTGCGAGAAAGCCCAAAACGCCAGCAGTTAAAAAGCTGAACAGGAGGGCGTCTAAGCGACCTGTTTCCAGAGAGTCATCCCCTGAGGAGGCTGTAGTCACAAAAGAGACTCCAAAGAGCGGGTCCAAGCGATCTAAACGTACAGAGTCGACCCCTGCGGAGCCCACAGTTAAAAAGTCGGTGACCAAAAGTGGATCCAGTCAGCCCGAGTCTGAAGACTCGTCCAATGAGGAACCTGCAGTCAAAAAGTCGGCGGCGAAAAGTGGATCCAGTCAGGCCAAACCGGCAGGGTCCAAGCGGCCTGTAGTCAAAAGAGGGGCGAAGAGCAGCAAGCAGTCCACTCGTAAGTCCAAGAGAGGGAAATGGTGAGCCCAGGAGTGCCTTCCACGAACTGGGCCGCTCTGAATATGCAGCAGTCTGCCGCTTTGCTTCAGTGCTCTCTCTCTTTTTATCATTGTTTTCTCCCTTTTTAATGGGACAGTAGTTTTTTTTTTTTTTTTTTTTTTTTTTTTTTTTATTATTTCTATCGTAAAATAAGAACGTTATCCTATCCTAACATTAAGTTTACTGTACATTGAGAGTTTCTGAATTTCCTTTTTAATCACCATGTGTAGAGAAGCTCAGTTAGTGTTGCCGTTAAAACAGATGTGTTACCAGCTGCCAGCTCTGGAAACCATAGCAGGATCCCACATACTGTAACTAGAGCCATGTAGTGACTTCTGTTTTTATATCTCTTCCTTATCCAATCTGTAGGTGTTGGCAGCACACATTCCTAATATCATCTGAAGTGAGATATCAGTGTTTTGGAGGGTTGAAATTTCCATTTTAAGTTGAAATGTGGGTTAAAATGTTTAAACGGATACTAATGATATTTTATAAAACACAGATTTTAAGGTTGTTGTTTCTGTGTCCTGGACACATTTTTTGGCCACACAGCACTGCATCAGAATTTGAATTGTTATCCATATTTGTCCATGACTTATTTGTTTAGTCCTGCTGGTGCCAGGTCGAGGACTCAACAGAGGACAAAACACTATGTTGGTATTCATTTCAAAATGAGGCAGATTGGGTAAAAAGTCATTTTTTGATATGTGTGTAAAAAGGCATATACATGAATCGATTTTATTGCTTCACAGTTGTAATTGAGTACAAAACTGTAAGAAATGTGTGTTGTGAATAAGAAAAAGAAGGATAATAGCTCATACATACCCTGCATGCATGTATTCCTTGTGTTGTTAAGCTTTTTTTCCAAGTCATTAATAAAATGGCTATATTTGTAAACTTGCTGATAATTTAGTCATTTAATATAGTGGGTAAACATATACAATACAACACATTCTTCATGATTCCAGAACAGAAAGAAGTTTAAGTACTTTTTTAACTTGATAATTAGCACAAGAGAATATATGGGTTTAATCATTCTACAGAGAACTGCTCTTCCCAACTGTGGGGGGTGCTGCGACAACAGGATTTTTAAATGATTAACTGAAAGATTTAAGTGATTCACCAGATTTAACTATTTCACTTCCTGGAAGTTCACACAATAACAGTCTGTAATGTATAGGAATGTGTTGCATTACTGTCCAAACCATATGTAACAATGAAAGTCCTTTCAGTTTGAGTTCTCAGGTTCAATCTTCAGAAGCTGGACTGTTGTTTAGGTGGAGTATTTGTTTTTTTTCCAACTTTGTTTAGACAAACAACAGAGACATCATAATAGCCTTGCATGTTTAGGTGGGGTTGTTGCAAATGCAATCCCATTATATGTTCTCAGGTTCAAAAATTCTTTATTACAACATTTTTTTGACTCCTATCTGCTAGATGCTTCAAACTCCATTCAGATTATGTTCAGCTCAATTAGGACATTATCGGATGTATTCATTTTTTTGATCTTTTTCATACTTGCCAAAATATTTCAGTTTTTTCTGACATTTTTTCCCATTAAGATGAACGGACAATGTTCAAAAATGCCAGTTGTCATTTATACTTTAAGGCAGAAACTCCATTCAAAGGTCAAAATGTTTGGAAACTTTCATTAATTTTTGGTTGTACTCAACTTTGAAATCGCATTCATAGTTTTTACACAGTGATGGTTCAAATTTAATGAACGTTTCAGCTAGAATGGGTGGCATCACACAGAGTGGGGATAAGTTCAACTATTCTGAAAAATTTCTGTTTAACTCATCTTCATTTTCACATAATGCTTGCATCAATACACCTTAGATATTTAATTGTACACTATACATTCTTGTAGTTTTTTTAACTTACAAATGAGTGTAAAACTATCTACTGTTTGTTTGACAAATAGTCACTTGTTCATTGAAATGACAAATTTTTGTTCGCTTTAAAAAACAAAAACACAAAATTACAATATGTCATGTTGTGCTGTCTTAACATAAAACTGCCACAATTTTATGTTTTTACCAACTTGCTATTAAGTCGGAGGGTATGTCCCTACTTGCTTTTAGGCTACTTGTAATACTTTTAAGTAGGATTTTGAATGCACGACTTGAAATAAAGTATTTTACATGATTATATTGGTACTTTTGCTTAAAAATAATGATTATAAAACCGTATCTGAGTAGGCCTACTTCTTCCACCGCTGGGCGTGTGGTGTCAGCGGGATGAATTGCGCAACGAGCAGGAATGTCTGGATAGAGGGAGCAGCATTGGGAGGGAAGTGATTCAACACGTTATCCTCCACTGACTTTCATTTCATATGAGAGGGGGAAAAGTGAACACCTTTCTCCTCCTCCTCTTCCTCCTCCTCCTCGTCCTCTTCCACCTCGGGGTTCCTTTCCCTCAAGCCCCGCCTTGGGCCGCCGGTAGCACACCTGGACGACGGAGCGCGGCGGCAGCACGTAAAGGTGATTCGGACCTCGGTGTCGTCAACGGCGTGTGCAGAAGACGCAGACTAAATTGGCGGAGGTGGTGGTGCTGGTGGAGGCTCTGAAAAGTGAGTTTGTGGGATTTCATTGCTTTTTTTTAACGACCTTTGAACTGAGACGCTCCAGTGTGTGTTGGTCTACAGAAGACGGAAACTGTTCCCAAGTGTTATCTAGTCCGCTGTTTGTCATTTTGACTTCACTTTAACACTTCGGTTTTTGTCCACTGTTTGGAGCATGTCAGGACTGATAAGCTCATAAAACACATACCAACACTTCCCCGTGTATTAACAGCGACTTCTACACATCTACGACGCTCAAAATTGGGATTTAAAGGGAAACGGCCTGCAAAACGGCACACACGAGAAAGTCCCAAATCAGGTTTCTTGCCTTCCTGTATATCTCAAGGTCTTTATTAACTGCACTCTACTGTGATACACCTTGACTTTTCTATATATTTTACTGGTTTTAAATCCCCCGTTGTACCACTGCTGTGATTGCTGAACTTTTAAAGTTGAGAGTTTCCTAAACTTTTGTGTGTTTTTGACAGGCTTTGAATTTACTCTTTTGGTCTTGTTTTTGTTGCCCTTGGTTAAGATTTTCTCGCTGTATGAGAAAAATAAGCAGCATGGGTGAGGCACCAGTGAGAGAAGATGGTACAGTGACACGATCGGCAGAGGTACTATTTGTGATTTTTATATATCAGTGTGTTCTGTGAGTGTGTGTGTGTGAGAGAGTGTGAGTTTTGCTTAAACTTATGTCTTTGCTGTAAAGTATGTGGGCTCATTTCCTGTGGATGACTGCTGTTTGGATGACCAGATAGAGCATCTGCACACTCAGCTGAAGTTCCTTAAAGTAAGTCCAGATCCGTCTGAGGAACTAATATCTGTTTAAAGGAGAATACATAGACTAATACATTGGTTGTCCTCAACCAGACATGCAGGAGAATGCGGCCTGTATCCATAAAATTCTCCATCAAAGGTGTGAAAATGTACAACGAGGATGAAACGGTGAGGCTGGTGTTTTGTCTTGAGTGAAAGCATTATTCCCATACATTGATCTGATGATATTTTAACCTGGAAGTGGTAACATTTATACTTAACAATGTAGTTTCAGTCATCTGGCATCTCTTATTCCTGTGTCTTATGTCACCCTCCCCTCTGCAGACCCTCCTGATGGCTCATGCCCTGCGCAGAGTCTCTCTGTCCACCGCACGGCCTGTCGATGCCCAGTTTGCCTTCGTCTCCCACAACCCGGGCAGCACAGATGCCCAGCTGTACTGCCATGTCTTTCAAGCTAGGCATGCCAGAGCGGTAGGGAATGTCCAGTAACATTGTGTGACATTTATATCACATTACAACAGAGTTGTTTTGAGCACCATTGTGAAAAATTCTGTGAATATTCTCTTGATATAAAATCTATTTTTAGATGCGTCAAAGGGAGGATGTGAAATGTATTTTAAAGTGACCTGCGGTTAGGTGTATGAGAAGTTCATCAAAGTTGGACGTAGCTGAACTTAAAAATTCAAATGTCTGTCACATCCAGTGAAAACTTGTACAAAATGCTTCTGAACATTGTGGTACCGCAACAACACATCTGAGATGGTGCAACCAAACATGGGTCGATAATCGATAAAGCCATTTAACTTAATAAAAACAGAAATGTTTGTAGTATAGTTTGACTTTTTTATTAAAGGTTCTGCACAGGTGTCTGTTCAGGTCAAAGCTGTGTGGGGCAATACTGGGAATTACAGGATGTCACAAACTACAAGAAGAGTGATAATAGGGCAACATGCCCTGCCTGGCAACAACTATAACAATGTGCATGTTGGAAAAAACACATTGTTACCCTTCTTGTAGTAATTGCAGGAAGCTCTTTCTGGATTCTCAGCCGCAACATAACCATACCAAACTGCAACCATCTCTAATCTGAAATTAACCATTTTAATTTGATACTCTTAGGCGTAAAACCAACGTCGCTGGTTGATGCCTAATAAAACACCACTTCAACCCATAGTCCTGACTGTGTTCATCCATTTTGTGGTGAATACATTTAGAGTGGTCAGAAAGTGAGGTTAGTGTTTACTGGCAGCTACAGAGGAAGAGTGGTGGTGACACTTGTTCCAAAATAAAGAGAAAAAGATTGCGTTTCTTTGCTTTGTGATATTATCTCTTGACTAGACATTTCAATTGGATGTCTGTTCCTGGAATCTGTAAGCAAGTTCATTAAAAGTGTAATTGTATTCATGTTATTAACTAAGTCACCTAAGAATTTGATTTACCAGGTAACACTGAATAGTTTTCTCTCCTCTCTGCTGTAGGCCCAGTTCCTGAACCTGCTGCTGTGCCGCTGTTTCCAGCTGTCTTACTTGGAGAAGCACCCAGAGGAGGCTCAGGAAAACTCTGCCGGCTCGATGCCTCGTCGTACCCCTTCACTGCTCAACCACGGTTTCCCTCTCAGTGTCAGTGCCTTGGTGTCCTTCAGGAGAGCACCTTTTCAAGGGCTGTTGCCAGGCACAAAGGTTTGGACCATAACATTTTCTCACAGGTTGATATTACTGTGTATCGTTCTTGAACCACAATATTTCCCTTTTTAGTTTGCAGTTTACCCTTAAGAAGCCTCTAAGTTACATTTTTGTATGACAGATGAAACTAAATTGGTTAATTAATTAATCAGTCAAAAGAAAAACAATTGGCTACTACTTTTATTAATTGTTTCAATTGTTTTTAAAATTCATCCAGAAAGTTCAGTCTCTCGAAAGAGAAGATTTTCCTTCTTTAAACTAAATATTTGGGTTTTTTGGACTTTTGGTCAAAGCAAACAAGACATTTGAAGACGTTATGTGTTGTGCATCATTTGACACGTATTTCCATGAATATCTGAGATTTTGTTAAATTTGTGATCCTCATAAAAAAAGAATTAATTAAAATTTAAACTAACCTTGGCCATAAATAATTCAATTATGGATTTACCAAAGGGTCAAAAGAGTATGGCAACTACTGACTGCCCACTTCCCAATTAAACTAGTTGCACTCAGACAACATTTTCTTTTCCCTCATCTGTAGAAAAATAAGAAGTCTTCCGACGACCCGCACAGCAGCCAAGATGAAGTCTTCCCCACCTCCTCTCCCTCCCTGGTTCGCAAAAAAGCCATCCGCACCAAAGCACTGCGCTCCGGGGCTTACCGCTCCTTCACATTTACACCACTCAAACAGCGCAGTGTTCAGGAGCGACTGAATGCGTCACAAGGTGGGCCAAGTGTTCACAGAGCACTATCAAGAGTCAGAGAGTTGATTAGGTAAAGCAAACCCCTCAGTGTTAGGTGATGGGCAGTCACTCACTGTCTGTTGTGGTGTCAGAAGGTAGTTTAAGGTGATGGATAATAATCTTGTCTCACATGGGTCATAATATATTTTCTTAAAGCTTCTCACTGTTGAACTTCTCTCACTACTGTTTATTTGACTCTTACCTTTAACACACTGAAACACAAGCTTTTGTTTTATCACCACTTGCTCCGTTTAAACCAAACATTCCCTTCACTGAGTTGGGATTACATTGGATGTTTTCCCACACAAACATGGCTGGTGGAGTTCCTCCACTTGTGAAACTCTGGAATTTAAACAAATCCAAATTCACAATGACTTCTCCTCTTATATGTGAAACAGAAAAGGTGGAAGACCGGACAGCGGTGCAAAGGTCCCGTGCGCCCAGCCTGGCCGAAACAGAAGAAGCACTGGCTCAAGCGGTGTGGTGTTGGGCTGGTATCGCAGTGTGAGTGTTCCTCGTGCATTAAACATATCTTACTGACAACAGATGCCTTCTCTAGCACTTATTTTTTCTTGGATATATCAGTGGTTTTCTCTAATATATCTTCTGATTTCAGTGACAGCAGCTATTCCCTGCTGGCAGATGATGTTATGGGTTCGTACCTCCTGTGCTCTCATCCTAAAAAACCCAAATGTGGCTCTCTCATCATTCGCTTCCCCTCTGGCCTGGTGACCCACCTTATAGAAAACACTCGTAAAGGGAAATTCCTGTTGGAGGTAATTGGTTTGTCTTACAAGGTTGAATCTTAGATACAATTATTAGCAAACAGCAAGCCTGTCGGGCTAATATTTGTTTAGATTTGTAGTGGAAACAAAATCACTGACGTGGGCTCCCCAGTAGCTCTCCTGGTAGAGCGCGTACCATGTGCTAAGGCTGAGTCCTTATCGCAGCAGTCCGGGTTCGAGTCTGACCCAGGCCCTTTGCTGCATGTAATTTCCTCTCTCTATCTATAAAATAAAACAGAAATGACAAAAAAAAAAAATCGTATCAAGTGTATTGAAATTTAGAGGAAATAGTTAAATTTCCAGAAATGTATTTGTCATTTATTGTTTTTGTTTGTTTTTTTTGTCTTTTGCGTTTTTTAATATAAAATATTTATATTGCAAATTTCGTATCAAAGGCACCTATATGTGATATGTCACACAAATATTAACCCCTTCAAGACTGATCCTCCCAGAAATGTCCTCTTGGGTACGTTTATATTTTCAACCTTCTATCAAGTGAAACATCAAAAACCCAAGATGCACTTTCTGTGGATCATTTGATATCCTACATATTTCTCTGAAATTCAGTGTTATATTTACAAACTGTGGTATCTGGGCCCTAATTTAAAATACACATCAGTGGATCTCAACAAAAGTTGGCCTTGCAGCACCTCAGTATTCAGTGTGTGGGTCTGTGTGTGTTGGAGAGAAAGAACATTCTTAACTATTCAATTTTTATGCCAAAGTATTGCAAGTATATAGACTTATTTAATGTGCACAATCCCATAAAACAGCTTTTAGACAACTAGTAAAACTCAATGATGAAATTATTGTTGGCATTTCATCATAAATGTATTTGCAAACCAGAATTCAGTATAGCACTAGTTGTGACCATAGTAATGTTTTCTGTTTCTTCATTTTATCTTTGTGGTAGAAATGCAAGACTGAGTTCACTTCCATAGCAGAGCTGATCGAATACTACACAGAGACCCAAGATGAGCTGCAATGCCTGCTGAGCTGTGCCCGAGTAAACCACTGTTACGAGTGGGAGGAAAACACCAGCAAACAGCAGTCTGTAAAGCTACACAAGAGCCTGAACAAAGCCAAGTTGAAAAGTACCCAGAGAAAGGGATGGGTTTAAACCCCTGGACACTGGAACACGTGGAATGCCAACCACCAAAGATCCAAAATAAGTGACACCTGTTTTTTTTCTTTTGCACATATATCATCTCTTACTTTAAAAATCACATTTGGTGTTGTGTGGAGGCTTCACAAACTGTAAAACATAATGCACTTATTAACAGTGTTGGCACTTAATGTATATAGTGTACAAGTCATTTTCTTAGAGGGTACTTATTTGTCAAGGATGTAATATTTTATGCTTTCAGCTTTTATGTCTTTCAGTATATTTTTTAAAAAGATTTTTATATGTGCCGATACGGCATCAGAGGAGTTTATTAGTGTTTTTATGTATGAAATTAATAACCTCAAATTTGGAGTGGAGTTGATCACTCAGATTGTTGCACATGATGGCACTTAAAACTATAAGTCTTTCTTTTTTCTTTTTTCTTGCATTGTAAAGATGTGATCAAATTTTATGGTTTCATTGAACTTTAATCTTATTCTTTCTGTGTTTAGACATAAGACCTGGGAGATATGTAAGAAGCAATATTATACACAATGAGTGTCCTGGTGTAAGAAAACCGGATGGTAACATCAGTTATTTTCTACATCTTGAGACCTCAGATTATATTGGCTTATTTCATGGCCACTAAGAGGGGGACAAAAGGTAGGCTGTGTTGAAATTTTCTGTGTTTTAATGTTTGTTAGTAGTCAGTCTAACCCATGGTTATGTTTGTTTTGCTGGTAATGTTGTGTGCAGTTTAGTATACCTTGTGCATTGATGGTGGATCAGTGCTCATGTTTTTCAGTGGAACATAGCCATAATAGAAACTGATAAATCATGATATGAGATTAGGTCTGCCCCAGGATGTTGGTTATCATATGATTATCTGTGATATTGTTACTTCTCCAGGGGGCCACACAACAATTAAGTTTACACATTTATAGTGAATAATATGTACCGTCTTTTCCACATTAGAACAAGAAACGGTTTTCTTATTATAAACTCTTGTTTTAGATTAAATGGCAGGTGTCTTCTCTTTTCAATCCACACTTTGGAGAAAAATGTTTTTTTCATTATTCATGACTGCATGGCAAAACCTCACTTGCAGCTTTGACACTGAGGAAGCTACTTTGCTCCGGGGAATACTCTGGCAACTTGTACTGCACACAGTTTCTAAATGTCAGGGCACATGGGATTGCTTGATGTGCAAATAGGGTCACAGGAGATTTCTACACTGATATACATTCAGTTGCAAGTTTATTAAATACACCTAGTTAAATCTCATGCAGTCTAAAACAACAGTTATGCAATAAATCCTACTTTTAAGAAGCTTAAAATGTTCACTAGTGACACTGTTAAGAGAGGTGTTAATTCAACTGTATCAACTGATCATTTTAGATGATGTGGTCTGTGGTGTTGTTGAACTGTTGCATTATACAAAGGGGCGTCAGTATAAAGCAATACAATTCAACACTACAAACTACATCTTCCGAAATGACTATACAGTTTAATCAATTAGGGCTGCAACTAATGATTGATTTAATAATAGATTTAATCTTCTGACTTATTTTTTTTGATTAATCATGAATTCCACTAAACTTTTAAAAAAAAAAAAAAAAAAAAAAAGGCCTCTTCACATGTCTGACCAAAACCTTGCCTATTACTCGACTATCAAATAGTTGCTTTGTTATTTTTCTTTTGAAATTTAAATGTTATTATTTCTTTACTATGAGTGTCCTCCCAGCTGTATCATTATATTAGTCTTATTATACATTGTATAGTTTAACATCTCCTCCTTTTTGTGTGGACAGTGGGGTACATCCTTCAGTGTGTAACTCAACTTAGCATTTAGCCTAAATGTTAACAGAGAAAAAAATCTTTAGTTATTTCAAATTTCAAGTTTTCATGCACCATTGATGACAATGCACTGATAAGCAGAGGCTGGACTAACTTCTTGACAAGGCAGATAAAGAGTATGTAGTTAAGAGTTATATATACTTGACACCTGGAGTATAGAAGGAAATTGAAGCTGTAGCTGGAGAGACAACATCTTAATGAACTGAAGTTTACATTCTTGCTATAAAAAAAAGGATACATGATTATGTAGTAATATGTGAGGATATGACATTTTTATTGTATTGCACCTACTTCTCACTTGGACCTCACTCCCTCCTCACCAAAATGGCCGCCGTTATACAGTCTTATGTTCTCGGGCCGTTTCATCCCTTAACGGTTGTTTACGGTTGCTATGCAACGTCCAAACGCCGTGGGCAGCGCAGCCGAATGAACGACGAGGGCAATCAACATTATGTCTGTAAATATTTCTGCCTTAACTCTGCTTTATTTTCATTTTTTTCTCAACTGTTTTTATTTTGACTATTTTTTCTCACCTGATGTGTGATGTCCTCTGGTAAACAAGCTCGTCTCAGTGGACTTTCAGATGTGAACTCTTTGTTGGCTAGACGTTAGTAGGGCAGGGATTTCCTGCTGCAGCTCACCTCTGTAGACATGCATTTATAAATCAGAACTGAACATTACCTTTGTTTTTATCCGTTACCTGCTCACAAGCCAACTGCTGTGGAGTGAATGGTGAGTCATGGGGTCAGAGTCAGTGAAGGTGGTGGTCAGGTGCAGGCCCCTGAATGACAGGGAGAAGGCTCTCGGCTCTAAGATGGTGCTGTCCATGGATCTGCGCCGCTGCCAGTGCTTCATTGAGAAGCCTGGGGCCGTGGATGAACCGCCCAAACAGTTCACCTTTGATGGGACCTACTTCATTGATCAAACCACTGAGCAGATGTACAATGAGATTGCCTATGCTTTGGTTGAGGTAAGGTCCTTGAAACAGTTTTGACTCTGTTTTTTGCTTTCAATGCAAGCACAAAGCAACAGTCTGCAGATGTAGGCATTACAAAAGTAGCTCAATGGTCACTGGACACCCTGAGCACATCAGTTGCCTATATCTTATTGCTACTGATTGCAGACCTCATTATTTACTTAACAGTCTGCTGTCAGTCACTTGTGAAGGTCAGCAGGGTGTTGCTCCTTTTTAAAGAAGCTTCATGCAAAAGGTCACCAATGCACTATTTTTCTTTTTCAATTTTTTTTTTCAGGGTGTCACTGAGGGATACAATGGCACAATTTTTGCCTATGGACAAACTGGAAGTGGTAAGTCTTTCACAATGCAGGGGGTGTCCGAGCCTGCAGCCCAGAGGGGAGTCATCCCGAGGGCGTTTGAACACGTCTTTGAGAGTATTCAGGTAGGCAGGGCAACTGTTGTTAATTGTGCCACGCATATATTTCATGCAAAAAGTGCAAAAACCTTGTTTGTGAAACTTTTTCTGTTGGTGCAATCTGCATACTTGCTTCAGTCTAATGATGAGGCCTATCTAAGCAATGCATGCTCAGAGAGAATAATATTATGCTTGTATGTTTATGTGCAAGCTAGTGTGCAGAAAATACCAAATTCCTGGTGAGGGCCTCCTACTTGGAGATTTACAATGAAGAAATCAGAGACCTTTTAGGAACTGACACCAAACAGAGATTGGAGGTAAGTCTCTTAAAGCACTGTTTTTTCAATAAACAAATCAGGATATACTGTGTAACATTAGAAGCCAAAGGGATTAATGTTCTTTGATTTAGGATAAACATAAGTACAATGATAATGAAACCTGTTTCTCAGACTATTCTGAAAGTGAACACAGTGCTTATATTTTGAACACAAAACTGTAAGAAGTTGCCATGGTGATTCGAAGAACAGAAGTTGCATACACAGTTCCTTGAAGGTGAAGGTGTTTGAACAGGGTGACACATTTTGATTGTGTGTGTTTCTGTGTGGTTGATGAATGCCTAGCTGAAAGAGCACCCAGAGCGTGGGGTGTATGTGCGGGACCTCTCCATGCACACTGTGCACAGTGTGGGGGAGTGTGAGAGAATCATAGAGCAGGGCTGGAGGAACCGGGCAGTGGGCTACACGCTGATGAACAAAGACTCCTCCCGCTCTCACTCCATCTTCACCATCCACCTGGAGATCTGCAACACTGGTGAACACACACATAATTATACAATACCTTTAACACATTGAGTTATATATCTAATATGTTAATATGTGGTAAAGAAGTTTTTATTTGCATAAACCCAACTTTTTAGAGGCATGTGTTGCTATTATGTCTGATAACGTCACCAGCAGCAAGTTAAAGAACAATTCCACCTTCTGATATCATCAAGTCATTATGTTTACGATGTCTCAAGACCTTTGTTGTGGTGAGAAATTGTTCTTTTCGGTGTACCAACTTTCCACTGAAATTTTTATTTCCTGCATGACTTGTTTATAAAGACTGTAAATATGTTGCTTTCACATAAAAATGTGGATGATTGACAGGTAGCCAACATGTTTATTAACACAAAAAGCACCGTGTCTCATGGCTGCATTGTATACTGCTTTATTAGCTATATTGTGTGGAGAAATTGCTATCTCTGTCTCTACTTGGATGGATCACTCATCTGTGATTTACATGTTGGTGCAAAAAGGAGAGCCAGTTACACAAAGAATAAGAAAGCAAAATACTGTTAGACAATACAATCATCAAGGTCAATGTATTTATAGGACACATTAAAGAACAACAAATGTTGACCAGAGTGTTTTACAGAGAGATGTCAATTCTTATCAGTTAAAAACACAAAAATAATTACAAAGTCTAAATAAATAAACAAATACTTGTATAAAAAGAACACAATAAGCATGTTGCTCAGAGAACTAATAAATGATAAAAAGACAGTGTGAGCAAGTACTGTATGTTTGCATAATGACAATCAAAAGAGATGGTTATAGACCCAGAAATGCAAGATACATTTCAAACAGGTATTTCTTTAACAATGTTTGTATCTAACAGTGATTTTTTTTTTTTCACTTAATACAAGATAAAGAAATTTTAAAGTTGTATTTTTTTTTACATTCTCTTTGTCATCCACCTTCTCAGATGCAGCTGGCCAGGACCATCTACGAGCAGGTAAACTCAACCTTGTTGACCTGGCAGGAAGTGAGCGTCAGTCTAAAACTGGAGCTACCGGTGAACGACTGCGTGAGGCCACCAAGATCAACCTTTCCCTCTCGGCCTTGGGTAACGTCATCTCTGCCCTGGTGGACGGACGCTCCAAATACATCCCCTACCGGGACTCCAAGCTGACCAGGCTGCTGCAGGACTCTCTGGGAGGAAACACGCGCACCTTGATGATCGCCTGTCTCTCCCCTGCAGACAACAACTACGAGGAAAGCCTGAGCACGCTGCGCTACGCCAACCGAGCGAAGAGCATCCAGAACAGACCTCGTATCAACGAGGACCCCAAAGATGCTCTGCTCCGAGAGTATCAAGAGGAGATTAAGCAGTTGCGGGCCCTCATCTCAGGCCAGCTGGGCACTGCTAACCTCTCAAGTATGTGGTATATTTTATCTTTTGATATAAACAACATATCTTTATTTTATACTGCCAAAGAATTTAAAAATGCACATAATTGAGAAAACGTTCACTTGTATTTGCTTTTCTTGCTGAAGAAAACTCTTGCTTTTTTGTCCTTTTGTCACGCAGCTCTGCTGGCTGGTCAGCTGTCTGAAGAGTCCCCTGATCTTTCTTCAAGGCCACAGTCGAGCACCGCAGAGGCAGAAAAGGAAAAGATTAAAGAGGCAACTACAGATCGTTCCCACACCAATATATCACTTCACATCTCCACATGTAATGTATAAGGATCAAGTGATTTATGGTCTGTATTCTGCTCTCTCCACAGGAGTACGAGGAGAGGCTGGCCAAGTTGCAGGCTGAGTACAATGCAGAGCAGGAATCCAAGGCAAAGCTGCAGGAGGACATTGCTGCCCTGCGTTCCTCTTATGAATCCAAACTATCTAATCTGGAGCAGGCCCGAGCCACCAGGGGGAGCTCTGTCACCAAGAATGATGACAGAAAATCATCTGCACACATCAAAGAACCATGTAAAGAGTTTATAAATTGGTTTCAGTGCTCACCTTTATGTCAAATAGCACTAGTGAATCAACACTCCTGATAAAGTCTGAACAAAAAGCAAGATGGTTGTTTTTGACTGCTTTGTGTATCAAGATTTCTTGTTACTGTGTCTACACCCTGTTTCCTGACACTGCTGGTTTGTTTCCCAACATCAGTGAGCTCGAGATGTATGACGCAGGTCGCTGAAGAAGAGCTCTGCCTTAAAACTGATGCGGTGTGCCACACTGCGACTGGAGAAACTCCTCTGACCAAGGTACTGTCCACTACCACCACATTACCACTAACCAATAAATAATTAAAAAAAAAGATTTTCATTGCTACATTTATGCAGTGATACTGATCATATCTGTTTTGTAGTTATTTATCACTCTATTTTAAATTTTATTTTAAATTTACCAAGTGAACTACACATTTTTATTTTATAATCACAGCTCATCCACAGGTTTCCCCATTTGACAGTTATGCATCTCCTTTTTGTATTAGTCCTTACCCTTGCTTTTTTAAATATGCTAATTCCCCTAAATTCATACAAGCTCTCTCTGATTTCAAACGGCCTTTGAATGCAGTTTGCTGTGTGGTTCTGACATGAAAATAAACAGTGGGTTATTAGAAAACTTAATGGATGTTATTTCCTCGTGTTGGTGATCCAGCTTGCTGTACCCTGTGCAGAAGTTGGTGTCCAAAAAAGTCCAGGTGGAGATGGACCTATAGACTCACCTGACGCCACCACAGCAGAGCCTCTGGACCAGAAGCATGTGCTGGAAAGGTTTGTTCTTCTTCTATGGTGAAACTGCACACACATTTTACATACGTAGTTGAAACTGTCAGTCAGAGACATAATAGCTGGTCCTTACCATCAGCACTGCTTGTACTTCATGATAAATGTCTTTCTTAATAGTGTCTTTTCAATATTGTACATTATACCAGGAAAATAAGCAGCTTCAAGTGCCTCTTCTTGTCAGGCACTTGAAGCTGCTGTTGTTATTCTACTTCCTCCCTGCCAATGCATCATTCCTGTTCATCTCTCTTCTCCACAGGCTGCAGCAGCTGGAACAGGAGGTGGTGGGTGGGGAGCAGGCCAGGAACAAAGAGTTACAGCAGAGACACCGGCAGAGGAAGAACCTTGCAGACCAGAGAAAGGTCCATCTTATCTGCGCTCTGTCAGAGAACAGTGAGGAGAGTGAAAATGTGCTGTTGAATGTCTACAACTCCATCCAGGAAGAAGTTCATGCAAAAAGCCAAATTCTGGTCAAGGTCCAGGGCAAGGTGGGTCACTGCGGTTGTAAGACAAATGTGACAGGATGTATGGGACATTTTCAAAAATGGATCTGGCCCCTGACAAAGGAATATACTGTATATTTTGGGTCTTTTGTGGACATTTTTAATATATAATTGTTCTACCCTAAAAAAAAAAAAAATCCACTGCTCTGAAAATAATAATCCAATTTTCATAGGAAAAATTTCCATTTTGCTACTCTTCATTGTCGATGCAACAACAGCTGAAACTATACTTTTCATGAAAGCTTTTTTATTCATCCAGCCTCATGCATCATTATTAAGCATCTCAGAGTAGGAATAGTATTAACTGTACTAACTGTTCCAAAATTCTCACAGTGATGCATATTTTCCCCTCTTATTACGAGGCTTGAGAGTAAAAGTATTTAATTTAACAGATAATTAGGAAGCTCATGTCTCCTCCTGGATTGGCTGAGTTAGGAGGTAAAAACTGCTGTTTTATTGCACATCAAATCTTCAATACCATGCAGCATTTTCCAGCTGTGTTCAGGGTGTGCAGTACAAAAGACCAACAAGAGGTTTGCACTGACTGTTGCTGGATAATGTGGAATCAAAATTGCAGTCTTTAAGCTTTCAGTGCTGAATTGTATGCTCTGCCCTTCAACCATAAAGACACATTAATATTATGAAGAGTACAGTCTAGACCTGCTCTATATAAAAGGTTCTGTGAAATAACTTCTGTTATGATTCGGAGCTGTGCAAATAAAATTGACTTGACTTGATTAACCTGTTATGACAGTTGAGAGCAGCCAAACTGGAGATCCGGGACCTGCAGGCAGAGTTCGAGGTGGAGAGAGACGACTACCTGGCAACAATCCGCCGGCTGGAGAGGGAGGGGCAACTTCTGAGCAGCCTGCTGGAGCGTATGGTTCCCCTGGTGCGGCGTGACTGCAACTACAGCAACCTGGACCGCCTGAAGAAAGAAGCTGTCTGGGACGAGGATAGCGCCGCTTGGAGGTTGCCGGATGTGATGGTGCAGAAAACAACACTGCCTTCAGGTGCACCATGTGAAGGGGGGGGGGGGCATAGAGAAAATAGACTAAGTAGATGCTTATTAGGTTTTAGAAATGACGCAGATTCTTTCCCTTAAATACTATCTTGCTTTGTTTCTCTCTCATAGCAGTGCATCCAAAACTTTCAACTCGCAGAGGCTCAACTGCTGATAGCGGAGAATCATTCATGGTGTGTTTATGTGTTTGTTTCATACGTCATCTTTCACTCACATGTACTGAAACATTCATCACAGCCATGCTCCTTTGCGTTTTTAGCAGGTGGAAGAGGACAGGTATAAGGAAATGCTGGACCGCAGTGACAGTGAAAACATCGCCAGCAGCTACTTCAAGTCAAAGAGAGCCAGCCAACTGATGGGGGGCGACACTACCAAGGGACACGGTAATACCAGGACCTTCAGGTCTTCTCCACTGATCACTGACTGGGCTTTCTTTACATTTAGAAGCATCAGCTCTTTGAGGTGGAGCAAATGCAAACAATGGTATAAAAGTAACCATGTTTAGATTGGTGAGAGTTTAGAAAAACTACCTTTTTACAACTAAGATGACCTTCTGCAGCACTCACATTTTACATTTAGGCATTTTCCCTCATATGTTGATCTTACCCATTTGACGGAGCTCTTCTTCCTACAGCCATCCACTCTCCTCCCCTGGTTAACGGGGCGGCCCACCTAACAATGAACAGTTCCACCGTGAACCCACCCGTCAACTCAGACTCCATCCTGCCGCGACCCTTCCGCCTGGAGTCGCTGGGTGTCCCCGTGTCCAATGGTAAGGTGAAGCGCAAAAAAAGCAAAACTCACATCCAGAATGAGGGGATTTGAGAAGACTGTGAATTCCCATGCCCTATACACACTAACACATCTCACGATCATCTATTTTTGACATAAAGATTTTATACAACGTGATTGATCACATATAGTGGATAATAAATTATCAAATATTGAACTTTTGATAACTACTGCTAACCAGAAATGTATACAGTGGACAGTCCAGTTGTGTCTTGTGTCACACTTTGAATGTAATTTTGAGGAAAATGCTACCTATGTTATGATACTATCTGTAAGTTTTTGCACTGTACTCTAAAAACTTTTGATTCAGGCACTGTGAAACTCAAAGTTCAGCTACTATAACGTTTCTTTTCTAAACTATTTTCCTGTTGCTGATTCTAAACCACAATTTTAATCCGTTCCTTATCAAATATTTTAAAAATCTGCACTTGCTGCTGAATAGATACAATAAATAAATGTATCCACTTCAAGGCTAATTTCATTTACTTTACAAAAAGCCATTTAAACTTGTTTAGAGTGTGATGAACAGTAATAAGATCTGAGCCAATGACATGTCAGAGCAGTTTGTAGTGTCACAACAAATGGGTGACTCCACTGTCACAAATGGGTCAGAGGAGCTGTTGTCAAGGCACCAGTGTTGACAGGTAGTAGACACTTATCTCATGTTACATATGACCTCTGGGGTCAGCACTGTGCATTTTTGTGTGACTATTAAACCCTGATAAAGAGATAGAACCCTTAATTAGAGCCAAAACTGTGAATCATAAAAATAGATTTTGATGTTAATATTGAAAGTTTGCATAGATTTCTTTTGATTTGAAATAATCCCATGATGGAGTCTGTCTCTCCAGTGTGGGAGCTGCAGCAGATGCGCAAACTGCAGCCTATCCTTTTTTCTTTTTTTTCTTCCTCTGACGTTGTAGTTGCATATGTATCTCTAGTGATTAACTCAATCCTTTCTGCAGCTCTCTTCTCTGTCTTAGTATCACATTTCTAACTTTGGCAATGGCCTGATTTCTACATCCATTGTTTAATATTACTTGACTGGCAGAGACCCGTGTCAGTTTCAAAATTTGACACCCTTTATTTGCCTGCGTGCAGACATACTAGACACAGGTACAGGCCCATTAGGCGAGGTGCTTGCCTTACTGAGAAGATAACACTACAGAAGGAAACTGTAAATGTCTCTTGCAATAGTCAACCACACACTAATTCCATTGAGGCTTCGGTACTGTTACATAAGAATCGCCTAGCCATTCAAATAAGTCAGTAGGAGGAATTAGAAGTCTTCCATGCAAGGGATATCAAGAGAACAAAGAAAGGAAAGCACCGGTTTGCTAAGTTCACATGGAGGTGGGGCTCAGGATAATCGGATAATGGAAGAACAGCTGAGCAGGCTTTCTCATCGCCCGAGTGGCCTGTAAGATGAGTAGTTTGACTGATAGTCATTCTGTAAGTGGAGTGCTGGGTGAAGCTGAGAGGTAAAGTCACTTGCAGGTTTACAGGGATGACGGTTTGACTTAAAGGGTTTTTGCCTCTTTGTGACTGTTGTTCAACCGCTCAGTCTGAAAAGGCAAATCATTTAGAGCTCAACTTAATTACATGTCAAAGTGAAACAGTCCACAAGGCTTGGCAACAGTTTCAAAAACTAGGCTTCACAATTCAAAAATTTACTGTATTTTCTCACTTGCGCAGAAACGGCTTGACTGCTGTAATACTGTGCTTAGATGTCATGATAAAGATTTCAATATGTAATATATTACATGCAGATTTTTTTTTTATTTTCAGTGATGAGTTTATGGAAATGGTAAAGAGCTGGTAGAAGTAATCACATTGTCATTTTTTTTCACTCTTGATGAACATCTCCAGTATTTAAACCATGAAGGCAGTCACATGAACCCAGCTTGTCATACATGTTTTGAGACCATCTAAACAACATATACAGTTTAAAATTATAGTAGAAACAAATCTGTGAGCTACTGGTACATCAGATCTTAATAATCATGTAATTCTGATAGCTACTATAGTTTAGAAAAGACTGAAAAATCACCCCAAAACATTTTCAGAGTTTTGTTTTATAATAATGATCAGCTGCATAAACTTTTTTTTGCGGCTTTGCTCCAAGTAATGTTCTCAAGGATCCACTTATAGGCACATCTGTGAATTGCAAAACAATCAGTAATGTTAAAATTCTCTTGATTGGGGTTGATGTTTCCTTTAGGTAGAAGTAGAGTGGAACAGCGTGTTATGTACAGTATAATGAGGAATGAACAAGATTCATAGAAAACCACACTGTGGCTTGCTTTCAGTGTGTCACCACTATTCTAAAGTAGGATTTTTTGTGCACACCAAGGCTTACTGCAACGTAATTTCATACATCTGAATTAGGACAAATAATTTCTTATAGCCCCAAAAGTGAGTGTACATACTAGTGTATGCAAAACTGTATTTTAAACATTCAGAAAACCAATGCTGCATCTGATTTGGAGATTTAAGGGTTAAGGACTATAGTGATGTTTATACTGCTTACTTTTTCCATATGCAGTCTTAGGCTGATTTGGTGTCCTGTTGCGCCTAACTGAAATTTGTTACAGTAAACACAATAAGAGATTCTCATTAGACACCATTTTCAACAAATATGGAGAGCCTCAGGGGTTTGATGTGTAAGGTGCATTTCCAGATACTCTTCAGACCTACAGTACAATAGTTGGGGAAAAACTGCCCTCAAGTAAGTAAAATAGCATGACCTAGATTAAAAGTGCTGTTATTTCCATTTAAGTTGTTCTTCTTCATCCTCATGCTTCAATTTGCCAAAGTGTCAAGTGCCAAGTTCCCGCTTAATGCTGTAACCTCTCTTTAATCTGATGGTACTCTTGAACTCTCTCTAAGCACTGCATTTAAGCAGGCAGACTTCTGTTGTTTACCAGTTTTCAGTCTTTGAGCAGTCCAAGCTTTCTGAGCGCTTCTTTTCGATCAGCTCCCATCCCAGGCACCACCATCACAGTATATGCAACTGCGTTTGAAGGTTTGTGGGAGGCAGGCTGAGCTGTAGTGGTGGTTTTCACTGGCTCGGCTGCTGTCATGTGTCCCAGTTCAGGACAGTTTCCACCATTCCTGTAGCTGTTCAGGGTAGCAGAGCGCTCCAAACCAGCTGCCTTCAATCCATTGGATTGGACAGGATGTGATGCAGATACAGACTGTTGGTCACGTCTTGAGTAGTTATGGAAACTGGCACTGCTCTGCAGCAGCTTGTTCTTAGGCTCTGTGGGTACTTGAGAGCAGCAAAACGATGGGCTTCTTGATGGATTACCGTTAGATGGACCTTTTGTATATCTCTTAGGTGTTGGGTCCAAAAAGGAGTGAGATTTAGGGGGAGATAGGGGGGCTACTATCCCATTTTCTGGCTGTTGGTCTTTCAGGAGCCCAAGCTTCTGCAAAGCTGTCAGTCTCACCACCTGGGGATCTGTCGCATGCTTGACACTGTATGAAGAGTCTGAGGTTATCAAACCTTCGTTTGGTGGTTTCACAGATGTGTTGGCAGGAATCTTTTTGGGTTTAGGGGCCACAACTGGAGGACTTGTCTTAGACTTGGAAGACTCAGAGTGGGATCTCTCAGATCTTGGCAGGTTTCCGAGGTTTGGACCTTCCATTGAAGCAGGAAGGCGCTTGTCCAAGTCAATAGTATGATCAACTGTGGGACACAAAGGGGTCTTCTTTGTGGAGGCACTCCTTCGCAGATGAACAAGTGCCTCGTAGGACAGAGGTCCTCTAGGTAAAGGACTCTCAGCTGTTCTAACTGAGTTATCTCTCAGTTTGGTGGGAGGAGGTATCACAACATTAACCTCCAAAGGTACTGGGGGAGTGACAGGTTTCTGGTTGTGTTTGTGACCAGGTTTGCTGCTTGAAGGAGTGAACTGAGGCTTGGAGTAGAGGTTTTTGTCTGGAGGAATGCCTGGTGTAGTACTGGGTACAGAACACATAGTGCTGCTCGCCATAACAAGAGGTGTAGGAACCAGGTAGCTCTGCATGGGCTTAGCGTCAGCATTTTCCTTGATTGGCTCTTTAGAGGCAGGTTTCTGTGAATCTGATAGACAGGCGAGCACGTTTGTTACTGGAAGTACAATGCATTACCGTATTTCAAAGACTGATTTCTAATTCTGCATCTGTTTCAAGAGATTAACTCACCGTTCAGCTTGCTCTTGCTCATGGAGGCTGACAGGTCAGCCAGTTTGGTAGCAAGGTTGCCAGGGCTGGGCAGTAGGTCAGGCTCGTCATTGGACAGTCCACTGTCCTCCTCAGTATCCAAAGACTCAATAGTCTCCTCTAAAAACATGAGACAGGCCTTCTCTTCTGCAGACAGGTGCTCCAGACTATCATCGCTCTGTAATACATAAAACAATTTAGATATCCCAAAAAAGACATGAACTCTCAGAAACTAAATAACAGAATTTACATTTCTTTTATATAAGAATGTTTGAGGCTCTGAACCCTTGACTTCTAAATGTTATATAAAACTATTAAACCAGATTCATCCCTTAATTTTTATGGTTCAGTTTTGTTTCAGTTACCCAAATGTTTTTTGTCTCAATATTTCATGTTGTTTTGTATAATGTAGAAGATCTATTCACATTCTGAGATTCGGGTAAGGTCAGTTACTTACAAAGACAGAATTGGCACTGACAACGCTGTCATAGCTGCCAGCACTGTCCATGCCAGTCATGGTCTCCAATCCAATGCCACCTGGCCAGGTATCGCTTTTGGGCATCTTAGTACCCTACTTATCCAAGGTTAGTGGCACAGTTTGTTGAGTTTCACTCTGTGGAAAGTAAATAAATGGAGAGTTAAATTACAGTTTAAATTGTTCCTCTACAACCTTAGCAGAGTGAAAATATTCTTTTAAAAAATAGTGTAAAGTAGATTCCTTTAAATGGACCATACCATATTTTAACCACATTGTTTATACTTTGCTTCTCTTAACCATTTTCTGAGTTTTTTTTTTTTAGATGCCCTCTCTTCTACACAGTAAAATAATGTTTTTAAGAGTAAATTAAACACATGGACTGAGTCAATTAGAAATGGAGGATGATCATAGAGTCTGATAAAATGTTTAAATAAAAAAGACTGCAACATTTAGTAACAGGGTGAACTCCAGCATGTATTTTTCTGGATCAACATATTATTAAAATTCAAGGCGCTGACCAAGTCTAATTTTAATTCTACGGGACAAGAAGCTCTGGCATGACATTGTCTTTTAGCTGTATAGGAATTTAGACTTTGATTTCCTTTGTTTTTCCTTTGTTTCCTTTGATTAATAAGTGACAGTATGGTGTGCACAGGCACTGATTAACAGGACATGGCTTGGAGTCAGGGAAGCTGGTAAACATTGGTTTACAAAAAAACAAAACAAAAGGGAGACATGGGGAAGAAGGAAAATTAGCTGCTGTGTGTGACCAGTAATCAGCACCACAGAGGTCTGGACAGCTCCGGATCAGGCTGATCCGTGTTTATGAATAGCTCAGGATTAAATATAAACAGTGTCAGACATGTAAAGATAACCGAGAGTTATGTTCTGTAATGCTATTAGCCTGTGCTGCAAGCATGATGTACATCGGTTGGGCTGTGTAGGGCTGGATGTTTTGATCAAGAATTGTAACATACTGCAAAAGAATCTGTATTTACAATATCAATTCATGACAAGAGTGCACAATTGTAGACTTCATACATCATCATGCCATTAAAGAACAACAAATGTATCACAGCATTATTGTGCTGTGTGCATTGTCGCCCCAGAGGAAAATGTCACAGGAGAATGTTAAAACTTTTTCTTGAGAATTAAAAAGTGTTTAAAGCAACTCAAAATCTATTACAAGTGAATAAAAACTGCCCAAAGTGGGCCTTTAGATCCTCTGTATTATCAACCTAGTCTAGTTAGCTAATCCGCTGCATTAAATTTATGTTTTCATTAAGTAAAAATTTCTTTGCTCATAGGGACAGTATAGAATCAGACTGGATTACATTGTGGGCAAACTCCTACACCCATCACTTAAGAATCAACCACTGCATAACAGCAACCATTTTAGTGCAAGACAGGAAGTTCATGTTATTATTTTCACAGAATCTATATTTGCTTAGTGTTCTACTAGGTCTGATTTTCTGATATTATAGCCTGTGAAGCTCCCAACAAGAACTTTTCAAAACAATGTTACCATGCAATTGTAACATAATTAGGGAAAAAAACAAATTAAAGGCAACGTAATTCTGGTGGATAATCTAAATTAATTTTCATACTTTTGCTGGCAAAAGCTATTTGCAGTGGCTGCCTGGAAATGCATCTAAAAGAATACAGTATGCCTGGCATATGGTTCACAGTATTATAGAAGGACACATAGTCTGTATTGGCTAAACCACTACAATGGCTGCATGTTTGTTTAGACAAGTAATGCATGATTTTATTAGGCTATTTTCTAGATTTCTGAATGGCCCCGTCGCTCACTCGGACCTGTCTAAATATCATCTCATAGCCATGTGTGACATCCTGTGTGACCCTGTGATGCCTCTCATATGGACATGAGTTTTCTAGAGGCCTGGTAGAGAATGACAGAGTATCATAGCTTAGTCTCTTTCTGACAGATATCTAACTAGTCCTCTTGCTGCATGTGACTCAGATTACAGCCCACATGCCACTCCTAATCTTCCTCAACCGGATCAATTTCCGACAGGGTGGAGGGCAGCAGTAATGATCTCCTGAAAGCTATATGATATCCAGTGTGACCGTGTTGTCTTACTGTAACAGTCTGGTATTTGGCTGTTTTTCTTCCCCTGGATAAAGCATCAGTTTTAGGTGGTGAAATAAAAAGAGTATGTAAATTGTAATACTCTGACTAGAGATTGGTTTCCTCCTGGGGATGCCAAAATGTAGATACTTTGTATAAAAGCATCTTCAGCATTTGTTTACCTGTCATTTGAGCAGGAGATTTATACCAGAACAAACAAAAAATTAGAGAATAAACACATTTCCCTTTACTTTTACTGTACTTTTACTGGTGTTGTAGAAATAGAGCTGGAGTTTTAGTATAAAGGAACTCCTGTCTGATCTGAGTGATTGAAATTCACTTTTGGATAAGTTTCAACACCTGAGAGTGAAGGGCTGCTACTTAGACCAGGGGAAGCACAAAAGCACTCCTGTTCACTATTCATGGTTTGCAATGTCATCCCATCTCACCAGGCCGTTCCGTAAATGTCCCCATCTGTCCTGCTGCATGCAAGTCAGGATATGAATCTGAACAGTGGAAACACTAAGATAACGCTTTATATACCTGACACAATCTGGCTTGATCCCATGCAGATAACCAGAGCAGCTGCTGTGGCCTGGAGATTATTCAAAAATAATTGTATTTTGAGTTGGGTTTTCCCCTCTCATAACAAAACCTCATACTTATAAAACTGTGGTTAGTCACTAGCCCCTGCAGACCATTTCCAGTGAAAGTTCAACTTAACATTGTGATATATTTTCATTTGTGTTTATATGTAGACTCCTGTCAAACAGTAGCAACTGCCATAAAAAAAAAACAAAAACATACTGATCTTAGCAAAACCATGTGATGCATAGGCTGAGGCCACAAATTTAATTGCCATGTCAAACTTCTTCCAGCATTAATCTCTGACACAATAGCACAGTGTTGTTTTGATTGCGGCTATAAAAGAGCAACTGCCCAAGGTTTTATTATCTTTAATGCACTGTCTGAAAGGGATTATGCAACTAGGTGAAACCATCCCTGTTTAGTTTTTCAAGTTCCGTTTAACCCTCACGACCTGGCCTGCAACCCTCTGCCTTCACATTCATCAGGGGTCCAAGTTCATTTGGCTATTTTTCCTTTTGTAAAGACCAACAGCCCCTATTACAAAATATACAAACATCCATTGATCAAAACGTGTATAATATACATAAGCCTACTTTTACTCCAGTCCCAAGAGACCCCTGAAACTAGTCTACAAATAATACAAAGCCTGACTTCACACTATATGACATTTCTAAATGACATCAGATATAGCTACAGTGTGATGCCACAAAAAGTTGAAGTCGGAGATCATCATGTGGCAGAAGACACATTTTTTTTAAAACGGGATTCCTTAGAAAATGAAAAATGTTGAAATTAATCATAATTTAAATCTTAAGCACAGGTTGACACCTTTTACCCGATAAGTGCCATGAATCACCATTAACAGATAAACACGATTTAAACTAAGATATTTAAACTAAGTACTGACCACAAAGTTGTCCAGAATTGCAGCAGTCGACCACCTGTTTGACTCTCCGCGCATTAGTCAGTTATCCATCTTCTACTTCTTATGCCAATGAGTGAGGACGCGGTGAGTGAGCGGCTCTGAGATACCTGCATGAAGGACTTTGTGCCCTAAGCTTTTAGCCAATCAGAGAGCAGCCTTTTCCATAAGACGCGCGAGCCCTCGTCGTCATAGCTACACCTGCAATAATCTGTTAATCAGTATCTGTTTCAAACTCTCTCTCTCTCTCTGCAAACAGTAGCGCGTGTGGTCGGGGGACGTTTTAATCCACTAATAACCCAGACTCGTTTAAAATGCAATACAAAACAATTACTCGTTACTTCACAAGAGTTGGGAGCAGTGTTTACGTTACACTAGGAACCGTTAACCCGTGGTAGACAAGGTTTGCATAAAGCTTCTTCTATGTGACCACACAAACTAAATTATTTTTTGTTTATATATATATATATATATATATATATATAAATAATTGTCTATAAATTGTCTCTTTTAATAGTAGCTGCTACAGTTGGTCAAACAGTCAGCTGAACAAATCTTTGATCCTATTAAGATAAAAATAACATGTAGGTAGTGTAATCCCACTCTGATGGCACAGGATCAGTGTTGTTCAGCCAAACGGGGCTGATCTCTAGTGACCAAGGATTGACTGAGTTATAAATAGAGATGGTTATATCCGTTATCTATTTGTATCCATCAGTACAAAAATAATCAGGGCCATTTAAAGTAACACACGTTTCTCTCATTGTTTTGAATGGACTGTAGTTTTCTGTAAAGGTTTTATATTCATTTAGACATGAGAACTGTGAAGCAATATTAGCTTGAAGTTAGTTTTGTCACAATACAATTATATGGATAAATAGACATTATTTAAGATCCATACCTTTGATGATAAACAAGTAGTCAAGTAGAATGATAACAATCAAAAAAAAAATCTTTACACAAATTTAAAGGTAAATAGTAGTAGTAATAAACAGTTGTTACAAAACGACTCGTGCACACATCATCGGCTATAACGTTTTATTGTGACACAACACTGAAAAAAATCAAGTAAATCCAGTTGTTCTGTAGTGCTTTATGTGCAACATTCATTGTTATTGTCCTTGAAGAGTCATGAGAACTTGGTTAATACAAAATACAACAAAGCCGTTTCATAGTTTCACTTGTATGCAAGCTGATTAATCCATTATTACTGTAAAAATCAAATAAACTACCTAAGGTAACAGATGAGGGAAAAAAATCATAGTAATTCACATTCAAACAAAAAGTAATTTGACATTTTCGCGTTGCCTTTCGTTTATTCCTAACACCATCTCAGAGTCTGAACCAAGAAAAATTCTAACAGAAAGTCCCAATCAATCCTCCCTTGACAAACTTAAACTTTTGGCATCAACTCGGTACCAATATTGCCAAATACTGGTTCTGCATAATAAACTGAGCTTCAAGGAAAAAAAAAAACTGATATCTTAATGGCCGCCTCTGATTACACATTTTTGACCTGATGTTTAGCATACATGAGTGCATGCTTCATCCTTTTAGGCAGTGAGTTTCCAAGGAATAACCAAAGAGATGATGCCTGACTTTAGCTGAAAATGAGAGAACATCCTCCAGTTGTGCAAAACATACAGTGGAACAGAGTGGCAATATTTGGACAAGCACTACAAATTAAACCAAAACCTTTACTCACAGTTCCCAAACACCCTGACTGTGAGATGAAAAATTATAATTGAAAAAGTTAAAGATTAATGTTGATTAGCAAAGCACATAATGTATGGATTGTACCTGAACAGTAAATGCATTAAGTGAGCAGGACTTCTCTCACATAGCGTAGCTTACACGCACTCATTTTAGATTTCTAGTTAATTCACCATGCATCCTCTCACCATGATCTGTGTTCTGAAATACAATGCTCAAACACCCCCTCATGACCGCTTAAGTGTTTTTCAAACTATGCAGCAATATTTAAAAAAAAAACAACTGGTTTTTAAAAGATTAGTTCTTACAGCATGACATCTGAAAATTACACACCAGAATTAAAAATTACACTCCTGAAAACCTGTCGTACCAATGGAGAAAAACAAAGCACTACAGGTTTTGTAAAATAGTTTTCAGCACCATTATTTATTTATTTATTGTTTAAATTTAAAACAAGCTCACTGATAAACGATGATGCAACATTAAAAAAGGGGGAAAAAGTCCCACATAAGTAATTAGGCTAATTTTTGATTACAATTTGCAATATGATAAATCTATTTCAAAATACATAAACTCAATCTCAAACCTCATTCACACTGGCCACTGCTCAGAAAATTCAAAGTGATGTCGCAAATAGCACAATTGTATGAAGATGATTCTAGCATGGCATTAACAATGCCCAACTGTGCTCAACAATTCAGACATCTAAAGTGAACCAAATTATCAGCTTTAAGTACTGGAAGAGTTCCTGACAAACCTCTGTCCACAATGGAAATATAAAACATGCTACATAACCAACATGATGAATAACAGTCAAACTTGGTGTGCTGCATTTAAGACAACAGTGAGTAGGACCATATCATAGTACAAATAATTCTTAGTGGTTGTTTAATCACTCTTTGCAGTGGGATTTTATCACATATATAAGTTCAGTCAGTCACAGGTAACTATTAGCAAGTTGGTGCATTTTCTAACTGACAACACATCAGCCACTGTTTGGTTTGTCTCAATACAACCCAACCATCGAGTAATCGAAACAGATTAAAACAAATCCTAAGAATTGTTTGCATAATTTCCTGGCCCAGGTTAAACAGATTTGAAACCATCCCTAACAGGCCAACATGATGGTTTAATGACATCAGAGCTCTGCAGTAGCGTTTCTGACTTTGAGAACTGACAGCAGTTAAAAAATAATACTGAACAGGTTAGAGGCTGAACACAGTGTCTGCAGATTCTCCATAGATGTCGCTAGACAATGTGAGGTAGAGGATCACACAAGCAGACAGACAGACAGACAGACAGAGTTGTCAGACATGGGGCACAGGTTTGGTGGTGGTTGTATTTGTGAGAGGGGAAAAAAAGACTTAACAATGTTCATACTTCCCCAAAATTAGTGTGGCCTGTCTCCTTGGCATGCTCCCGAGCTTCCTTTTGTCCAACCAGGCCTGTCTGGCACACCATGCAGCGCAATGCAAAGCGGTTTACGTCCGTGAACTGCCGCTTGCGGCGGGCCTCGTCTGCCAGCTCGAGGGCCTGGGCCAGGATTATGTCGTCTGTGGTGGAGAAGATAGTCTGGGGCGGGGTGTCAGAGCCGGGGTTTTCTTTCTGCAGCGGGTCATAGTGGATGCCGTCATAGATGAGCAGAACACGTTTGTGGTAGCCAGCATCCTCCCCAAATCGATCAACTCGGACTGTCTGAGTGTCCACCACGCAGATCTCACACTGGTAAAACTTGGACAGGATGGACACCTCAATGGCTCCTCCCCAGGTGTCGTCGCGTCTTATCCAGGAGCAGTACTCCTCGTTGGTCTTTCCCAGCACCGCTTCACAGTAAGCTGCAGGGTCACTCGACACAATTTGGGCAATGAGGCCTCGCATCTCAGGAGCACAAGCAGGGTCATATACGCCACCTTCCACGACATAATACACACTGGTGAAGAGGCAGGAGTTGTCAGCTGGGACCACTCGACGTGCCAGCACAGGTGAGGCTTCCAGGCGTGGTGTTTTAGTCACAGTGGGATGATCCTGAGGCTTTGGCTTGTTCTTTTCTTCCTCAACAATGAGTGTGTCTCCTGTGAGGATAACAAATCAATGATACAACTTAGCTCAACCTGGTCAGACTTTGTTTGACAACGTGGAGAGGAAAAAACATTATATTGATTATAGATATTCAGTTTAATCTTTTGCACATATTTGAAACGTCTCAAAAAAATCTGATCGCAAAAAAGTGTATATAAATGGGTCAGTTCACCCAATTACAAAAAATAGTGTGCCATGGTTTTGAGATTTCCATCTGATATTTCTACCACAACTGCAATACAATGAAGGTGAACTGAATTTGGTTTGGGGTGCACAGCAATGAAGAATGAAAAAAAAATTCACAGCATTTTTTTTGTTGTTGCAGAAACAGTGTCCTGGTTCCTCTGGATAATCCACGAAATACTGTCCAGAGCTACAAAAACCTGAACCTAAATGTAAAATCTGTCATTCTACTTATGTCTTGAAAAAAAAGGTTTCTAACGTAATAAAATAAAATAATATCAACAATAAATGGTGTGATTTTTTCCCCCATGTTATCTGTATATTTTTGATGTTTGACACACACCTGATTTGATGGGGTAATCCTTGAGGTGAGCATCTCCATTTCGAAGATCAAGGCTGGAGGGTGGGTAACCAACCATAATTTTCTGCACATCACAGGGGATACCAGTCAGCTCCTCCACCTTACTCTTCAGCTCTTGGACACAGGACTGATGAGTCAAGCCCTGCATTATGTGGCTCCCATTTTTGGTCTTACAGCGAAGCCTCAACATCCTACCTACAAAAATGTGAAATCTTAATTTAACTCATATCTGTAACAATGAAAGTAACTGGTATACAAATGACTAATCTACCATGGTATTTGTTGACAAGAGATTGAGCTATCAAGAGGACACTTGGTAAACATCTCAATTCATAAAGAATATTTAATAAAATTTCTGATAAAGTTTTCTTTGTTACTATAAAAGCCTATCTGGAATACATCAAATCTTAATCATATCCAGTCACTATTTCTGCTGCTGTCATTCTAATGTTCAATCACAAATATGTACCAGTTTCAGGTCTAGACAGGAGTTTCCATTATTTTGTCCCTCATTTATTTCAATGACAGCAGACTAATCCAATAGGCTACAGTTCAACAGCATCACAAACTACATCCTCCAAAATGATCAGTTAAATCAACACCTCTCTAAAACAATTGAAATAAAACGGAACATTATAACCTCCAGGGAGGTAGGATTTATTGCAGGATTCGACTGCATTACTTTTAGCTAGAGATACCTAATAACCTGGTAAACTTGATGTATACTGTATGTAATTAATTCCATGTTGCCATCTTTATTTGGACGGAAGAATGCTAACATACCTAATCAAATTAATTAACATTTCCAATTCACTGCCTGGAGCTGTTGCAAAAGCAGGATAGGTGACCTGGTTATTAGAAATGTCAAATAGATCCTTTAAATGTCATAAACGCAGTTTGAGTTACGTTTTTTCACGTTTTTTTCTTTGAACTAAAATAGTACCTCAGTTCATCAGTACAAAATGTCAAAATGTAGTAAGAGTGGTTATGTGAGATACAAACTGGACATAGGGAAGCGCCAGAAACCAAGAAGAAATACTATACATGAAATTGTAGTCAGTTCTAAGTGCCGAGTCATAAACATATAGCTAGAATTGTAAATCCACTAGTCATGGTAAGTTATTTGTAATATGTAATTCGTCTAATAAGTACATTGTGCAGGGATTTAACAACTTTGAATCAAGTACACAGTTACTTTATTTACATGTTGTTGAGGTTATGTAAAGTTATCTAGCTTGGAATTTATCTGCTTTACCATGTAGCGATAAGCCACATTAGCTTGACTCTGCTAATTGTATATAATAGTCAATGTTATACCGAAGGCAGGTCAGATAGTCTATATTGTGCTAGCCGTTATATTATAGTACTGCTTTCTAAATAGACGTATAACAATTAAACTGCTGATGGGCAGCAGCAGTAGAGTAAAACACCTGACAGCGACATTGCTTTGTTTTATTTTCTTTGTTCTGGCAGTTAACTCAGCAATAAGACACACAGATAGCGGACTAAGCTAGGAACTATCTGCCAAGCAAGAAAAACTGAATTATGTGGGGCCACTTGTTACTCAACTCGACAAATAGTCGCGCCGTTAGTGACATTTATTCTAAAAGTGTATGAAAGAAACATAGTTGCCCGTATTCAGGCACAAATTAATGTTAATGTTTGACGGGCAGCTAACTGTATCATGTATCATCTGCTAACCTTAGCATGCTAGCCTGACCATTATCTTGGCGTGAATTGGACAGTATTTTTTCAAACGTTTCGCATCCAAATAAACTATGGTAAATTCTTTTACCTGTCAGGCGACAAATCTATACACGACCAAGTGCATTAAGTGGTATGACAATGGGCTAAGTTGTTTTTTTTCCTCACCTGCCGTGGACTGCAGCCCTGCCTGAAACAATAAACATCCAGTGAGACCGCTGGTGTGTGGAACGTTACATACGTCTGTATGACATCATGACGCTAGCTGTCTTCTACCGTAAATTCCCTAATAGATGCAACCGAGTTTTTGAGCTACAGTAATATTTACAGTATTTGTTATGCCACAAATAAGCACATTGAGGCCTCCTGTGTTTGCAGTGTGTGCAAAACACACTGTAACTACTTTCTTGAGGCATTTCTATTCATGTCATGTTTAATAATGACATTGAAATATGTAGCCTGACACCGATGCATCATTTTACTGTTGTATCTGTTTAAACTGGAGCTAGTTGTAACCACCACCAGTTAGTTAGTTAAGCCCAGTGGTTCCCAATCTAAAGGCCCCTTCATTAATGTTTATTTAAATTTAGTTTAACCATGTGAGAAGTTTAGAAGGCAAGTCACTCTTTTAGTGAAGCTGCTTACAACTCATATAAATTTGTGACCAACTAGACACACTTTTTTGTAATGTGTCACATGTCAAAATGTTTGGAAACCACTGATGTAATCTTTAACAATGTGTTGTATTTTATATCATATTTTTTTTAATACAAAGTCTTACAAAATCTTTATTTCAAAATCTTAATCTGAAAAGTAACTGGAGGAGTTAAAAGTACAGTATTCCCTCTGAAAAGTAGGCATCAGTGGCAGTTCTAACTTGTATGTTGCCCGGGGCAAATACTCCCTTCAGCCCCCCCGCCCCAGCTACAACTAAAGACACACTACTCTGTACAAGCTGTAACTTTTTTTTAAACAAATGATCATAACTTTTAAAAACTAAACATATGTATACATATATGTGTATATATATATATATACACACACACACAATGTTTTTATGACTTTTTTTATGCCTTAGTGTACCATGACGTTTTCATCCCTTGCTATAATATGACGTTTTTATGACGTTTTTTATCCCTTACAGTAATATGAAATTTTTATGGCTTTTTTTAGCCTAAGTACGCCGTGACGCTTTTTATGCCTTATTATACTATGATGTTTTTATGCCTTGCTATAGTATGACGTTTTTATGACGTGTTTAATGCCTTATTATAATATGAATTTTTTTTTACTCATTGTACTATGACCTTTTTATGCCTTATTATACTATCACATTTTTATGAAGTTTTTATGCATTACTAACGTTTGACGTTTTTATGACTCAAAATACTATGACATTTTTATCTCTCTCTCAAATTAAATCGAAGGCAACTGGACTTGTATTTGTCTGTGGAAGACGTTTCGCCTCTTAGAGACCAATACATGATGAACTGATGAAGCCGCTTGGATAAGAGGCGAAACGTCTTCCACAGACAAATACAAGTCCAGTTGCCTTCGATTTAATTTGAGAGAGAGATAACTATGACCTGGACGAATGAGAACATTCACAGACATATGACATTTTTAGGCATTATTATACTGTGACATTTTTATGACATTTTTGTGCCTTATTATACTATAACATTTTTTATGCCTTACTATACTATGACGTTTTTATGACGTTTTTTATGCCTTACTATATTATGATGTTTTTATGCCTTTCTATACTATGATGTTTTTGTGACGTTGTATGCCTTACTATACTATGTCATTTTTATACCTTACTATTCTATGTCGTTTTTATGCCTTACTGTACTATGACATATTTGTGACTTTTTATGTTGTGTCATTTTTATGCCTTACTATAAAATTACGTTTTTATGACTTTTTATGCCTCACTATACTATGTCGTTTTTATGACTTTTTATGCCTTACTATTTTTATGCCTTATTGCACTAGGTCGTTTCTATGACATTTTTTTTGACTTTTTATGCCTTACTATACCGTGACATTTTTTTGACTTTTTATGCCTTACTATACTATGTCGTTTTTATGCCTCACTATACTGTGTTGTTTTTATGCCTTACTATGCTATTACGTTTTTTTGCCTTCTATGACTTAATATACCATTTCCTTTCTATGCCTAATTATACTATGACGTTTTTATGAATTTTTTTGCCTTGCTATACTATGTCTTTTGTATGACTTTTTATACCTTACTACACTATGTCATTTTTATGCCTTTTATGCCTTACCATACTATAACGTTTTCTACAACTTATTACTACTTACTATAATATGACAGTTTTATGACTTTTGATGCCTTACTATAATATGTCGTTTTTATGCCTTACTACACTATGTCATTTTTATGCCTCATAATACTATGTCGTTTTTACGACTTTTATTGCCTTACTATACCATGTCGTTTTTATGTCTTTTATGCCTTATTATACTATGAAGTTTTTGTGACTTTTTCTGCCTTATTATGCTACGTTATTTTTATTCCTTTCATGCCATACTATACCATGTCGTTTTTATGTTTTTTAAATCTTACTATACTATGAAGTTTTTATGCCTTTCATGCCTTACAATACTATGTCGTTTTTACGAATTTTTATGGCTTACTATTCTATGTCGTTTTTATGCTTTTTTATACTATGACTTTTTTTATAACATTTAATGCCTTGCTATATTATGCCGTTTTTGTGACATTGTATGCCAATCCCTGTCTGTATTCCCCATCACTATTGCCTTCTCCCTAATAAATTCACGTGCACTGTTATTGCTGTTCTGTTTTGTATTCTGTCTGAGCTCTTGAGTGTAACAACAGTTCATCACATCATCAATATAACAATGACGATTTTGTGCCTTTCTTGGCGTTTTTTTTATTGGCTTACTATTCTATATCGTTTTTATACCTTACTATACAATATCATTTTTTTGACTTTTTATGCCTTAATATACTATATTGTTTTTATGCCTTACTAGACTATGTCATTTTTATGCCTTACTATACTATGACATTTTTTTTAAATTTTATGCCTGACTATACTGTATTGTTTTTATGCCTTACTAGACTATGTCATTTTTATGCCTTATTATACTATGATGTTTTTTTTTAATTTTATGCCTGACTATACTATGTCATTCTTATGCCTTACTAGACTATGTCATTTTTATGCCTTTTATGCCTTACTATACTGTGACGTTTTTATGACTTTATATGCGTTACTATACTATGACTTTTTATGCCTTACTATACTATGACATTTTTGTGACTTTTTATGCCTTACTATACTATGACCTTTTAATGCCTTAAGATACTATGACATTTTTTGGCATTTTTCTGCCATACTATACTATGACGTTTTTTGGCATTTTTCTGCCATACTATACTGTCTCCTTTGATACCTGACCATACTATGACGTTTTTATGACCTTTTATGCCTTAATATACTATGAAGTTTTTTTGACATTTTATGCCATACTATACTATGACGTTTTTTGGCATTTTTCTGCCACACTTTACTTTGACGTTTTTTGGAATTTTTATGCCTAATAATATAATTTAATCTCATGCTTTGCCATACTATGACGTTTTTATGACCTTTTATGCCTTAATATACTATGATGTTTTTTTGACATTTTATGCCATACTATACTATGACGTTTTTTGGCATTTTTCTGCCACACTTTACTTTGACGTTTTTTGGAATTTTTATGCCTAATAATATAATTTAATCTCATGCTTTGCCATACTATGACCTTTTTATGACCTTTTATGCCTTACTATACTATGATGTTTTTTTGACATTTTATGCCATACTATACTATGACGTTTTTTGGCATTTTTCTGCCATACTATACTATGACGTTTTTTGGCATTTTTCTGCCATACTATACTATGACGTTTTTTGGCATTTTTCTGCCATACTATACTATGACGTTTTTTGGCATTTTTCTGCCATACTATACTATGACGTTTTTTGGCATTTTTCTGCCATACTATACTATGACGTTTTTTGGCATTTTTCTGCCATACTATACTATGACGTTTTTTGGCATTTTTCTGCCATACTATACTATGACGTTTTTTGGCATTTTTCTGCCATACTATACTATGACGTTTTTTGGCATTTTTCTGCCATACTATACTATGACGTTTTTTGGCATTTTTCTGCCATACTATACTATGACGTTTTTTGGCATTTTTCTGCCATACTATACTATGACGTTTTTTGGCATTTTTCTGCCATACTATACTATGACGTTTTTTGGCATTTTTCTGCCATACTATACTATGACGTTTTTTGGCATTTTTCTGCCATACTATACTATGACGTTTTTTGGCATTTTTCTGCCATACTATACTATGACGTTTTTTGGCATTTTTCTGCCATACTATACTATGACGTTTTTTGGCATTTTTCTGCCATACTATACTATGACGTTTTTTGGCATTTTTCTGCCATACTATACTATGACGTTTTTTGGCATTTTTCTGCCATACTATACTATGACGTTTTTTGGCATTTTTCTGCCATACTATACTATGACGTTTTTTGGCATTTTTCTGCCATACTATACTATGACGTTTTTTGGCATTTTTCTGCCATACTATACTATGACGTTTTTTGGCATTTTTCTGCCATACTATACTATGACGTTTTTTGGCATTTTTCTGCCATACTATACTATGACGTTTTTTGGCATTTTTCTGCCATACTATACTATGACGTTTTTTGGCATTTTTCTGCCACACTTTACTTTGACGTTTTTTGGCATTTTTATGCCTAATAATATAATTTAATCCCATGCTTTGCCATACTATGACCTTTTTATGACCTTTTATGCCTTAATATACTATGATGTTTTTTTGACATTTTATGCCATACTATACTATGACGTTTTTTGGCATTTTTCTGCCTAATCATATTATTTAATCTCATGCTTTGCCATACTATGACGTTTTTATGACCTTTTATGCCTTAATATACTATGATGTTTTTTTGACATTTTATGCCATACTATACTATGACGTTTTTTGGCATTTTTCTGCCACACTTTACTTTGACGTTTTTTGGCATTTTTATGCCTAATAATATAATTTAATCCCATGCTTTGCCATACTATGACCTTTTTATGACCTTTTATGCCTTAATATACTATGATGTTT